CAAATTTGGTCTGTTTTAATGTCACAGAATGTCGTAAGCATCTTATATATGAAGCTGAATGTGTGTCTGTATGTACGTATGTGCGGAATAGAAATTTTAATTTCTGAACCGATTTGATCCAAACTTGGCACACATACATTTCAGGGCGGGGAGCGTGTCATAGACTACCTTTCATCATCGATCGATATTGATTTTATCGATTTTATCGATTTTTTGCAAAGTTTGAGCTACAGGGCTGGGAATTGGCACAGGGGGTAATCGAGCATGCTGATTACGAAAACAATATTAGTTTTTGGTATTACCTATTACTTTTATTGATTTTATCGACTTTGCAAAGTTTACGCTACAGGGCTGGAAGTTGGTACAGGGGGGTATGTGGGCATGCTGATTTCAAAAACAACACAGGGTACGGGAAACGAAATGTGGAAGTGGGCACAGGGAAAGGCTGTACGGGTTTGACAGGGCCGAGCGGAGCCGGTTTAGCAAGCTAGTACTCTATAAAAAGCTTCGTTTCAGCTTCGTTGAAAGATGAATGACATGGAGATAGAAAAGTCATTTAATAAAGAGAAGGACCATGAAAACATTGTCGATACCACAACATGCTTTTGTTCATTATGTTTACAGTGAGGCGAATGACGGATAGGCAAGGATCTCCAAAGCACGGCGATGTAGCTTTTTTCTGATCTGCTTTTTTCTCCAACCTACGCCTGAAGCCCAGAAACTTTACAAATCACCGGAGCCATTGAAACGAGCTGAAGATTTGAATGAAGTCTGAGCTGTTACAAGAGCTGATTGACCGTCCCTCGAACTTGCGTACAATATGCTTATGATTAGCTATCTTCCATCTTGGGGTACACCTTACTCCATCGGAGTAAGGTTTTCAGGCTCCGAGGATTCTATCATTGTATCAAGAAATGTGGCAAATCCCAAGAATTCTGAAGCATTACTCAAACAAAATAATGTTGAGCTTCTACCATGCTTGATAGTGAAAGCCCATCAATGCACCTTTCGAATGTGTACCTTACGTTGTGAAACAAAGTTCTACAGCAAGAAGCGAATACAATGAACATCAGGCTTGCTAAACATCGCGTTGAATTTCCTATCCTATTTTTAACCCTACACAGATTCATTCTGAAGTACATCCGTCCTTTACGTAAAGCAGAGCTCGACTGCTGACAGCAGAATTCACAAACCAGAAAAAGGGTTGATATGATACGTGTAGTGAGTAGATTGTGCTCGATGATTGCGAGCAAATAGTTGTTTTTGAGCATATTTGCAGAACCACAAAAATGCATTCTGTGAGCAGGAAGTAAACATTTTCTGCACTTTCATGTAAGCGAAAATGCTAGGCGGTGTGTTTTATTGTGGGGATTTGACGTTATTGTGAGTTTAATGTCAATTTCACTTCTCTCAATTAGCAACATATGTTCGCAATCATACGCAAAAGTCCTGCCACGCTTTTCGTAGACATCGAAAAACTCGACCGTTGAAAATCGAATCTCCTAAACGCCATAATAATTATGTTACGCTTATCACGCGAAGGTGCGAAAATATCGAATCGAAACTCGATTAGAGTCGAAACACGAAGAAAAGCGAAAATCAGAGGAATGTTTGATAGCAAATGCGATCTTGGACTGGTAAATTCGAAAATTACATTAGTAAAATAGAATGGATAAATTAAACTGAAATTAAGAGGACACCACAAACTTCGCCCGTTGAGTCCATGGCGGACTGAGTACACTTTCACACAACTCACCGCAAGATTTGTGCAGAAATATTAGAAGGCTCCACTCAACGTTTTTTTAAGTGGCAACAATCTTTATTTTTTCAATTTCTTTTACTCATCGCTGAGAAGTACGGAAACAGATCCATGTTCGACTATCCATAAATCTTGGCATAGTTTGAATCTCCTAACTGATTTCTTTAGCAGCGTACAAGATTGGTATAGATATTTATTCTACAATATACAGACTTTCGGCAAACTCGCCTTCTTCAGAGTCTGAAAAGTCGAAAACGCATAAATGAACTATCCGATCAAACACCTTGTCGACAGTAGAAAAGAGCCCAACCCTTTTCAAAAGCAACAGTACCAATCAAAACGCAAGATTAAGCCAGTACTCACCTTAACAGATAATGGATTTTGGTGAGTGCAGACCACTTACGTCAAAAACTGCACTGCATTATTTTTATATTTATCTAGTGATCCGGTTCTGACCTGACCTCATAAGGAAACATTTCGATAATGTTTATGCTGAGAATTTTTCAATTCATAATCCTCTAAAAGTTAAATTCGTTTAGCGTTTTGTAGCCCAAGCCTTGGACCACTGATTGTGTTGAGCAAATTCATTCTTTTGAGTGATGTCATGGAAATTTAGCAGAAGGAGTAGTTCTACACTCACTTTGTTGTCCTTTAAAGGTACCCATAAATTAAAGCAACGCCCTAAAAAACGAAGCATACATTAGCCGAAGAGAAAATCACTTGAGGTATGATTTTTTGAAAAGAATTGGAAAAATTCGGGAAAATTTGCAAAGAGGAAAATGGAAAAATTTCAGCCAGGATGAACCAGACAAAAAATCAAAAAGATCAATAAAATCGATATTTTCTAGTGGCCTAACAACAATCTCTTGCTTGCCCGTATATCTCGTACGTGTACACTTGAATGTTCAAAAACAGCAACATTTTGCGAAGAATTCTAAGCCTTTTTCTGATGTCTTTTCCTTATATCCAATTACGGTATATCTACCGCAACGTTTCATTTCAGCATCCCGAACCTGGACCACTCTGGCTGATGCTTCTAGGTGTCTCCAATCATGCGCCAGAAACCCCCAAAGTTCCATCGTAAACTGCCAAAGCTAGAGCTTCAGGGGAGTCTTACGACCCACCGGTGGATCGTATTCTCCGAAATGGCAGAACATGTCTGATACACCGGTGGATTGTATTATTGTGATGTGTTAAAGATTTTAGGTTCTCTCACTTTGAAGAGCGTTCGTGAAGAAATGATAAGGAGCCAACATAATGGGAGAATAGGAAAACAATGCAAAAAATTTGGGCAGCTATGAGATTCATAACTTAGTTCTCAATAGGAAGATCTAAGAGTAAATCTAGCACTTTCTCAAACTTTTCTGAAAACGGAGCGACAAAACTTTTGTGCCAAACTAATAAAATGAAGGATTGGTGGAGGTTAATGGCCCGTAATCTGTACTTTTTCAGGGCCCTTCATTTATGATGCCTATATTTGACTTTGAAGTTTTCAAGGCCCCTCATTTTTAAGCATAAATTTTCACGTTTGAACACTTTTATATCAACTATAATTACAAACCACGATCCATGCAGTGAAAGCAAAATCCCGAAAACCTTAATCCTCATGATTAATTGCGTGCCTTTGTTATTATACCCGATCAAGATGATTTCGGATTATGATGTGACGGGAATGAGTTCACATCTCTCCCAACGTGAACTATCACTTGCACTGATATACGAACAATAATTGCGCTAACGCCTGTCACAATCTCTTATTTCAGTGATTCTCGGCTAAATTTTATGATAAAAATGTTATTTTCGTCACGAAAAATATTTACATCCTTTTACCTTGAAACACCTCCTTTCCTCTTTTTTACCTCAAAACATTCCTTCGAAATTCACACAGCTTCATCCGTTCAGAATTATTTTATTATGGCTGTAATAAATTACTTATTATTCACTACTCTCTTGCTGATCACGATCCATATCGGTGAGTTCCAATACACTATGAAAATTTTTTTTGCTTTGATACACCAGATAGTAAAATTCCATTATATTAGGTTGGCACGAAAGTTCTTGCGTAATTCAAACAAAATTCAATAACTTTTCAAAGACTAAACCTAAATTCACAATCTTGTATGCTAAAAATATGAGATGCAAGCTCTATGATAAAAGTTCAAGCACTACATTCCATGAGCTAGCCATCGAGAACGAAGCTCTCAAATATGGGGCTTCAAATTTTGCGATTTTGAGTTTGGTGGCAGAAAATCGCAGACGGCCGCTAGCTAGCCGAAAAAAATCTGTAGAATTTACTTACACAGCAAAAGTCCATGCGTTATTTTAGCAGGCTTTGATCCCTCATGGAAATGCGAAAACAAAAAATTTGTAAAATTTCTCATTTTACAGGATAAGTCCCTTTATCGCTGTAATTTTTCCACAAAAACACAGTTTGCAACCAGAAATTAGACATAGTGCCTATTTATAGCCTTGCGATGTTTTCTCGATTGTAAAAAAGTGTTTTCGCCGGAAAACTGCGGGCACGAGGGGATTATTTCAGCAAAATGACATATTTTACGAATTTTTTTGTTCTTGCTTCACCGTGCAAGATCAAAGCCTTCCAAAGTAACATATGGACTTTTGCTGTGTAAGTAAATTCCACAGATTTTTTTCGGCTAGCTAGCGGCACTCTGCGATTTTCTGGCACCAAACCCAAAATCGCAAAATTTGGGCCCCATATTCGAAAGCTTCGTTCTTGATGTCCAGCTCATGGAATCTTATGCTTACATCCATCATGAAGCGTAAGGCTTCTAATACTTTTAGCATACAACAATATGAATTTAGGTTTAGTCTTTGAAAAGTTGATGAATTTTGTTTGAATTACGCAATAACTTTCGTGCCAACCTAATAGATTAACGAACTGCACACGACTATCTCATAGCTATTATTCTAATAAGAGCTAAGTCTCAAAAAATTACTATGATATTTTCAAATTTATTATTGTTACTTTGTATTTTTTATTATTCTAAATAGTAGCGCCTCCATGTGCGTAACAAGGCTGGCAATTTGAGCAAAGACTTTCTGATAATAAAATGACAAGAGGCTAGTCAGTTGAATACAAAAATGTTCACAAAACAGACTTTCAGGTGTAAGCCGAACAACGACTCAACGCACTTTCGACAAAGTCAGGCTAGACAAAGAAGGTTTTGACAAAGTTCGAACTATTCACTACAACTGGTATTTGCATTCTATCAAAGCGATCATGGCACAGCTAGGAAAGGATCTGTTGCCAAAATTGGACACAAGTACAAGGCGAAATGAATTTTACAATTATCATAAGTTTGTTTTGTTTTGCAGACAGTCGGCAGCAGTTTCTACGTTGTTTGAATGCGATTACTGACAAAAGAGATGTCGTAAGTGCAGCGAAATGCCTGATTGAAGCAAAAGAAAACTATGAGGAAAAGAAAACTCAAGGGTATGAGGATGATAATATTGATAGATACATGATTACCTGTTTTACTTGCAAAAATAAAAAAAAATAATAATTTCAGATCTTTTGCGGCAGAACCATTTACTGTAACAAAAGAAAATCATGAGAGGGAAGATGCAAAAAGTTTCGCTGTAGCAGGAAAAAGAATACGGTAGGGGAATTTAACAAGATTCTATATCTAGCAAATAATGTCTACCTGCAGACCTCTCGCTTCCAAGAAACTACTATTTTCGAAGAGGATAACATTCTCAAGTGCCAATGGTCTGCCAAATTTTTTAATTCTATCAAGGAATAATGGTAAACGAGAGTACAAAAACTTGCTGCGAAAAAAGTACAAGGTGAATAGGAATTATTCCAGTGAATACTGTCATTTATCAGAATTCTAGAAACGTCTAGAAAATGCCGAGGAGCATTTGCGACGATACCGAACACGACGTGCGAAAAGAAGTCCACATCGTCTTGTGATAGATGAGATCAGCAAAAGTGATACAAATGGATTTCAGGCAAGTTCATTCTGCCCTGACAATGTCTAGGCAGATCTGGATACAAGCCTTATGCTAGGCCTTCAGCAAGTCATAGCTTATGAGTCATTCGTAAAAAAGAAAAAAGAAATTTGACTCCGAATCTCGCCCAGTACCGTACAGTGCCGTATCGAGAATCCCCATTCTTTCGTTTTGAGCTGTATGTTTCGTCTGGAAGTGTACGGTCTGGGCGTGAGCGTCAAATTGAACTCCTCGGTTACAAATGAATTATATGTGCGGCCGATTAGGGAAAAGCTTAGTCAAGACTTCACATTTACTACAAGTTTTCCCAGACTCTCCTTTGAATAGTGTATGTACTGAAATTGTCGTAATATTTTCGAGGTGGTCACCATGAATCACGCCCCGTCGCTTTTGCCTCGATCGGGAAAATCGGCTGTCAGACGTCTAGCACGGCTGGTGAGAGCTGCTGTCCGTCCAGATGAAGAGGAAGTTGACACAAAGAAGTTGGCTACGCCAAATTTGTTTCTCTCTGAAATATCTGTTCTAGAAAATCCAAATGGAACGAGAGCTATGAAAGCTTGCTGAAAATCAAAAAGGCGCTGGACGAAAAAGCCAAGCAACCAGGAGCGAGGGTAAGCATAGTAATAGTTTCATTGTAAAAATTCTATGTTGCCATTACAGGTCTACGATTTTCGTATGTTTGATCTAGTGCTAGGGAATTCGAAACCGACAAGGGCTAGGAAAGAAAAGGTAGGTTCTTTCTTGAAGTTCCATTGTTCACAATTTTCTTCTGGCCTCGAAGATAATTAATTTACACTGTCACTGTCGCAGCTGTGTTTTAGTAGGGTGGGGGGGGGGGAGGAAGGTAGTTAAAATTACAAGACATCGATAAGTAAATTTTACCGCTTCTTGTTCAACGTAGCTCTATTGTTCCTTCATTTCAGGGTATAACGCCACCATTAGTACAGCAAGCTTACAATTTGATACGGAGTTTTGAGGGGAAGTCAAAAGAATTCGGCGAATCGGCGAACATCAAGTTTTTGAGGTGAGGAACAAAATTACAAAGTTTTTCTCGAGACTCATTTTTTTCCTTTATTATTTTCAAGATAGGAAAATGACTTTACCTCAAAGCTGGAAGATACACTAATTCATTTGTTTCTCGATTTTTTCTATAATTGCAAGATGAAATATCATAAATCATTTTACTAGCCCTCGATTCGCTCCGATAATGCCGGACAAAGCGGACATCAAGGGCTCCTTGTCTCCCTCAATCTTTTCTTTTTACAAAGACGACACAGAAGATCAACTGTTACCATTGCCAAAGGTAATCTCCAATATCTTATTGAAAACTATCCCAATCTAAGAATAAAAAATAGCTTGTCGTCGGGCAGAAATTGCAACTTTTGTTCTATGCTCAGTGGACTATTTCTAATTTTTCTAGATTTTACTGCGTCTATTTTTTTCCGGGAAATCGTGGATATCTTACCTATTTTACGTTCGTTGACAATCATTCAATACTGAGATCTTTTCAGCTCCTTGACGCCACCGGAATGACGGAAGGAGATAGAGGAGAGGTACTCGAGACTGTCATGGAAGTGACAGGAGCCCGACAGATCGTCGATGATGCCATGAAGGTGCATCTAAATATGCCTTCCATTTTTCTACAAAATTCGAAAACCTGCTTCAGACCTTATCGAGTACGGAACTGTTTGGAATGCAAGGCGAAATTGAAGAAGTCACGGAGCGTATAGCAAAGATATTCACAAATTTGGAGAGCACTTTCAATCGGAGGCAGAAGAAGGATATGAAGAAACGAGGCTTTACATTCTTGGAGACGAATCAGTTAGAAGAGCTGCACAAGGAACAAGGTAATACAACAATTATATCTATTCTATATTTTTTAGCATTTTTCCGATCGAAATTTATCGTTACTTGCAGAAAAAGCCGTTTTCCAAAAAAGACCTACAACTATCAAACGCGCAAATCCCCTTTTCACATTACATTTTTACGTATTTCGAAGGCATTTGATACTTGGTGGAAGGAAAGTGCCTGAATGCACTTACGGCAGGCGAGTCCTGAGCGGAACGACTTTGTTTTTTCGTTGAGGTCACGCTGCATTTTCGTAAACAACCACCGCGAATGACCTTCCCTAGGATACTCAAAAGATCAGAAAATACTCTGAAAATTTTTCTGGCAGTCGCAGCCCTTGGGTGCTTTTCTATGGCTTTTGTTCGGAGATTCTACCAAAAATGTTAGTACACCGCATCAGCAAGAATTTGCAGTTAGAAATTTGCTGTAATAAAAACCATAACTTTGAACTTTGGGGTTCGTTATATTTTACTTTCAATAAGTTTGTACTTAGAAAAAATAATTAGATTTATAATTAGAAAAATTGTACTACACTAAATTTACTCCACAAATGTGTCATTGATTTCGTATCTATCAAACAGGTCTCGCCAAACATGCGTCTGAAATAGACTTCGACATCCACGAGTACGGTAACCAAACCCGCGCTCAGCGTGAAGATTCGCTATGGCTTCGCATAGCTGAAATAGCAGCCAATGGAACGGTTTGTGATCTACGCGATTTCCTCAAAAAGCTAAACCCCATCATTCTAGAAAACCAGATCTAAACGACAGATCACCTGGTTGTCAGTAAACAAACCTACCGTACTATCACCGTATATGTTCTCACCAGTCTATGGACTTGTCGTACTTGGTCCCTGCGTAAGTTTTCTATTATGTGCAGAAATAGTGATATCAGTGCAAAATTATAATATTCTTGCTTCCAAAAGCTTATCATGGCCATTTTGCACCGCTACAGTATGCTACCGTACCTTGCGTAACGTCAGAGTGGCGTAATCTGCGCGTGTAGCTTCGGACATAGTCGTTTCACAAACTGCAAGTAAATCAAAACCGGAGAAAAGCCTAAGCACTAAGGTTATGGCAGCATACTGTATAAGTACAAAAGGGCCTCTAGCTCTAACTTCTTTTTCCAGGTACTTTCGCCATCGCTTTTCTCCCCACTGCTTCTCAACCCAGCCGTTCTCTCACCATACGTGCTCTCACCAGCTGTTGGAATGCCATTCATCCTTTCCCCCTACCTCCTCTCCCCTTATGTCCTATCCCCGCTTGTTATGGCCCCTTTCATCCTTAACCCCTATGTTCTTTCCCCAAATGTTATCAATCCCTATGTGCTTTCACCATTGATACTCAGCCCACTTGTTTTGTGCCCTGATGTGATATCACCTATGGTTTTGGGTGGTTCCATACTTTCACCGGGTGTGCTCTCACCCTCAGTGCTTTCGAAGAGTTATTTGATGGTTTCAGTGCTTTCTCCATCTCTGTTATCATAGCACACGTAATAATTGTAGTGATATAATCATGATGCAGGTTCATTATTAATATAAAAATCAAAGAAACTTACTACACCTAGCAGTGCACTATTCAGTTCAGCTCTTGTAACAACACAAAAAAATTTGTATGGATGAAAGGGCATTTTGTAAGCGAAGAGGCAAAATAACATACTTCTCTCTTAAAAATAAGTGCGGCTCCAGAATTTGACAATAGATAATCTGCTTGATAAGTGACATGAAGACAGAAAACATGTAGGATGGAGAAAGATTAAGTAAAGGAGTGTCTGACACATATGCCCAAAACGGTGCCGCTATTCGTGTATAAAAAATTGCTGGAATGCAGGTTATCCCAATGAAACCCTGTTCAGTGTTGACAAATCTCCCGAATACATGTGGCAGACCTTAAAGTGTCATTTCGTGAAGCCTTCAATTTGATTTGTATTATAGAATAAATCTATTACTAAGGGAGAACAGTCCCGCAAATTTTCGCTAAGAGCTGCCAGCTAAATGAAAGTGTTCGAAATTTTTTACGGCTATGCCGATTTTTGAAAATAAACTTTTCACGTTTTTACAACGACCTAAAGGTACAAACAAATTCTATGAGGAAGTCAAGAAAAGAGCAGTTACCGTAATCTACCGTAATTTAACACCTACCGTAATTTTTTTTGCGAGATTACTGAAGATTCGTGATCGGCGGAAAGTGTAGATTTGTCCACTTTCTTAGCAAAGTTTGGTTCTTCTATTTTCTTCTTTAGCTTTCAAAGGCTTGAAACGGCTCAAACCCTTTTTCAAAGCTCATACCGTAATCCCACAGTGTCGGGGGAAGATTCGTATTATGCGACAATCTTGGCTAGAGGCAGATCTACAATATAATATATATAATAATATATAAAGAATCGTAAGCGCAATTCAAAAATGTGCAAATAGCGGGAAACCGCGTGGCGGTTCAAGCGAACGCTCCTCCAAATAGCCCTTTAATTTGCTGGTTCACTAGCTAATAAAGAAAATATGGGACATGGAGTGGATAAACGGTATTATGAAGGAGCACACAGTGTATACATGCCTTTTGAGCAAACTAGATGGAATTGCAATGTTTACTTCCTGATGGCTTTTACGTAATTGAAAAGTGAGGGCATGATATTTTCTCGCAACAAATTCATCTTTTTTCACTTTTCACGAACATACTAGCTCACTGTATGGTTTGAAATTTATGACCCTACCCGTCACCTCGTAACTTTACAAGTATGACGCAGCGATCTAGATTCAAAACACCTAAACCTCAATTTACGGCAGAAACGCAAATAAAATTCTGTTTATGCTTGCCGGTGAGGGTGAGTGAAAGTCGTTAAACGATGCACGCACTGTTAAGAGAAATGGGGCGAACAATAAACATACACAGAACAACGTTCACTAGGAGCGCAATGCCAGAAGCAGATGCTTGCTCTGGCTGTGGTGACAATTTTCTTGTTATCCGAAATGGTAAGTTTACAGTTTTCACTTTTCTATTTTCCCTTGCTGGGATAAAAGTACTAAAAAAGTGCACAAGGATTTGCTATTATGTTTTCAAAATAATTTGTTGATTGATAAATAATTTTGATTTTATTTATTCGTAATCCAACACAATAATCCTGGAGGGTTTTTCAGATTTCTCTTATAGCCCTCCTATTTTCAGATCCGAGCTACAACTAAAGACGGTTTAGAGCACGAAAAATTAATCCTTGACCAGAAAGGGCTACAAAATATGAAAGAAGTTCATAAAAACTGGTACTTCTACTCGATAAAAGCCCTGCTTGGACAACTAGGCAAAGAGCTTCTTGGAAAGCTAAACAGCGGTAAGTTTTGTCCTATATTATTTCAAATCACTTTTAATTAAATCCTATCTGACCACGTATTCAAACCATTTCAGCTTCGCGTGAACGATTGAAGTTGTGCCTGAAGCGCATTGTATACATGAAAGATCTTCGAAAAACTGCAGCTTGTCTGCTAAAGGCTCGGGAAAGATGGAAAAAATTTCTTAAATACAAGGGTGTAAAGTAAGTCTATTTTACTAATGGAGTTTATGGCTCAGAAAATACTCCGCCGACTTCATTTTCACATCCTTTGAAATGACATTAAAATTTCACCTTTCCCATTTTTCATCTTCTTCAAACTTGTTGAAAGAAACTCCTATGTGCTCCCATATTATGAGCTAAATTCTTGTAAGGGTAGTCCCAAAGTTTGTGATATCATCTTTTTTTGAGGTAGTTCACTTACTGTGAGTCATCCATTTACCGAACGGTGGTAAAAGTAAGGTTGAATTCTGCTTCTGGAATACTGAGATCTTTGCCATAAAACTTTGATAACCGTCCTCAAAACTGAAGGCGAGTGTATCCACCGCAAATTTCTCGTTCTTTAGGACAGTACAACAAGGATTTTGAGCTTGGTAGCACAATCTCTGACCCTCTTTGAGCACTAAAAGCATTTATTGGGTTGTCTAGTTCTTGACTGAAATATTCCACAGAAAAATATTAATTTACATGAAAACTCCAAGGACAAATTCTGCAAGTTTTCAAAAAATACTCCAGATCGAAACCTAAAGTTTCAGATCAGTCTCTTGAATTACCTAATTTTCACTATTCCAGAGAAGCAGACATGGATTTGCCTCCAAAAGCACTCCATAGAGGTTATGACCGGATACCGTCAAGAATTCCGCATGCTCTGAGAATTCGTAAACTTCGACTGAGAAGGTCAAAACGTAGCCCTGATCGTTTGATATTGCCAGATGATTTGAGGGACAATGATCACGTGGTAAGACACATCTGCTGCAGTGTTAAGAACTAAAATTATTCTGTTTTAGGTGAAATCTGCCGAGTTTGCGCCACCTCTCAAAGAACCCTCAAAAAGTCCAATCAATAAAGTAGCCGGTCTTTTCGTTTCCCTCTTTGGAAAGACTAGTGCGAATGAATTGCCACAAAAATGGTCGACTACCTACAAAAGTATCTTAAAGTTGTCTAAATACATCGACAAAAACGAAAATTCTCCCGGAACTCGTGTGTATAATACACGAATCTATGATCTCGTCATGGATGCGAAAGGGACAAAGCAAGGCAGTGAGGTGAGGATAGCAATACACATTTGACCCTTGCGCTTACCCGTACAAGTGAGGCTTAATAGTTGAGCAAAGCTGGATTTTGTACGCGATGTAGGTGTGCTGCATGCTTGTTCACTTTCGTGGCAATTTGGAGGCACTGAAGCCGCTTACAAGCAGCGTCCAGACAAATCTGGGCACATGGGGATCTCACATGGATAGTAATTTTGGGCCCTAACTAAGCCACTGCCCAACCGGCAGCTCAGGTAGTGCTCTACGGCTGAGATATCTCCCTCGAAAGTGGACCCCAGGATCGTATTTCGTATTCATGGCGCAAAGCGTGGGTCCTTGCGCGAAACTGCCATGAATCCATGCCAACACGATCCTGGGTCCACTTTGGAGGCGCACATCTCAGCCGTTAGTGATTCACCTGCGCTGCGCTGGGCATGCCTTAGTTAGGGCCCCAAAATTACTTCCCAAGTACCTCCTAGGTTTAGACCTGCCTGGACGCTGCCTTTAAGAGCGCAATGTGGTTGTCGCACGCATTGCATCTATTGTCAAAATCTGCTAAGATATCTCGCCCAGTACTCTTTGCAAGTGTAGGTATGAGATTTGCACTATAAGAAATGGGATTCGTTTGTCACCCTTCTCTGAGCTGGAACTCTTGAGTCAGTCGTCTAAGCAGGGAACGATACTTGGTGACCTCGGCCATTCATAATGGTTTGTATATCAAAAAATGCGTCTTTTAATGCTGGTTCGAATACTGTTTTCCATATCTGCGAAACGAGAACCTGGATGGAGTTGTATCTTTTTTTTTCAAAAATGAATTGCGCTACTGCGGAGGGTGATGAAAATCATTGATAAAAATTTTGCTTTCCTCTTCAAATACTTAATATGATTTAGATAGGTATAAATACAACGTTGCACCTTTCAAGATTCTTCTCAATAGCTGCAAATGGTAAAATAGATCAAATTGGGTAATTTTAACTACCTAAAAGTACGCAAATTTTCTACGAAAAAAGTTCATAACTGCCTTCATATGATCGTTTCGCAGATTTCGAGCAAAGATTTAGAATCAGCGTTTTGAGGTGCACCTTATGGTATACATCGCATACCAAATGGCCGGGGTCACCAAGTATCCTTTCCTTGTTAGATCAAAATGTGAAATTTTGGCTACTTTTCTTGATAGGAAAAATATCGGAAAAAGGAACTTACACACTTTTCAACGTACGCAATGAAAGCTGTTGCTGAAGTGCAGCATCGATCAAGCTGATCTAACATTTAGATCGTGAAGTTGTGGAGTTCGGATTATCGTAATGGTGGAAAGCTATTTTTAAGAGTTTTTAATGCAGATTTCGCGGGTTATATCTCTACAGTTTTTGCTGCAAAATATAGTACGATCCGTGAGTTATTTTTTGATACAAGTGTTACAGGTCAACTTACCTCCTTTCCTGCAAAGTGCGTTTGATATAGTAAAATCATTCAATGGAGCAAAGAATGCGCGTGTTCTGAGCCCTCGATTCGCGCCTCTTCTTCCTGACAGAACTAGTACCAAAGGCTTTCTTTCACCTTCGATATTTCCGTTCTATAAGGATGACACAGAACAGCAGATTTTGCCAGTTCCAAAGGTAGAAAAATATCTCGAAATGGTAGGTCAGTCTAAACAAAGACGTTGCAGATGTTGGAGTCAGCTGGTATGAACGATAAAGACCGCGAGCGCTTGCTAGAGATGATAATGGAGGTGTCAGGAGCGCGCGACACAGTGGATAAAGCAATGAAGGCAAGTTTATAACTGTTCTGTGGGCATTTAGAACACTTTATGCTGCTACAGGATGTGTTTTCAGCTACTTTAGGTATTGAACAACTTGGGCCTCGATGACACCCTTCTCTCTGTGAACGAAAATGTGAGTTATAGAGTTTGCCTTCTTCAGAAATGCCAGCAAGGTGCGATAGGGGGAAGCACTGAAAATCACTTTTGGGCAAAAAGCAATGGAGATCATGCAGGTTCATTTACTAGAGAACATTTTATAGTTTGATTGGCCATTGTGATATTTCTTTGGAAGGCTGATTATTTCACGCCTATCTCAAACAAGCAAAATGCACCCACAATTCTCCTCCCACCTCGCCCGCTCTTGAAGCCCCATTCTTCATTAATGTCTCAAAATCTACCTAATATAGATAGTGAAAAAACCACCTACCTTAGGTGGTTCTTTCACTATCTATATTAGGTTGTCCCATAGGTCTTTTCATTTTTCAGTTTTCGCTGTAATAACTCATGCACTCCTTATTCTGAACAGACATCAGGATACCAATGATAGAGCAAAGCAAGTTCTATAAAATGGCGTTCATGCTTTTACACCAGCTTCGATCCACCTCAAGTTTGAAACCGAAATCTAAAAAGTTTCAGATGCCCAGAAAATTTTAAAAAGTTTCTTATATCTTCGTTCAGAAAAGTCCTACAGAACTTCTCACTCGCTCACGCATATACACTCCACATCAGACACTTACGTGCTGTTGCTGTATTTTTTTACTAGCTAGAAATCAAGAAAACGAAAATTTCCATGTTTTCACCAAAGTGATGCTCTGCTGCTCTTGCACTAACAGTTGTATACTACGAGCCCTTAGAAGTACAGCCGCAAATTTAAGCTCTCTATAAGCTGTAATTCCCGAGTACATCGAATTTAGCTTCCCTCATTCGGGTTTTTTATGCTTAACCCACCATTTCTCGGAAACTAAAGCTTATAGAGAGCTAAAATTTTACGGTTGCACTTCTAAGGGTTTGTAGTGTATAACTGTTAGTGCAAGAACAGCAGAGCATCACTTTGGTGAAAACATGGAAATTTCCGGTTTCTTGATCTCTAGCCAACAAAAAAATACAGCAACAGCACATATGAGTGTATGATGTGGAGTGTACAGGGCTTATCAAACGCAGTGTCGCTTGCATCAGCATCTCCAACCGCGCTGGACTCCGCTTTACTTCCGCGAACATGCTCTTTGATCCCCATGGCGAGCGTGGGAAAGGCGGAGCCTCAATCGATTGAAAGTGATTAGAGAGCAGGTTCGAGGAAGAGACGCTGAGTCCAGCGCGGGAGCGGAGATGCTGATGCGAGCGACACTGCGTCTGATAAGCCCTGTATATGCATGAGGGTAATGTCAAGAATAACGATAGCTGGCAGTAGTGGCGCCTTGAGTGGCCGGTGTCACTAAGCGGTGTACCGGTAGCACCGCTCCAGCTAAGAGACGAGCTCACGCAGATACTAGTGCAGCTTGTAGTATTATACGCCCGAACGTTATTTTTCTATATCATGCTTCATATTATCGTTTCTGATTTCTTCCTCGGATAGGAATAATCGACAATTTTATCAATCACTGTTCGCATGCGCTGGTAAACATTAAGCCGATTTCAGCATATGAAATCCATAAAGTCACTATGACTAATGCAGGAAGTAAGAAATTAAGTGAGAAAAAATGGAATTCAATTCCTTTTTCTTTGCTTTCTGGAAGAGTGATGGCGGGCTGTTCTGCACTCGCGAGCAGCTGGCAGCTAGCGGCAGTCAGAGCTATCCATTCTTGACCGCCACCCTATGCGTGAGCGAGTGAAAGGTCTGTAGAGCTTTTCTGAATGAAGATATAAAAATTTTTCATTTTTCTGGGCATCCGAAGCTCTTTAGATTTCGGTTTCAAACTTGAGGTGGATCGAAGCTGGTGCAAAATCATAAACGCCATTTTATAGAACTTGCTTTGCTCTATCGAATGGTATCCTGATGTCTATTTAAAACAAGAAGTGTGTGAATTATTACAGCGAAAACTCAAAAATGAAAAAACTTATGGGACAACCTAATAATAAGTGCTTTCATAAAAGTACATTACGATAATTTCTCGAGGATAGTTGTCCCTTAAGAAAGTTTTAGTGTCAAATGAATCCACGACTTTTGAAAAATCGTATAAAGCTGGAAAAAAATCGGGAACAAGGCAAAGATCCAACAAAAAGATCTTGGTTTTGGCTAAAGAAACAGTCAACAACAATCATGGAATTATTGTAGCGTTTTGTGTTTTCTGTTTTGCTCCTTATCAGATTCATTTTTTTTCTTTTTGAGCACCTCAGAGTATTCATTCACTATAAGCAAAGAAGTAACTTGGGCAGGGAAATGTTAGTGGTTCCAAATTAAAATGTTTGAAAGCCAACGATTTGTTATGTTGCTCTTTTGTAGTCTCTGCATATCTTATGTACTTCATAGTTTCTAGATAAGAGTGCTTTAGTAACAACTTATCATGACCACTTATACTTGAAAAGTGAAATAATTCTGGTTTTGGAATTGTGATAGCACTACTTTTCAGCACATTTCATTAGTTTCGGCATGGCTGGAATGAGCAGCAATAACATATAAGAAAATTAATGGCTGCGCCGCTGCTTTTTGTTCTAAACTACTAAGCTAGAACAAGATCAGTTTGGATTTGTGAGGTATAAGTCATCAAAGTAGCAGTCTGACCCAAAAATGAAATCATTCGAGTGATCTCTGCCCTTAAAGTGGGGCAAAGCTATTTGCTCCAGAGATCATCAACTGTAAAATAGAGCAAAATTCTTCCGCTTCATGCTTTTATCCTAATTTTTCAAGATAGGAAAAGCATTCGAGCAACTGCAATCTTCGCTTTCTTTACGGCAAAGTTCTGACTTAGACAAGAGAGGATTCACGTTTATGAATCCTAAACAAATCGACAAGTTACACGAAAAACAAAGTGAGTAATCTATGGTCTTTAAAAGTGCTGTCCGTCTGGTAATATTGGTTTTCTAGATGTGAGCGAACCAGAGGTTCTTGAACAAATGGAAAGCTATAAAAAGTTGCCCAAACATAAGCGTGAAGAGATGCTTTGGCGATCTATTGGAGAACTGGCTGGTTTGAGTGTAAGTTGCAAGGATCTTCTTAAACATAAAAACCTTTCTGATTTCAGCGACGGCGCAGGAAAAGGCAAGCCAATCAAATTAATTTCATCACCACCTTGAGGCCAACAGTGCTCAGTCCTTATCAATTTGCTCCCGTATACGGTATCAGCATATTAGGCCCCGTAATACTTTCTCCTAATATTTTCGCACCACTGATTCTGAATCCCTCATTGTTTTCGCCATGGGTCTTGTCACCAGCATTTCCATTACCTTTCATCCTCTCGCCTTATGTGCTTACTCCATATGTACTATCTCCGTTGGCTATGGCTCCTTTCGTTTTTTCTCCCTATGTGCTATCTCCAAATGTCATAAATCCATATGTGCTTTCGCCAGTCATACTCAGCCCGATTGTCGTATGTCCGGATATCTTGTCTCCAATGACGCTCGGCGGGATTATATTGTCTCCCAATGTTCTTTCTCCATCGATATTATCGAAAAGTTACCTCATGACAAGTGTGCTTTCTCCATCGCTTCTTTCCTAATGGAGATGGTTGTTAGTATAATAGCTCATTGATTAGTAAAATAAATCTTTCTCGTTGCTTATCTTACAATGATGACGGTCAAATTTTACAATAATGACGGTCGGCATTTTTTGGGATTTTTTTGATTTAATAAACTTGAGTGGACGTCGATCCACTCAAAGTTATGACAAATTATTCACACTAAAAGTATCGCTACCTCAATTCTACACCTATCCCAATTCAGCTTGTGAAGTATACGCATAGATTCCAAATTCTAAGTAGATTAAACCAGGACTTCGGTTACCTTTCTATTATTGCTTTTACGTAAGCTTTGTTTGAAAATTTCACGCTAGGTGGTAGATGCACAAAAATATCATTTTCGATGTCGAATTCTAGCTAAGAAATAGAGGCATGGAAAAATTTTGGTTTCCTGCACGACTAGACAATTCTTCGAAGACTATGTATATCAGAAAAAACAATGGAGAAAGAACTGCACCTTGAGATACGCCACTCGTACAGGTATGTCAATCAGAGAAATGGTCTTCTACTCGAACGTCATATATCTATTGTGTAGATATGATCTTAGCCTTTTCAAAAGGTTTCCATTCTCACCAAATTGCTCGAGTTTAAGCAAAGCAATCGATGATTTACTTTGTCAAATGCTTTAGATAAATCTATGTAAATGACATCGATAGATTTTCCTTTATTAAGGGCAAAACTCTAGTCAAAAATAGAATCAGCAACGTTGGTGGTAGTTGATGAATCGTAAATCCGTGTTGATAGGAGGTATCATGTTGAATTTCCGAACCATATAAGCATTTTGTCACGCAAAACGTTCTCCATCACTTTTACTGGTGTAGGTGTTAGACTGATAGGCTGAAATTCTGAGAGGAGGTGAACATTGGAAACCTTAGATATAGCTGTCACTAATGCCTCCTTCCAGACTTGCGGCAGCTTTCCCAACACCATTGATATATCAAAAATATGTGCAAGGGGCTTACAGAGTGACGAAGCGCATTTTTTGAAAATGACTTGTGAGATACTTTCATACGCTTCGGTAAAAGAGTTTTTAGTTTAATCAGAATCTTCCGAATTCTAAAGGGACTGAAATAGACGGTCGATAGGCAGTGACGGTAAGAAGGAGAAGTGGATAAAGAGAAGCCCGATTTGCACTTCGATCGTCGAAGGAATAAAACAATTGTCCTAACGCTCGTGCTTTCTCGCTATCAGTGATATAAGTATTAGGTTGTTACATAAGTCTTGCTACACTTAACTTCTAACGGCGATAAGTCATACATCTCATAGTCTTTGCAAGACTCCAAGGTACCATTCGATAGAGCAAAGCAAGCTTTACAAGATGGTCTGCAAAAGTTTGTGCCAGCTCCGACCCACCGTAAGTTTGCACCCAAAATCTGAGTCGTACTGAAATTCAAAAAATCGCGAAAAATTCATATCTTTGTTTAAACAAATCCTACGGATCTCCAACTTGCTCACAAAAATTGCCCACTATATCAAACACTCATATGTACCGTTGCTGTATTTTTTCCTTATCTAGAAATCGAGAAAAAGAATTTTTTTTAGTTTTTACAAAAATGAAGCTATGCTATTTTTTTCATGTAGCTGTATACTACAAGCCCTTAGAAGTATAACCGTAAATTTTCAGCTTGTCAGAAGCTCTGGTTTCTGAAAAATACCAAATTTAGCTTTTATCACTTGGATGTTCAATGCTAAATTAGGTAATTTTCGAAAACTAGGGCTTCTGAAAAGCTGAAAATTTACGGTTATACTTCTAAGGGCTTGTAGTATACAGCTACATGAAAAGAAACAGCATAGCTTCATTTTTGTAAAAACTAAAAAAATTCTTTTTCTCGATTTCTAGATGAGGAAAAAATACAGCAACGGTACATATGAGTGTTTGATATAGTGGGCAATTTTTGTGAGCAAGTTGGAGATCCGTAGGATTTGTTTGAACAAAGATATGAATCTTTCGCGATTTTTTGAATTTCAGTAAGACTCAGATTTTGGGTGCAAACTTACGGTGGGTCGGAGCTGGCACAAACTTTTGCAGAGCATCTTGTAGAGCTTGCTTTGCTCTATTGAATGGTATCTTGGAGTCCTGCAAAGACTACGAGGTGTATGACTTATCGCCGTTAGAAGTTAAGTGTAACAAGACTTATGTAACAACCTAATATTTCCTGCTTGATCAGTTATGCAAGATAGATGACGTTTGGTTTGCGTTTTTAATTTATAAATTGAAAAAAGAATCTCGATGAGCATCTTTTCGCCAATCTATGTTCTTGTTTGCTAAAAATCCTCTTAAGTTGGTCAATATCTTCACATACTTTTTTGTACATCGAGTTCGACAAGGTTTCTATTAGAAAATAAAATAAGCGTTCTTTCTGTGCAAGAAGTTTTCTTATATGAGTTGGGCAGCTTCGATGCGGTTGATTTATGTATTTGAAAGGCACATGTTTAGAAAATGCATTGTAGATAGCTACACAGAATCTGTGATACACATCATTAATCGATTCGTATTGATCAACCAGACTCACCCAATCGATGTTTGCGAAGCACTTATAAAGAGAAATGAAGTCAACCCTTCGAAAATTGGGTCTCGGTATAGCGTTAAGAGAGAATGATTCAAACTAAAATAATTGAACTATACGATGGTCGCAGTTTGCAATAGGAGGCATAGTGTGCGTGCCGGAAATTATAGGAGAGGTCGAAAGTACGAGGTTCAAGAACTTGGGAGCCATGTGTTGCTTCATTTACATATTGTTTTGAACCAGAATCATAGAATAAGTTGAAAAATATCGCTAAATTTCTGTTGAGAGGTAGCATTTGAGACCAGTTTATGTGCAAGTTCAAATCCCCTAAAACTACTGTATTTTCTTGTTCGCTCACAAAATTGATCATAAGTTCAATAAGACTTTCATCACTTGCATAGGTGCTATTTGGAGGTTGGTAGATTGCAAGAAAGCGTAATCAAATAGGTTCATGAGAAGAAGATATGTCAACGCAGAAGATATTTGACATAGTGCTGTTATCCGAAGTCCATGATTTTGCCAAAAGAGTGCTTTTTGATAAACAGCAGATACCTCCACTTCTGCGATGTCTATCTACCGTGAGATCAAATAAGGCAGCTTTCCTACAATTTCACTGTCAAGAATTTTGACAGAGAGCCATGTGTCAGTAATAAAAAGAACAATGGATTTATATTCAACTAAAAAGATTGTAGATGATGCAATTTTTTGACAAAAATTCTCGCGTTTAGTAAGATAGACTTTAATCTTTTCTTGCTCACCATGCAATTTCACGCGTTTTCCGATCTCATCTTGGGAAGTTCCGACACGCGCACAAGCTGACTCTTGTATACCCATTCTTTATTTGGCTTCCCTTTATTCCTCTCACGTGCCATCTGGCGTAGTTCGAATGCGCGTCTTCGCTCATCCTCCGTTTTGCTCCTGCGTAAGAATAGTTAGGATATCCAGCATGACGGAGGCGATAAGCATTAGTCAGTGCCTTTTGCCAAAAAAAGACGAAGGCATGACTACTTTTATGAGGCGCGCATTCGATTTATTTGGTTTTCCTATCCAGAACACCTCTGAAGGTGTGCAGTCTACATCAACTGCGTCGACAGTATTCTCCTTCTTTTAGAGGTATTTCCGGCGCTCTGATGGGCGCATGTCCTCCGAAGGTTGCTGGACACCACTAACCACTAGACTACGCGCCCGTTTTTCAGCCTCAAGAAACTCTGAGAATTCGAAAGGTATTGTTTCAGCAAGTGCCGCGAGTATTTTATCGATAGTCGAGTCCTTATTCAATTCCGAGAGAAATGTGATCAGGTCCTGAATGGACATTGAGCTTGATTCGTTTCCTCGGGCAGTTCTACCACTTTCCCCTTTTTGCGAAGTATGGGTCGTGGCATGCTGCTCTTGACCTTTGTTAACACGTGAATGTGATGACCTATTTTGTCTTGTCAAAACAGATCGCAATAGAAGAAAACGGAGAGAAAAGTAGATGAAATGGATGAAAAGAGGCCGGTAGAGGAAAAACACAAAAACTCAACCAACCACAACGATCACAGAAGAGACCAGACTCAATCCATGCAAAAAAACTAAACTTTCAAAAACTAATGAGAACCACGGGCTAAAGTCAAGAAATTGCAGAGAAGATACTCGCACCATCGCACGTGGGAAAGACACGTTCGAGAAAGATGATGTCAGCTGACATTTTTTATTGATAGTAGTCGTGTTAGACAGTTACGTTCATCAAATACCGCGAATGTCGACGGTTCAGAAGGGCCTATACACTCAAGAATTAAGGATGTTAAAAGTTGAAATGGAGGCTAGATAAAGAGCCATTTGAATGCTTGAAGTGTCTCGTCAGCTTTTCGCACCTTGAAATAAATCTCCTGATAGCATCTTCAGCTTGAAGAAGCTTTTTCTATCTGCTTTAGTAGCAATTTTTGCAGTGTAAAAGAAAGAAAACTTCTTTGCTAAGAAAGCAAAGAAGTTTGTTTCACGTTATGGATTCTTGTTGTTACAAGCATGAAGAAAAACAACCAGACTGATGTTGATTCACCATAGCTGACCAAAGTGCTCGAATTTCAGTCAAACGCTTTCCTGATGTTTGTTGCTCAAAATTGATAAGGACATTTACTACATATATGTCAGGGCCCACCATAGTTGCTGATACCTACAAATCAGACCTAACACTGAACGTTCCGATATAATTCACAAATACTTCAGATAATGTTTTGCATATAGCGAAAACAATGATGAGCCATTGTTCCTGACAGGGACGAATGGGTCACTCTCTGTGCTTCGCAGTTGCTAGAAAGTACACAAGTGTTAGAGAGAAGATGAAGCACAATTATTTATGCGTGCGACTCCAAAAAGCGCTACCGCCGAATAGATTTTTTGCTCAATATGGTTTGCTTGCAGGTATGCAATAAGATTTGCGCGTGAACAATTAGCTACGCATGTGACGCCGGCCGATCGCGCGCGCAAAATGCCGACAATACTGGCAGGCTATTTGTTCGCACTCGAACTTTACGCATTTTACTTGCAGTGCATGCACACTATATTGAGCGGAAATCTATCGACTGTATCTCCAGAGTGTTCCCGTCGTGAGGAAACCAGCGATTTATCGCGCCCTCTTTGCGCAAAAATGTGTTTCAGGAGGAAGCGTCTCTGCACATTTTGTCGGGTTATATGAGAAATGTGGTTTATTGTAAAGCATTGATAAAGATTTCTCCTGTTTTAGAAATCTCTGCGACGCATATCATTGAAACGTAACTTGGCGATGTTCCCTGCTTATGTTAATACCTATTGAAGGAAATGCGCATATTTTGCCTTGCTATAAAAACATTGGAGATTTTGAACGTGGCAACAAAACAGATTCGCTCTTCATCCTAAGGTAAAACTTGTACTTTATCTGGTCTAGTTAAAACGTTTTTCAATAGTCTGCCCTAAAAAAGTCTAGGTAGTGCTCTTTGAAAACTAGCTAGCGCGAAATTACTGCGTGATAATTGCAAATAGTAAGAGAGACTTTTACACACTAATCATAAAATCATTCCACACATAACATTTTGCGATGATAAAAACATCTAAAGAAGAAGAAAAGCACAAACAAAAGATGTAGTACCTATTTTCGGACTACAAAAACGACCTTGGTGCCTTTGTGCACAATCTAGGTTTCGATCGGTTTTCTTGCCACATTTTATTGCTCTGCTCCTGCAAACAGTACAGCGGGTTGACTAATAGATATTATCTGTTTTATCCCGTCATCATTATCACGAAATGAAGCTGCGTAACAAGATCATCAACATTTATAACGTTGACATCATCTGTTTAGGGAAGAAACCGAACATCCATGCTGTTTGCGATTTTGGTAGGTGAAGCATTTTTTCTCATTAGACTTGAACATTATCAGAAGTGTTGACAAAATGCTGGAAATTCGGAAAAAAGGGAAAATAAAAATTGAAACGAGCAAAGAAAAGGCAAGCGTAAGGTATGGTGCATGCCTTTAGCACAAAATTTACTCTTCCTATATCACAAATCCAATCTTCATTCTTTTTTTTTTGAGAGCGTGCAAACGGCTAGCGCCAGCGCATCCGAATTTGATTCTTTCCCCTTGACCACGTACTTAAACAACCCCACTTCGTTTTCTTTGCTTTTAGAAGCTCAGTGCGACATTCCGAGAAACCAGCCTGTGCTAAGAAATTTTATGAAGCTGAGAAGAAAAAACTATCTAATCGCGTGTTATTGCACCGCAGCAACGCTAGCTTCGAATTGTATCGAGCAGAGTTTTAGATAGAGCAAAACATGCTGTATGAAATGGCGTTCATACTTTAGCACCAAGTTCGATCCAAAAGTTTAAAGCCAGAATCTGAATGTTTTAAAATTTTCAAAAATCGAGAAGGTCGAGTTTCCATCCAAAAACATTGCGGATTGCAATATCCTCTCACATACATTCTGCAGAATTTAGACATTTATACACACAGTTGCCGGGGGTCGTTACCGAGGTGATTCTAATGTTAGCGATAATATGATATTCGTTAACGAAGTCAGATCGGCATTGTGCAAACTATCAGCACATTGATTCTACTGTAGGGCTCACTAAATAACTCACGCTGAGAAAATGCGCTGAAAGTGGTCCGCAACGAACAATCGGGTCCGTATGACCGACCTCTCCGTTTTTCTCCTTACGTATTCTAACAGGTCTGGAGGGTTAAGCCTGTCTCATCAAGAGATGTCACTATGATACGAGCAAAGAAACTTATTCTTGAATTTTTTTAACTTTTGAGGGAACGAACGGCGTAGTGGTTTGAGGCGCAGGAATGACCAAATCGGACTACATAAAGTTCGATCCCGAGGGCCACTACTCCGAAAACGGTAAATTGATACCAGCGAAATCTGGGACGACTATTTACAACAATGATTTAGTAACCGGCTGGCTCCCACAAGCCACTGTAAAACACTTGCACGCATTCAGTATCCCATTCGACTATATAGTTGAATGCAAGCGGCGCATACCTGCAGACGGAAACTCGTGAAATCTTTTACCTTTTATTTCTATGCTTTAGTTTTGAACGAAGCTATCAGTTTTAAAAATGTCGCTTTAGAGGAGTTTTAATAGACCATGATTTTTAACATAACAGATATTGGTTTTATGAGTGTACAGAGGTGACTTTACAAACTGAATTGAAAAATTGAGTTCGTTATGCATGGTAAGATTTTTGTAAGCTCGCTGCAGGTGCGGGTAACAGGTAATTTGTGGATGTTGCGATAATATGATAGTGTTATCTTAGCATGCTGTTGCTCGCAGTTCTATTCGTATTGTCCTTTGCTATGAAACCGTTTATTAGGTTGTAACAGAATTAATGCAGGTTTTGAATTCCAACCGCAATAAGTCATACACTTCTCATTTCTAAGTAGGTTGCAAAACACCATTCGATAGTGCAAAGCAATCTCTACAAGGTGGCAATCTTGCTTTAGCAACAACTCATCCACCACGAGTTTCGAGCCAAAAACTAAAAAGATTCAGCTGTCCGAAAAATTGAGAAAAATCGTAACTCACTTCATAAAAAAACCTACAAAAATTCTAACTTGCTCACGTAAACACTATTCACATAAGGCATTTATACACGCTTTAGCCGTATTTTTTTCTCTATTAGAAATCAAGAAAACGGAAATTTTCGTGCGTTTGCCAAAGTGATGCTGTGCCGTTCCCACATAAGTAGTTGTATACTACAAACCAGTAGAAGTATAAACGTGAGTTTCCAGCTCTCTACAAGCTTTAGTTCTCGAAAAATATCGAATACAGTTTTCGCTAGTCATGTGGTCCAAGCTAAAATTCAAAATTCTCGAGAACTAAAGCCTATAGAGAGCTGAAAATTTACGTTTGTACATCTACAGCTTTGTAGTATACAACTACTTATGTGGGAACGGCACAGCAACACTTTGGCAAATGCACGAAAATTTGCGTTTACTTGATTTCTAACAGAGAAAAAATACGGCAAAGACGTGTATAGATGCCTTATGTGAATAGTGTTTATGTGAGCAAGTTAGAATTTTTGTAGGTTTTTTATGAACTAAGTTACGATTTTTCTCAATTTTTTTGAGTAGTTGAATCTTTTTAGTTTTTGGCTCGAACCTCGTGGTGGATCAGAGTTGTTGCTAAAGCAAGATTGCCACCTTGTAGAGCTTGCTTTGCTCTATCGAATGGTGTTTTGCAACCTACTTAGAAATGAGAAATGTATGACTTATTGCGGCTGGAATTCAAAACCTGCATTAATTTTGTTACAACCTAATACTTTCAAATCAAATTCAAAATTTCGCACAGCAATTGTTGCTCTAGTGTTTTTCCGTTCTTAAACGTGGCATTTACCTAAATCCTCTGTACAAAATTTTCACAACCTCGCCGGAATCGAATGACGTACATAGTGGTAGAGGAGCATCTATGATCCGTTGATTGGTCTCCGCCCCTGGAGCAATAAGGCCTTTACCTTTTGGGTACGCTTGATACTAAAACTATCTGAGAGCATCAATGCACTCACTGCGTAACCAGGTGGTTCCCGCAAGAATTTTCGAAGGTTAGTACGCCAATAGCTTCTTATCACGAAGTAAAATTTGTACAGCATGATTGCAGAGGGTACAAAATATACATGAAGAAATTCAAAAATTTCATAGAATGAAAGATTATTAAACAAAATTCGAGAACAAAAACTTGAAGTAAATGAATATCTATTATAATAAATTCAAAAATGAGGAGCTTCGAATGAACGAATTCCGATTAAAATTGAGAATCGAAACTGTCGAATGAATGGATATCAGATATTCGAACAATAAGAGTCGAATTTCGAATAAATATTGAATAATTTACCGAATATCTAGAGCAACCATATAACTTGCTGACGTATTCGAAAGCCGATTCATTCTTAATCAGCGCCTTCGCCCACCTGTGCCAACACCCAGCTCCGTAGCTTAGAGCTTTCGAAAAATTGATAAAATCACAAGGTAGATTTTTATTCATAATCAGCCATCTTTTACCTCCCTTCCTGTACTAACTCCTAGCCCCGCACCTCAAACACTCATTAGCGTCTAATCTTGTCTAGACAACCGTAACGTCCTCTACCCAGTAAGACCCGTCGTCCGCGAAACTCTGAAAGTGGGTTAGAAGCAATTGTGCAATATAACTTTACAAGCCAAGAATGCTTATTAGTTGAGTCTTTGCGGACCAAAACTAAGTGCAACTCAAAGGAAGAGAAGCTGACATGTTGATGCATTTCCAGTGTATGAACCTCTGACCATGAGCTTCAGTTCGATGGCTTTTTTGTTAATATGATGCCAATAGCAGTGCGAACTATCTGAATAATGAAAAAAAAAAACAAGTAAAAATCCACATCTACTTTCTTACTGACGCAAGCAGTTGGAGTAATGCGGGTCTCCTTACAGTTAAGCTAGGCATGGCTTCAAAAAGTCATCATCGAATTTCACAGAAAAAAGCCCAGACGTAGCGAGCTTGATAGTCGGCTCTACACCAACCTTGAATAATCCGTACACGGATTGCATTCAAATAAAATTCGAATAACATTTGAATAGAATTCATTTAAACACCCGTTTTCGATTACTCGAATTTTATTTTATTCAAAACTTTCTTTTTGATTTTTCGAGTTCTGGATTTTATTCAAAAACTCATTTTTTGACTATTTAAGTTTTCGAATTTCATTCGGAAATGAAACATTCCGAGTTTCGTAGTTCGGCAAATATATTCGAATGCTTTATTTGAAGGATCAAAAATTTCTTCGATGGACTGTACAGTACATAAAACGTCAAATCTTTAACGTTTTGTAGTCACCGTAGCCTACGCCCCCACTCTCTCCCATCTCCATAACTCTAGCTCGCCTGACTCTGGGCGAAAGCCCTATGAAAAAGCACGCATAGACTTTTGCGAGTAAAATTACTGTTTAGTATGTTCCTATGTAAATCAATCATGTAAATGAAGCCTAAACGACAAGAAATCTAGGATAAAAGGTAAAATTTCATAATTTCTAGATAAACTTCAAAATAACAAGATTACACATTTTGTGTGTAAAAGGATGGGAAACGATTTGCGGCTTAAGACAAAAGACTTGCTGGAAATCATACACTTAGAAAAAAAACTTTTCTCATTCTGGGGCGATTTTCCTTACATATAGTTGGAATGAGACATTATACACAGCTATGGATGCTCAGGATGCGAGGAAAAAGCATTTCAACTCAAAGACAGTGTTGACAAGATGGGGGTTTTGGATTTTAGTGCTACGTAAATGTGTCCCCCCGCAGATACAGCTATCGTCGACTCTAAAAACCGTGACGACGGTCTGCAGTGCGGCCAGTGCGCGCCGCACGGCACTGCCGCTTTATCGTAGGGTAATCTTGCTTCTCTTCAGTGTAGGCTCCCTGCGGTAGCCATGAAAGTTCCTGCAAGCAAAAAAGATGCAAAAAAAACCACAAGAACTCACCTTCTCCACGTAATTTGGGCGAATCACTAGGTGGCAGTGCCGTGCGGAGCGCACTGGCCGCACTGCAGACCGTCGTCACGATTTTTAGAGTCGACGATATACGAGGTTATAACGTCCGACCTAAAGCAAGAAAACGATCGGGAAGTGGGGAAACTTACGCCTTTGGGCGAGATTCTCCAAGCTGTTTGAATTCCTGCTATGCGGCAGAGTGCGCATGCCGCCACAGTCAAAATCGTAGGGTCCCGCAGCGACTCTGCTTCTCAGCCCTGGCGGGACCGTCGAATTTAATTGTAAGGCTTCGGAAAACGCTTGTTCTCGCCGTTTTCCAGCTTTTAATTTGGATTTTCGGATTCAGCCTTGCGGATAGCTCTCGGTAAGTGGATTCTCTAAAATCAAGTGTTTGCTTGGATATGCCTAAAAACAAGGTTAACAAGTGGCTTTGCTCACGTCCCGTTTCCTTGAAAGTAGAAAGGTGGTCCCCCTTATGGTCTGCTGCCTCAACTTGTCGAGTGGGTGCCCCTGGGTGTGGCAAGGAAGTCCGAATTCGCAGTCAGCCCAGCTGAAGCAGACCACCCCAAGTCAACTCAGGATTCGTTGCTGCCTGACAACGCGTGCTGAAGTCGCCAGGAGGCAAAAACCGTCATTGCCATCCATCGAGCGGCGACTGCTTCGACACACCCCTAGAACGCTCCAGCCAGGCTATTCAGGGAGGCGGGAAATTCAATGGCTTGTACAACTTTAAACCAGTCGCCCCAGTACCCTGCGCTCTGTGTTCGTCTGCCGCTTGGGACGTGGATGGCAGTACGGCCGGTGAGGGGCGAAGAAATCTCAGGTGCAAAAGCGAGATGTCCATTGATCCTATCGGCAACAAAGCGGATTCGACAAGACAGGAGGCTCATTTCGACTGTGCACATACAATTGTGCGAAGACCTTAGCTTCAGCCCAAGAGCTCTTCGTTCTCCTAGACGCCGCAACCCGCATTAAAAACGATGTGAAGGCTTTGCAGGAAACAAAGAACAGAAGTTCGACTACATTTAGAAGGAAGGATGGAACTCTTAACATACTAGGAGAGAATGTTCCAACACGTAATATCGGAGGCGTGGGATTTGTCGTACACCAGTCGGTTAGCTACCTCGTCGACTCTTATGAAATCCAGTCGCTGCGACTAGCAGTCCTAAGACATGTTGCTCCAGGTCGGAAGAAGATCAGTATCACCAACTGTTATTCGCTCACAAATACAGCAGATGAATCCGAGCTCGACAATTTCTATGAGGAGCTGGAAAACGCCATTCGCAGGGAGAACTCGTTCTACAAGTTCATCGTTGGCGACTTCAATGCAAGGATAAGACAGTCACAACACCAACAAGGCGACAGAATTGGAAAATTTGGACTGGGAAGTCGGGACGAGAATGGAGACAGACTCGTTGGACTCATCGAAGCAGCCCGTCTTTCCATGGAAATTCGTTTTACCAAAAGAAAGCACACCGCCGCTGGAGGTGGGAGTCACAGATGGAACGGCACATGCAGAAATCGATCATATTCTTGTCAACAAGGAATGGAAATTGATCGATATCGGAGTGGCTCCGTCGTTCTGTACAGGTTCGGACCGTTTACTTCGTGCAAAGATCCGCTTTAACCGGAAAATGGAAAGAATATCTTGCCATCGCGCGAAGTTTAGAAGAGAAGCCGTTTACAACGAACGCATTCTCGAGAACGCCATTTCCAGACACGACTGGAAGGAATGCGAAGATCCAATAGAAGATCTAGGAACGCTGATTGAAGGACTACGCAGATGTTCAGAGCAGGCAATTCTTACTGTGGAAAGAGGCTCGGGACAGATGGCGAATAACACCAAGGAGCTTCTTCAGAAAAGGAGAATCCTGCACGCAGATCCAAGTGTATCACATTTCGAGCAAGTACTGTTCAACGGCATTTGCAGGAAAGCCGTACAAGAGGAGCTGAAGCGATATCGACAAATGAAGATATTGGAAGCAGCACAGAAGGAGAGGTCTGAAGAAGTGTCGTAGGGGCCTTCCGCGAACACGAGATACCGATGCAAGCTCTACTAAGACTAGTGAGCTCCCGACGCGAAATGAAAGCGATAAGCGGACTTCTATAACGAACTTTTTCAATCCACGCGCCGGTACTAGACCCTACCATCCCCACCGGTGAGGCCACAGAGTATTCTTCTTTCGGAAGTACGATCGGCCACAGAGTGTAGGAAACCAGGCACAGCCCCTGGTCCTGATAGAATCACCGCCAACTTACTGAGAGCAGACGACACAAGTTACTCACATTACTGGCAACTCATATGACACGCTGCCTGAAGAAGAAAGAATACCCAACCAGTGGAGGACATCTCGCACTACTCTTCTTCACAAGAAAGGCGGAAGAGAAGAGCTTAAGAATTACCGACTGATCAGCTTGCTAAGTCTGTTTTACAAGCTCTTCACGAAGATCATCATGTCGCGTATTTCAAGGACATTGGATAAAGCACAGCCGAGAGCAAACCGGATTCCGTAGAGGATTCAGCGTCGATCACATCCAAACCGTCTCAAGGGTAGTGGAGTTCTGCCATGAATACCAATGCCCCTACTCCTCACTTTCGTCGATTACGACAAGGCCTTCGATAGTGTGGAAATTGTTTTAACTGCTCTGATCACCAAGGCGTGGACCCAACATGCATAAGGACTATAGCGGACTGCAACAAAGGATGTACAGCACGATACAGCTGTTTGACCACCCGCTCCACATCCGTATCGAGAAAGGACCGACAAGGCGACACTTGTCGCCAAAGCTGTTCACCGCGGTATTGCAATGGTGCATGCAGTCGCTTGATTGGGAAACGAAGAGGATTTGCGTGGATGGCGTTTCGCAGACGATATCGTTTTGTTCTCGAAGTTTGTTAACGAAGCTGGAGAGATGCTGAACGAATCGAACGAAAGCGGGAGAAGAATTGGGCTCAGGATAAATTGAAAGAAGACGCAGTTCATGAGAAATACCTGGTGCAGTGAAGGTCAACTATTCTTGATAGAGCGCCGATAGAGGAACCTCCATCTTGCGCTTACCTTGGACGTGCTAACAATATGAAGAACGACCTCAAGGATGAACTCAACCAAAAACAGAGAGCAGCTTGGGCAGCATTCGGTCCTCTGAGAGAGGCTACAGACCTTGTTGACCCGGAATTGCGCGCTCATCTTTTCAGTGCGACAGTTCTCCCGGCCTTGTGTTACGCAGCCGACTGGGCTGATGCCTCAGCATCCGTGAAGGCGCTACGAACGGCGCACAGGGCACTCGAAAGAAAACTTCTGAAGATGACCAAGTTCAGACAGTATCGACTTGGAATCCGGAGCTCCGACCTCAGACACCAATCGCGTCTAGAAGATCCAGCAGAGTACCTATCGAAGAATGAGCACAGATGGGCCGGCCATGTATTGAGAAATGAAGACGACAGATGGACAAAAAGAACGATAGAATGGATTCCAAGATCCTCGAAACGTCCACACGGAAGACCACCGAAGAGATGGTGTGACAAATTTGTTGCCCGTGTAAACCAACAGCGCCAGCAGTTGGCGTTCAACCCAGGATCGTTCAGCAGCAATCGCAACCACGTACCAAGACGATCATGGATGACGATTGCGCGAAACCTTAACAAATGGTCAAAAGTTGGAGCCCGCACGACGTGTGAGGACGAGCCATCTAAGTAATCCACACTGAAAATACACGAAAAGCCCTGCCGCGAGAAAAGCTAAGAGTTTTAGAGCTTTAAAAAATACGTTTGAGGGTGAAATGTCCCTTACTATAGAAATTCGGCAAAAACACTTCTGTGATAGCACATCTTTCAAATCTTTGTACGATCTTTGGATTTTTTGCGGTAACCAACCGTCTTCTTTTGAAGATTGCTGTTCTTTGCACTAATTAATTACATTCACTATTATGAAGCTACTTATGATAAAGGCTGATAGCACGCGAGATCAAATAAATAGCGCTATTTTTCTTCGATTAGTTGATTTTTTTTACCGAGTCGTGGTAATTGCAGGTCGTTGCTGTTGCGGTTATTGTTCCAACACGATCATGTAATGGTGCTTCAACAACAATCCCATTGCTTACTAAATGACTGTTTAGATGCAAGGACAATTTACAAACTAGTTGAGTATGACAAAAATTGTCCCAAAAACGAGGAATGGGCGGAATGCAAGGACCATTGTATTCCCGATTGCACTAATCCGCGACCGGTACACAAGAAGTCACAAAATGTCACACTAGCAGCTAACCTAAACTATTTGACAGCTAGTGTGCGTCAAGACTTTGGATTGTCTACCCGGATGTCAGTGCAAGAAAGGCTTCATCATATCTAGTGCCGGATGCGTTCGAGATTGTTCTCAAGGCAAGGATTGCTTTTTTCATCTAAGATAGGTAGGAAAAATTGCTTAACAATAAACGACTGTTGCAATCAACACTTTGCGGCAACGCTTTGGGTCAGCTATACGAGTAATTAGAGTTACGTTTTTCTTTTGGCTCCGAGCGCATTTTACGCAATTTTATTCTCCGCGCTATCTGACAATACCCCAGCTGTTCAAAATTCGTTGTAGGCGCTTTTGAATAGACACAAGAATATGACACCTAAAAAGTTTACAAAAGTTATATCTGCTATTTGTGAATGTCAAGTTTGAAAACATCTGGCAAAAACCAAATTGCCTGATAGCTGAGCACAAAGCTTCAAAAACCTTTTGAAACAGATAATTCCAAGTTCATCACAGTGTAACGTACATTTCATTTTGGATTACAGCGCGTTGGTTAAATTCTGACACGTTAATTCAAGTGAATTTGCGGATAAGGTGTGCAGATGCATGATTTTGATCAAAATCTTGCATACTAAAAATAATTCCAAGTGACAAATAATCTGAAAGTCATGTATAGTATTAGGTTGATGCAAAAGAAATGGCCGATTTTTCAAGCCTTTTTTCAGGGCAACTTTTTTCCATCAATACTTCTTTTTTACAACAGATGTGGTATACCATCGCGAAGCAGTTTTCATCCTCTATCTAACGGTGCTTGAAATGGGCTCTCATCCTCATCTCTTATAAAGTTACTGAGCTTCAAATAACCGCATCCAAATTCAGAATTTTATTGCATTCACTTTTCCCGGCCAGAATTCAAGCGCGTATCAATGAGATTTCTTCAAAAATTCAGCTTTTGTATGTAATAGAAATTCTCTCATTATGCATACTTAACTGCATTCTTTGAAGTTATCCAGACTGAGATATCGGCGCCTAAACATGGGTAGCTATTGCGATCATTTTATGACCCATAATTTTCTTCTGAGGAAGTCAGTCGCCGAAGCTTTGCTCAATTCTGTAAGCGTAGAGCTAGGACATTTATCAGCAGCTTTTGCAAAAACATCCAGCTGTTCAGCACGTAAAAAATCAGAAAATTCTATATTCCGGACTTTGAGGCACACTGAAAAAAAACAGAAATTTTAAGTTTCAATTTTTTCTTTTGCGCAAACTATATTGTTCAAATTCTTTTTATTGTATTTTGTATTACTGGCTTGCAGCTACAAGACAGGCCACTTCTCATTCATATAAACAGACTCTGAAAGAGGTTATGAATTGTCAAAAACAAGGTTTTAGCAGAAGAACCTCTTTGTCTTTTAGTCCGTATTTCTCTTCCCGTTTATGATGTGAGTATAATTGAGTATGCGCTGTATTGAGAAAGGTTTGCTGCTTCTGAATGTCTTTACCGCATCCAAAAATGTGGATCTTTCAAAAAGTTATAGCACGTCAAAGTGAGAATTCGCAATCGGCCATTCCTTTTGCATCAACCTAATAATAATGCATACTCCTACTCCGATTTCAAAACTTCTAACTTCAGAAAATTGCCCTCGTCCAAACGAAATTCGATCCAAGTGTATTCCAAGGCCACAATGTCAGCGCACTTGCTTCCCACCTAGTGTAAGCGAAATTTGCTTCAAAAATTATTTGGACTGCTACATGTGTAAAGCCAACTTTTAAGGAAACACATGATTCAATTCGATTCTGGAGACCATTAAACTTAACATACATTTGTAGTAATGAACCTTGCATACCTTTTGAATGTGAATGCCAGAAAGGTTACATTCGTCTCCACAACACACCGGGAAGGGACAGATGCATTCCTCTTGCGACTTGCAAGTAGGTTATAATTCTTGACATGCAACTTGTCATTAATTCACGATGAATTCAGAATACTGAAAGATCAGTTTGGATCCTCTTTGCCATCTGGATTTGACGTCACAGTTCTGAATAACAAAACTGATTCCTGGAAACAACGTTAGTAAACACAGCAGAGCCCTAATAAAAAGTTGTCTACATGATGTTCTTCAATCATCAGTTTAGTATCTTCTGTGCGTCAAAAGACTTCTTATATCAAAGACTTTTGCAGGACTACGCGAATGTATTGTCAGATAAGCGAATGCAAACGCGGTGCGAGATTGCCTCCATTGCTGTAAATCTACGCCTCAGGTCTCTACGGATAATGAAACCTGTTTGCGCCCCCAGGCATTACGGCTTCGTTCAGCACTACCCTTTAGCCCTCTAGTTGTGAGCAGGGTCAAACAAAAGGTGTGGCACACAAGGGCGGATACGAGCCTCCCCCCCCCCCATCTTCTGTCTTAATACCCCCGCCCCTTCCCCTCTCCCCCCCCCCCCCCCCCCACCCCCACCAGCATTACCGTTTGCATTTCGCAGGCATGACATAAAGGCTCTACCATGCATAATTAGGCACATATTCGTAATTATCATGTCAAATACTCCTATGACAAGTTATATCGAATTCTGAGGTTTCCCAATATTGGATCACCCAAGAAGTGGTCATTTTCAAACATGATTAACTATATCTCAGAAGTAAACTAGCCAACTCTTTTTGTACTCAGTACAAAGCATTACTCCATATTTACCCAAACTATGAATACCGCTCCATGTAAGCATCAAACTATGGAATTAGAAGCAGACCACAATCTTGTTTGAAAAAGATTGTGGCCTTCTTTTGCTTTCCTCGTTTGTCCCATTTTTCGCTCTCAAAGGCACCGTCCACCCAGATTTCTGACTTGCACTTTTTGTCGTTTCAAGGCCTTCTCATGCCTCTGATTCCGAATATGAAGTCGAGAATGCGCAAACCGACAATCTCCGTTCCAGAGAACCCACAGGCCGGCTTTACGGAACGGTGATTTGGATGGACGCGCACAAGTGGGCGGGCATGGATGGGGGGAGGGCAGGCATGGATGGGGGTCCTCGGCATTTTCGATATTCCCGAAACGATTTTCTCGCTTCCGAAGGCAATTTTGCGCCCCGACTTGGGCATTGCATTGATAGGGGGTCCTACTATTTATGCTGCCAAAAGCTCAACACCCTCAACTTAGGGTGGACGGTTGCCTTTAATGGCTGCGTTTCACCAACTTTTACTTTTGAAAAGATGTAAGCCCAAATTACTTCTATGGAAACTATAATACTGAGGCTATTGAAATATGTATATGTATGTTGTTCGCTAAAATTCTTTACGGAGGTGAGTTAATGGGGTGTGGCACAAACCCTAGAAAGCTGTGGCTGCCACAGCTTTCAGGTTTTGTGCCACCCCCATTAACTTACCTTCAAAGCATTCAAATCTCTGTCTTTTTTTGATGTTTGCTACTGCTAGATCTTCGTCTCCACATAGCAGAAATTTCATTCAAAATTGTTTTTTCTGGGGAAAGATTTAATCGTTTTTCTCTAAGCAAATGGAAAACACTGCGAAAATATTGGATTACGGTAACATGCTAAATCTGCGCTACTACGTGAATCATGAGGGAAGGCGACAAGAACAAGTACACTCGATAGCTTGTTCCTCATAATTTTCACAAAAGTGATTTTAGCCTGATTGGTCTTCTCTAGTCTGAGAAATTGAAAGCGAAAAATGGGACAAACAAGATTTTGATCTTTACTTCAGATTTCAAAATAAAGTGGGATTCCTAATAAGCGCAGTACTTTGTACTGCGCTTATTAGGAATCCTTTTAATAGGTGCAAGAAGAAGCAGATTACTCGCCTTTGAAACCAAGTTAAGGTGTTTGGAAATGACCACTTCACTTGAGTGTCCCAATATTCGGAAACCTCAAAATTCGCTGAAACATGGCCCACCGGGGTTATTTGATTACGAAACTGAGCTCTTATGCTTTTGGAATTTTTTTTATCATACTTGCTGTACGTGTACGACGGTAGGCCAAAACACCACCCTATATGTATGTATGTAATTGAAAAATGTTTTAAAAATGAAAAAGAGGGATTGATCGATAAAAGAGCAGCTATTTGTGCAGTGACTGGTAAAGTGATAGGTAAACCTGGTAGTCATAAAAACGGACAGGGCAAAACAGTGACATTATTACTCCCGATCTCTTATCGGGTGTTTTTTGGCATTATGAACGTGAGCCCATCGCTCTATCGGGCGCTCGCTTACAACGGCGAAACAGCGCCAGATCAATTTGGCAGATTGATGAATACTGTCCCTGAGTAATGCTGTACATGATACAGTCTGTTTCAGCCAGTTTAGGCCAGAAATGGAATGGTGATGGTAGCACAATATCGCAACGGCGGCGTCATGTTATGCCAGGAACGCTTGTATGTCTGGTCATTCTCTATGAGATCCGATAACGAAAAGCCAGCGCTGCGTGCACGCAAAGCCTCCAGCGAGGCCGACCAGTCGCTTCACATAAACTATCTTCACCTACATCCGTTTAAAATGAGTGTAGCTTCAATCTCAAAAGCGAGAAAAGCGGCTGCATTGATATGATCAAGCATAGATGTACGCAGGGCGTTGATACACCAAAATGAGGACCAGGAGGTGGGCTTAATTGCAGTTGATGGACAAAATCAAGACCAATGTGTAAGAACTTACAAGGAAAGTGTTCCTAGTCGAAGTGACCTTTTCCATTGTAAGCTATCCCACTATAAAGTCATTAAACGTTGACTTAAATGCGTTTTATCTTTCTAACGCCTTTGCAAGCTGTGTTATGAGTGTTCTTTGGAGCGAAGGATGCAGGCAGAATTTGGGTAGAAGGACGTTACGGTCACGCTCAGATAGAGAAGTGTTACGCATGAGTATATTATGCTGAGCAAGAAATGGTCAGAACTTAAACCACTATGCTAAACAAGCTATAAATAGTCGGACTCGCCTTAAAACGATGATTTTACGTATATATTTTTTATCTGCAAAACACTAGCTGGACGGAGTTGTGCGATTTGTCGACTGCTCTGTGACGCTTGTTGCCGAAATACATCTCAAAAACACTTGCATAGGTTTTTGCTAAACGTGTTTTTTCTAAACGTGTAATTAGAATACCCTTAACCACTGTCAATTCGCGGTATCAGGGTGCCTTTCAACGTATCCGTTGGAACTCGAATAATTTCCCATATTTGAAAGCTCATAACTCCGTCCAAATAGTCGTTTGGCAGACAATATACATATATCTTCTCACAAACAATCCTATCCAAATATGAATTGCCAACAAAGTATGTTACCCAACTCTGTGTTTAATTGTTTATAACTTGCTCTTCTCTAAAATAGAACTTTGTTTGGGCCCAGTCCCTCTTTTTTGCCAGCTAGCCTTCGCCCGCAGGCTAGCTGGCAAAAAAGAGGGTACTGCAATTTTCAGAGGAAGCAAGACCTTAGGTTTTATTCTGTGACTTCAAATGTCTTGGCAAGCTAAGGTATTCATTGCCTGAAGTTCAGTCAAATCATATACAGGCATATACAGGGTGTCCCAGAAAAATGTGCCTACTGTTTGATTGTAATTCTTGCAATGAAGTGTTTCACGATGCTTCAGGTATTGTTTTGTAGAGCAAGGTTGAGCTTAGATTTACAGTACGGAGCGAATCTCTATCGCTCTTTACTGTAGGATTATGGTACGAACTTCGACAAGATTTTAGGCCTTGGGAGTCTATATTCTGCCTCGGAACAAAACCAAACAAGCCAAAACTCTTATACTACGGTAATGGGAGCCGCTGATTTCGAATTTAAAATTTATATTTTACTGTGATGCTTCTTTCCAAAGTTACCCCAGGTAGACCGTAATAATAGAATTCTCAGTACTTGTCAGAAATGTGATTACACCGTCAAAAAAGCAAGCGAAAACACTCAAAGTTGTTAGGTGGAATCAACATGCCCGAAAACCAAAGTACACAATTTTTCAGATTGAAAAATTTTGTTAAATGGTATATTCCACAATAGTTCCATATGCTGGAAGTTCTTACCGTAATCCTACAGTAATGGAGCGCGATAGATGATTCGCTCCATACTGTAAATCTAAGTTTACCTCGCTTACAAAAAGGTACCTAAAGCTTCTCGAAAAACTTCATTTCAAGAGAGTTACTTACAATCGAACACTAGGCATTTCTTTGGGACATCCTGTATTACCATGTAGTATAAGGCTCCGCACGAGTTGGCTTAAATTGCGAAAAACGATCTTTTTGAATTTGCAATAAAAGTACGACTCCGCCATGAGATATTGAAAGAGAAAACACATGAACAGGAATGGGACAAAGCAAAACAAAAAAAGAACGCCAAAAAAGCATCAAACAAACGCAATGATATTCTTCGGATTGGCGGCATGATCTGTCCAACGAGTAGCACTAACAGAGGTGCGATAGGGGGAGCCAAGTCTCCCCCTACCTTCACTTTTGAGCTGATACAGAGTGACCACCTTCACTTTTGCGAAAATTTTTTTGTTGAATATAAAGAAGGAAAATAAGTAAAACAAACGCAAAAGGGATTATTGAAGGCATATACATATGTATTGCAGTTTTAGGAACTCGCCGTCACCCATCGGAAGCGAAGGCCATCACCGCCATGGACGCATCCACTTTTCCGCCTTTCCACGAAATCGGAGAAGATAGCTTCGGGACGAATTTCGATTTAAAAAGCTATGACCAAACGGTCCTCTTTAGGGCCAACAATTGACCCAACGGCCCTTTTTAGGGCCACAGATACGATGAACACAGCGGCATAAATATTCGAAATAAACGTGTCAATGAAATGGTGTATTTTGAAGTGAAACTCAACGACACTCTACAGATTTTATTAAGTAAATTTAGTTATGTCGTACTGCGAAGAAAGTAGGTCGATCCAGGAAGTATTTGCCGAGAACCAGATTGAATGAAAAAATAACCAGAAATCATGCAAAATTGCCACTGTTATAAACCAAGTGGTTGAAGATGTCAGCAACTGCGACTTCATAGGTTTTAAAGGGTAAGTGTTGCTCTAAGAGATAGTGAGAGAATCGGGTCGATTTGAGCAGTGGTCGCTGAGAACGAGAATTTTGAAAAATTAGGCGATTTTAGGCTAATTTTTGACTGCTGACATTTGAACTCCTAAAACTCTTGATTGTGAAGATGTGTGATGTTGCGACTTCATAGGTTTTCTAGGGTAGGGTTTGCCCTACTAGAATATATCTTACCCGTACCAATTCATCAAAGCACCGCCGAGATCCAGGCTCTTGAAAAAGCAGGTAAAAAACAGCTTTTTGAACTTCAACAGCTCGTAACTTCTCCAGAACTGCATGAATCATGTTGCGACTTCATAGGTTAGATTCCTCTCATCAAGGGCTTTCAGACGATATATGATATATGGGGGTTTGGGGCCTTCTTCGACGTATGACCGGGGGGGGGGGAGACTTTTTAGGCCAAAGTCTCCCCCCCCCCCCGCCCATTTTAATGTATTGGCTGGAGGCCGCCAGGGGAGACTTTGGCCTAAAAAGTCTCCCCCCCCCGGGCATATGCCGTAAGAGGCGCGAAACTCCCACATATTATATATCATCTGAAAGCTCTTGATAAGAAGAATTCAACCTATGAAGTCGCAACATGATTCATGCAGTTCTGGAGAAGTTACGAGCTGTTGAAGTTCAAAAAGCTGTTTTTTACCTGCTTTTTCAAGAGCCTGGATCTCGGCGGTGCTTTGATGAATTGGTACGGGTAAGATATATTCTAGTAGGGCAAACCCTACCCTAGAAAACCTATGAAGTCGCAACATCACACATCTTCACAATCAAGAGTTTTAGGAGTTCAAATGTCAGCAGTCAAAAATTAGCCTAAAATCGCCTAATTTTTCAAAATTCTCGTTCTCAGCGACCACTGCTCAAATCGACCCGATTCTCTCACTATCTCTTAGAGCAACACTTACCCTTTAAAACCTATGAAGTCGCAGTTGCTGACATCTTCAACCACTTGGTTTATAACAGTGGCAATTTTGCATGATTTCTGGTTATTTTTTCATTCAATCTGGTTCTCGGCAAATACTTCCTGGATCGACCTACTTTCTTCGCAGTACGACATAACTAAATTTACTTAATAAAATCTGTAGAGTGTCGTTGAGTTTCACTTCAAAATACACCATTTCATTGACTTTATTTCGAATATTTATGCCGCTGTGTTCATCGTATCTGTGGCCCTAAAGAGGGTCGTTGGGTCGCAGTTATTGGCCCTAAAGAGGACCGTTGGGTTAGAGCTCTTCAGTTGTCCGAAGTCATCATGAAGCTTTGCTCTATCGTAGAAAGTGCTGAGGCGTATATGCGTCCATGCCGGTGATGACCTCCAGTTCTCGCAGAAGGCGACGGCGATTTCCTAAAAATAAACTACATAGAATATGCTCTCAATACTTTCTTTTGCGTTCGTTTTGCTTATTTTCCTTTTTTTCAGTTTCAGCAAAAAAATCAATACCCAAAAGTCCGAAAAAAACCCAAACCAAAAAAAAACCCAAAAAACCCAGTTCAAAGTCCGTCCTGTGCCCCCCCCCCTCTCTACCCCCACCACCGGTCAACGTTTTTGAGAGGTGAGTGTCCGGCACTACCACCTTCATTTTTGCTGCCCTGTGGTAGCTGCGACCCCCCCCCCCCCGGTCGACATTTTTGGGAGGTGAGTGTCCGGCACTACCACCTTCACTTTTGGCAGCCAGTGGTAGCAGAGACCACCTTCACTTTTGGGGGACCGGGCTCCCCCTATCGCACCTCTGAGCACTAAGCGCCTGGAACAGCGTTGCCGTCGCCATTCAAAATTTTCAAGGGGCTGTAATTAGGCGGAAAGCAGAGGGGGGGGGGAGTTTAGGGACCAATTTGTAGGGTTTAGGGTGTAGATGAATTTTGTTAAAGAAAGTAGAAAAATTATGTTTCAGGTGGCTTGAAAGCCACTTGAAACATAATTTCAGGTGGCTTTCAAGTCGCCTGAAATTATGTTTCAAGTCGCCTTCAGTTCACATAATTTTTTTATAATTATTCGCACTAAGTCCTACCTCCGCATCTACACAATTATTCTGGTGTCATTTCATCTTTACTTCGCTGTAAACAAACCCTTTGTTTGTTTGGGAGAGCATGCTGCCTGCATGCCGGCAGCGTGCCGGCGGCAGGTCGAAAGACAGTGGTATGCTTTTCAGCTATCCCCTTTGCTTTTTCCCCCCAACAACGATATCCAGCTTGCATGGTAAGCCACCTGTGCCTTTTCAAGTGTATGTATTGAACACAACGTTCATCTTTGGCGTCTCCACACTGACTTTGCAGTTGCAAAAACGCAGTGAAATGGCTAATTGTACGCTTGCATCAGATTGTGTTTATTGGAACCTAGAAAGTAAAGAAAACATAAGGAAAACCCCGAAGCACACCTAAAGGGATGTCTGCTTCTAAAATCCGGGAAGGTAACGCCAAGGGTGGGCAGGGTGTGCAACCTTTATGCTGGGTATTGGACCATTTGCGCAACTCTGTACCATTTTATCTCAGTTGAGCATTCACTTTTCAACCCAGAAGACGCCCATAACTCGGCACAAACTTTCAGATAACGAAAGCAGGTTCGCAATCGTTGAATCTTTATAGAATGATGTAGAATTCATTTGGAAAGATGACTAAACAGTTTTCTTAATAGATTTGAAAAAAATGTGTTAGATAGTTGTATGTGGAGGCATATGATCCTTTGCAAGGTAGGGCAATGACTCTTTACATTTATGTTTTCTTTATTCAATGTATTTTGTCTGCAGATGAGCTCTCATTCTCGTTATCTCGTTGTGTCATTGCACAAAATTTGGCTTAACCAGAACGAAGGCACTGCGAATCTCCCGAAAGTTTTTATATATTTATGGGATGACTTGCGAAACATATCCTGAGAATGCACGTATATTTGGAGATGTGGTTAGCGCAAATTCCTTCTTTGCCTTTCGCAACCAAAAGGTAAGCTGTCGATGCAAGAAAACTTCGTAGGAAATCTGTTTACTACATTGTCAAGGAGATTTTTACCTGAAACCCATCTTGCAGATGACAATGACTAAATCTTATGGTTTGGGGGTAAACTACAATAATCAATTCTCGCGAATCACTTAGTGCGTTTTGACGTGTTTTGATAAGTAACAATAGGGAATTTGTGAAAAAACGTTTTCAAGCTTGTTGAATGACGGAAAATTAAATATATTCTTTCACGAATTTTCAATACTGTTTACTTGAGGCGTTGAATCGCACTCATAAACTTGTTAATCAGATGAATGCAGAGCGTGCGCATGTCCCTTAAACAGAGAATAAACGAGACATTTCATTCGTGATGCTTACAAAATTTCCGAAGAAATCATTATTAAAACTGCGGCGCCACACGATCGCAACCATAGGTTGAACATGGTTAGTTGTAATAGGTCGGGATAGAATACACGTCATAACTTGCGGCGAACAAATATGACAATTTTTTCAAAGCCTATCTCTAATTAGTGCAAAGCATGATGCATCTAAGTCAAAAGAACTGCACTCTTCTCGCATAAATAAAAAAGTAAGCTATTTTCTATCAATCAAGCATCGTGATTAGCTCTGATTTACGTCGTTCCGCACGTTTTTTCAACGGCTCTGCCATATGCGTGTTTAAAAAAATAATCACGATATTACTTACAATCAAAATGATCGAATATTGCCGTTTTGCGGTGACAACTGACGCAGTAATTGGGTCATTTATCTACTCGATGTGACAGCTCATTAAGCTACGTAGGATACATTCAAACGACAATACATGATGGATTGCATCCTTTTTATCGCGCTAATCTATTCACTTTCCCTTCCGACGGCGGTGAGTCATGTTTTGAACCGAGCACTTCTACTGAGTACTTGCGAGAGAATGGGCGTAACAATCGCTAAGGTTAATGAGTTCCAGATTAATTGAAATACATTTTTTCTCAAATTAACAAATTTACAGCAAACGAACAAAAGTAAATGTAAGCTGCATCAGGAACCTGTTGCGTAAATTATGACTTATATTCATTCTCCTCCTTCTGTTTAAAGGGCAAGCTCGAGTATTTCGCTATTTCCATCAAGTCTGAGAGACGCCAAATCTGTGAGTAAGCAACCAAAACATCTACAATACATTCGTTGCAGCATTTCTTTCTTTGTTTGGTGACGAGATGTCCGAAGTAATGCAGAAATTGTAATTTGTCGTTTTCACAGTCGCATTTCCGTTTTATTCTTGATACTAAGTTTTGCAAGCCATTAGGTAACCTTTTGAGGAACCCTTAATCTGTGATGATTTCCAATAAGAAATAAGAATTTGTCACAAGTAAAATGCATTCCATGTGCACTTTACTTGCCAAGATAGACTGCCGTCTCCAGCAGAGCAACCTGATTCTTTCAGCTGGTCATGATGCGTAGTAACTCAACTTCGGTCAATGCAAACACGAGTTTTCAAGTGCACAAGTTCACGAGACAATTTTGTAGACAGCCTAATATTCAGTCGAAATCGAAGGGAAGTAACTAGAAACAAAAGTTTGGTGAACACGTAACTCGAGACTTACAAATACAGCGCAGCTCTCAAATTTTGAGATTGCTTCGGCTTCGAAGCAGCCCTTCAAATCTTGGCGAGTTCACCTGTCGTGGCACGCAGGCAGTCGTAATGTTCGGCCCACGCCTTCGCGACATCTGCTTCTTTCACTAGGCAAATATGCAGTGCAGTTTATAGAGTAACTCTTGGCTAAAACATGTTCCGAAAAATTCATTTGCTTGGTTGGGAAAAAGCCTTAAGTGAAGGCAAGTGTATTCGCATAGGAAATTTGGATGCGATTGCGATCGGATCTATAGCTTTTAAATTTGTTTTGAAGACAGATGGCCACTGGCATGCAAGTAATACCACTTTTTTAATTTGAGTTCTTGAAAAAAAAAAGATTCCGGCAAACGCAACTGTTACGATAATAGCGCAAAGCCTCCTCTACTGCATCAGAATGTTGTAGAATATTCACAGTATCTGCAGCTGCGGAATGAATTATTGTAAATAAGATTTTGATTCTCCCGCTCTGAAAAAGCACTCGGTAAAAAATCAGTCTTACAAGAACATATGACAGGCATTCTCAGCTAGGTAAAGTGTAGACGATAACCGCAGTATCATGTGGCATAAATTTGGAAAGTACATCAGTAGATTTGTATATTTTAATTTACTGCAAATTTGGCTCCCAACCTTTTGCCGCACCCTTATAAAGCATACAATATATTACACGTTTGTTCAAACTGATTCGAAGAATTTTTGGCGAAAAACACTATTGAATTTGGGCTTCAGACTCCATTTGACAATGCATGCGGTTTGAAGGCCATTTTGCTTGCTATATCGAGGGGTGTCATTTGTTCATTTTTGGAGCTCATCATGCCCTGGTATCACAGTAGTCACTTTTTTACTCTTCAATACATTTGAATCTCCAGTTTTCTTGAGATCTTCATCCTACGTAATTTTTTATAGCATTATCATAGTCATTATCAAACCTGAAGCCTCGCTTTGCATGATTTGGTTTATTGTATTCTGGAATAAACATTCATAAAGATGTTCACATTTGTCGATGGGATCAATTCTTACGATGGTTTCCTTCTTAACATTTCGTGTTAGAGCCTTACCAGCATTTCGTCGCCATACTGCCCTTCCTTCTCCCTACGCGCAAACAAATCACTTTGGGCACCCTCCCCCCTTCTATTGGCATCAAGGCTTACAGTCTGCCCCAATCCTAACCAGGCCAAAATTGGCTTGGCGGGAGTGCGCGTCGCGAGGGTTTCCCGCCATTTCTGCGTCTAGCTAGTCTGCTCTCTCCTCAATCTCTTCGCTCTCTGCGACAGCGCGTGTGTGCAGCGCAAACCCCTAGCGCTGCGAGCGCGCAAATTCAGCCGACGGTTCGGCCTGATCCCGATTGGGGCAGACTGTACCTCAGAAAAATTTCGCCTCAATTCATCGCATCATCCTGACAGTGAGACGAAAATAAGCACCGCCCAAATTACATAGCGTTGGCAAATGATTGATAACGATTGATAAGATTTTGTTTTCCCATAATGTACGTTAGAAATCAATAAAGCGGAAGTGCCTCGCAAATTGGCTCAAAATGTAGTATGAAACATTATCTGAAATCGAAAGAGTTAGCGTGCAAAGTTTCGGCAGACGGTCTATGTACAACGATGTCCATAGGCAGCACACATTTTCTGCACTTGGTTACAGACCTGCTTCATTTATATAGAGACCTAAGCATGATATATATGGATATGTAAAGTTTATATTAAGTAAATAAGGGTTGCTACAGTTTCAGGTTTGCGGCGAGTCGCACAGCTACACACAAGAAGGCCTTGTTTTAGACGAAGAAGGCTTTGCAAAAGTCAAAGACATACATAGAAACTGGTATTTTTTCTCTATAAAGGCTTTGCTTGGACAGATCGCAAAGGAGCTACTTGATAGCATAGACAGCGGTAACCCTTTTTCCATGTGGGATCGTGTCATCTTTCACAAACTCACAATCTCTAGACATTTGCACCCTTCGTTTAGCTTCGTGCTTGCGACTTAGGCTGTGCCTCAAGCGAATAGTACGCATCAGAGATGTCAGAAGGACAGCTACATGCTTACTAAAAGCCAAAGAACAGTGGAGAAAACACATAAAATTCAGGTTTCTTTTTGACACGATTTGGGTGTTTTTTACGATTGAATTAACAAGTGTCTTCTACGATTTGAGGTCTTGGTGCTAGCAACATACTGCCAATTTGAGTTAATAAGCTTGTACAAATTTAAACAGAATAGTTTTCTAATGTTTATCTGTCGAAACCGGCCCTTGCAGTCGAAAATGTAGAAATTTTTCAAAATATAACAGCGTAATTTAGACCGTTACGTGCTAACGAGTGTGCATTGGATGGACAATGCAATCAACGGGTGTGGACGAACGTCACGAAACTGTACGTTGCAAAGAGTTACTTGAAGATGAAAGAAGCACGAAGGCGAGCGCACATATTTGGCTCGATAAGATTCAAACGAAGCACTGGCCGTTTGACCTTGCCGATGGAATTGAGAGCCGATTATGACAAGGTAGATCACAGTAAACCAAGGAAACCTGCAAAATAACTCTATTATGATCCCACCAGGTGAAGACAATGAATCATGCGCCAACGATACAACAGAAGAGTGGAGCAAGTCTAGTTCATCGCCTCACAAATCTCTTCGTATCTCTCTTTGGAGAGTCTTCGGTAGATGAATTACCCAGGAAATGGTCGAATACGTATCAGACCATAGCTAGATTATCCAAAGTGCTAGATACAAATGGGGAGTTGCCCGGAGCAAAAGTGTACAGTGCGAGAATCTACGATGTTGTCGCTAACGACAAACGAGTCAAAGCTCATGATAAAGTAAGTCAATTCAAAAAAATGATTGTCTAACGTAAAAAAATATTTCAGATTCATGTTCCTTCATATCTTAAAGATGCTTTTGCCATCGTAAATTCGTTCAGTGGGGCTGAAAACGCACGAATACTTAGTCCACGGATTGCTCCTCTTTTACCGGATAGACATACTAGAGGTTTTTTGTCACCCTCAATTCTTCCATTCTACAAGGATGAAAGCGAACAACAGATACTGCCGGTTCCAAAGGTATATTGTGCTGTTTCCAAAAGTTTCTCGCTTCGAAAAAAATGATGTTTGCGAAGAAGATGTAACGATAACAGATTATGTTCTTATTGCAGTTGCTTGAAAACGTCGGCCTTAACGAGAGTGACCGGCAACGGGTTATCGAAATGATAATGGAAGTGTCAGGAGCACGCAAAACCGTCGATAAGGCAGCCAAGGTATACATGCCTGTTCACAGAGATTTACAGTGCAAAAAACCAGGACAGATTTACAGTCATATCAAACGTTTAGGTGCTGCATTCTTTGAGTGCGATGGGCATGGATGAGAGACTTCTTGCAGTAACTGAAAAGGTTTGCTTTAGTTGCACTCTGTAACACCATGATATTATGCAAAAATCTCTGAAATGATTTGGCTGTAAAGGTAAACTCGAGTGAGTAAAGTTGTGCCAACACTTCTATCATATTATCTACTTATTCATCAACTTGTATTTGAAAAAAAAATAACTGGTCCTGGTCCTGGGTTGCTAGCAACCCCACAGTTGATTTTTGAGATAGGCATGGCGTTTGAGCAGCTTCGAACTTCATTATCAAGGAAGCAAAGCACGGAGTTGGATAAAAGAGGATTCACTTTTATTAATCCCAAACAAATGGAGAAACTTATCCAGGATCAAGGTTAGTTTACTCTTGCGCACAATACAGCTATTGATTTTTCGGTCTGTTTTATAGAAGTAAATGTTCCGGCTATACACGAGCACGTAAACAGCTACAAATCCTTGTACCACAGCGGAAACGAAAAGATTCTGTGGGACGCTGTTGCGCAGATAGCCGGAAGGAAGAGGGTATGTTTGGGAAATCTGATTTGTCTTAGGATGAATTTCAGCGTCGAATCAAAAGACAGTTCCAACCAATTGTAGTAGGAGAGCCTTACATCTTGGCGCCGTATCAATTCGCACCAATATTTGGCTTCACTCTACTAGGACCTGCTATTCTTTCTCCTAACATATTTTCACCTCTGATTCTAAATCCTGCTGCTCTTGGGCCTTGGTTTTTGTCGCCAGCAGTCGCGATACCATTTATTCTTTCTCCCTACGTGTTTTCACCCTACACTTTGTCCCCGTTGGCTATGGCCCCGTTCATATTAACTCCTTATGCTCTGTCACCCAATATAATGAATCCCTATGTGCTTTCACCGGTCATTTTGAGTCCACTTGTACTATCCCCGGATTTATTATCGTCAATGGCGCTTGGTGGACCTATTCTATCGCCAGCCGTCCTGTCACCTTCTGTTTTGTCGAAAAGTTATCTTATGGTTAATATACTGTCACCTAGTCTTTTGTCGTGAGAAATGAGCAAAGAGGTAACCACATATTTCGCGATGAATTGGCCTTGAAAGATGGTTTATTGCCGTTTTTTTAGTTCTGTTACTAGACGTTTATACATTGTTATGTTGTTATCAAAATAAAGTTACAAAAAAAACATACGGCTAATTGTCTCACAAGATATCACACATACTAAATTCAAAGTTTTGTTTTAGAATGAGTAGGACATACACACCGATAAACTCCAGCAGTGATACATGTGCGAAGTAGGTGTTAGCGCATAGTGGAAAGTTCGGAACTACGACAGTGTTTGTAGCGAACTTTCCAGTTGATCGTATTGTTGCATACCGATTATCACGGGGGAAAAACATATAATCTCTCAAAAACGACTTCGCTAATTTAGGTGCGGAAATACAGGGTCCCAAAAGTAAGTATACACTTTTCAATTATTGATATCTCTCTTCCCGTTAGGTCTTTTTCCGCCATTCAAGTAGTACCATTCTGTAAAGGAGGCTTCAACTTGAATTTATAGCAGCGAGCGAGTCACGATCGCTCTTCGTTACTGTAGGATTAGGTAAGAACTTCCGGCATGTGGAACCATTGTGAAACATGCCATCTGACAAATTTTTTTTGATCTGAAAAATCGTGTGCTAGGATTTTCGCGCACATGATTCCACTACACAACTTTTTATGAGTGTTTTCAGCTTTTCTGACGGTGCAATCACATTTTTGACAAATGCTGCTAGTTCAGTTATTACGGTTTACCTGGAACTTTGTAAAAAAGCATTAAAGTAGAATGAAATATTCAAATTCGAAAACAGCAGCTTCCATTACCATAATGTAAGAGTTTTTGGCTTATTCGGCTTTGTTCCGAGGCAAAATATGGCCTCCAATGGCCTAAAATCTTTGTCGAATTTCCTACAGTAATCCTACACTAATGAAGAGAGGTGCGTGATTTGCTCGATGCTATTGAACTAAGTTGAAGCTTTCTCTACAGAATGACACTTGAACGGCGGAAAAATACTCAATGGGAAGAGAGATATTAACGATTGAAAAGTGTGTGTGTTTACTTTTCGGACACCCTATATATTCAAGAAAAAAACTGTTGCTTAATTCCTATTGCGTATCTGCGCTCTAGCTGCTAAGGGGGCTGTCCGTTTTAAAGTGACTGGAATCAAACTGAGTTATACACGGTAGTGGCGGGAATTGTGCTGCCAGGCGTAACATATTGGTTAGTCGAAGTTGATTGTGTGGCACATTCACTTTACCGGGATCTCTGAAGATATCGTAGTAAGAACTAAAGTTTATGCCCAAATTTGTCACCACATATCAAGTTAGGTGAAGAAACTTGTTTCAAATGTGTTCTTTTGTCGAAAACGGCTGGACGTTTCAACATCAAATCCATAACAGTTTCGCCAGCATTTGTACAAGAAATTCGAAGGATTTGGGAACATATCGTTTTTCATACACTCATCTCTCATTTAAGTGCCTTGGAATCATTGAAGGTTTTAAAACCTTTTAGGGAGAAAGATCACGAAAGGATTGGTTGGTCTTGCCTTACTCGCTAGTCCCTCATCTTGGCTATCGTTGCAAACTAAGTATGATTTCTTTGCCATACGCATGCGATTAATTTGCTTAAAAGAAGTTAAGACGTGATCTCTTGTTTTGTATGAATGTCAACTTACTATGTGTTGTTTCTGCATCATTCTAAATCGCTGACTCTCCCTCTCGGCCAAGTTGAACTATAATATGTTACGCATATATTACAAGATTACATAATATGTTATGTTCTAACATAAGTCTTGCTACACTATAACTTAAGGCGATAAGTTGTGCACTTCACATTTTCAAAGCTATCCAAGGAACTATTCTATAGAATAAAGCAAGCTATAGAAGAAGGTGTGCAAAAGTTCGCACCAGCTACCCACCGTAAGTTTGCATTCAAATTCTGAGACGTACTGAAAGCTGAAAAAATCGCAAAATTCATATTTTCGTTTAAAAAAATCCTACGCATCTCCAACCTGCTCACAAAAATTGCACACCATATCAGATGCTCATATATACCGTTCGTATACGTTCCTGTATTTTTCTCATTCAAAAATCGAGAAAACGATAGTTTTCATGTCCATACAAAAACGAAGCTGTGTTGTTTCCACTCATGTAGTTGTCTACTACAAGCCCTTAGGAGTGTAACCATAAATTTTCAGCTTTCCGTAGGCCCTAGTTTTCGAAAATTACCTAATTTAGCTCTCCTCAACCGTGTGTTCTATGCTCAAATCTATATTTCTCGAAAACTGGCTTGTAGGGAGCTGAAAATTTACGGTTATACTTCTAAGGGGTTGTAGTATACAATTACCTGAGGGAAATAGCATAACATCGTTTTTGTGTCAAAAATCTTCGTTTTCTCATTTTCTAGATAGAGAAAAAGTACGGGATGATACATATGAGTATCTGATGTGAGCAAATTGGTTTTTTTGAGTTCGTAGGATTTTTTTTGAATGAAGATATGAATTTTTGCGATTTTGTGAGCCTTCAGTACGTCTCAGACTTTGAATGCAAATTCATGGTGGGTAGCTGGCGCGAACTTTTGCACACCTTCTTATAGAGCTCTTTGCTCTATCGAATAGTAGTTTAAACCCTTACTGAAAATGTGAACTGTATGACTTACAGCCTTAGAAAGTTAGAGTGTAACAAGACTTAAGCTACAACCTAATATTACATAGTTACGCAACTATAATATACATACGAGCAAACGAAGACTTTTCGAATGTTTGTTGTGAGCAAGTGCATCGAGCTTTTCGTTTGCGCAAGGAACAGATGAGAGTTTGTGTCAAATTATCTGGAAATGATAATTTTGTATTCATCGCCTTGATTGGCAATGCATATCTTTTCGGTGTTTTTGGGAGCTCTTCGAGTTGTAAATATATCCGCTCTCAAAGCTTTTGATTTTTAGCATTAAATTAATTTTATACAATTTCGTTAAGAAAATGAAACATTGAAGAGAATAGTTGTAAATGAATTCTGGCCTCTCTTTGTATCTACCAACCAAACAAGGCCCGTGCTTGTATGTTCTTTTCTGTTGAAATGCATATGTATTCCCTCAAAGAACTTTGAACGCTGATTTCAAATCGGTTTTCCTTGGAGCACTTTTAATTAAGAAGTTATGAGCGTTCATTTGTTAAAAAACTGAATGCCTGATTAGAACAAAAGTAATGTTGAGAAGATTTCCAACTCATATGGAATAATAGCGATGACGGAGGTGGCAAGCAGAAATTTCTCCCTTTATAAAGAGGAAAACTGAAACTCTATCCGTAGAATCCATACAGCTCAATTTGCTTACACATGTACCCCAGTCCTGACATTCGCAGATACATTTGTTGTATTGCAATGGCTAAAATGAGAAAACCAAAAATAGGCCAAAAACACGAAAATGTCGTCTTTTCCGTTTTTTCTTTGTACTTTTGATATTTCTCAAAACTAGCGCTCGTAGAGCTGAAAATTGATGGTTATGCTTCCTAGTACTAATACTATTGAAATGACTACTTGTGAAAAGCCCAAGATTTCCTTGGCCTGCAAATCTCATTTCATCGGTGTCTAGTCATGGGAAAATCATTGAACTGTGCATACGAATGTTGGATGTGGTAGTGTATGCGTGAGCAGCTTGAGGGTTCATGTGGTTAGACGTTCTTTTCTATTTTCTGAGCATTGCGGGTCTCCTCATTGCCTCAGAATTCCAGGAAAATCAACTGAACCAAATGTGAGAACCCTATCGTAAGGCTAGCTTTGGTTTACCGAATGGGACCATATTCAATTTTTCACCTGTTCACTTTACCATATAGCAGGCCATTGTGACTTTTAAGTGTTTTCGACAACCTTATATAATCGCATAGAAGAAACAGCATCCACTGTTCATCATCTACTCATAAATCAGCGCCTGTTCACCGAAACTGTGGTGCACGCGTGAAATCACTGACAAGTTATGATAAATTGATGAGCGCAGGATTTATGTCCGTGACAGAGATCTGTGTTCAATCTTACGCAAATTCTGCGATTGAAGTCACTGCTTAGCTGCAATCAAGTTTTTTCTTATGGATGCATGAATATTGCTCTTTTATTCACTTCATTAATCTGTTATCAACTCACACTACAGGTAAGGCTTTATTTCAGTCGCTTTCTTTAATTCAGTAAGCAATCTGTTTAGGAGGCGTGGGCCAAAGTGTACGAGGAAAGCATGAATAATTTAGTGCTTAATCATGAAGATTTCAAAAAAGTTCGCGACATACATAGAAATTGGTATTTGTTTTCTCTCAAAGCCCTGCTTGCACAATTAGCCAAAGACTTCCTCGTTGCTGCCTCCACTGGTAAGTATTGATGCTATAGTTAACAAAAACGCAAGTTATCTCAAATCTTATAGAAAGTAGCCAGGAACTAAAAAGATGCTTACGAACTATACGAGAAACAAAAGATCTCACTAAAACAGCAAGGTGCCTCGTAAAAGCAAAAGCGCTTGAGGAGAAGACGACAAACTTACGCAGGTTGGTCATGAAGACTTTTGATCATTTTTGTTTTTCCTAGACGTATGCAACAACTTCTCTACTTTCCTTCTTTCGTGTTTTTGGCAAGTGCTACCATGTCATGCAAACTTCGATGCTTTTTTCACTATATTTTCTTTTGATTCAGAAAACAAACTGTTTTGTACTTTCGAGTGATCCGCCTGTGCGTAAACCAGCCTGCTGTTCACCAGAGAACTCCTGCTCAAGGCATATCTCTTTGCAACTAGAGCGAGGGCAAGGCCTCCAACCCTCGCTTTGCTCTCACCTTCACCTGTTCTCAATCTCGAAACCGTGCATGAAAGTCCCTGCCGCTAGGGAGAGCGGCGCCTCTAGTTATAAAGAGCCGCAGCGGCTTCTTGCCCAATTCATAATCAAAGGCACGGCTTCTTCAAAAGCTCGGCAAATTCTCGACGTGATTTTTTGCTCACCTGAGGTTATCCGATATGCTGATTCGAAAATCCACTTTGGAGAGCAATTAATGAAAAACAGAATCCCTTCATTTTGAATTTAGACGAGTGAAACACTTCACCCATAGTTGGCGACGCAGAATCGTTGCGGAACCCTTACGTTTATAACATTGCTGCACGCCGTCTCTGATGGTTGAGGGAAATTGCGAGCTAATCCGAACGGCTTCTAGGGCAAGTTTCTCCGCAGAGTGAGGGTGCTGCGCGATGACTTAGTCTGTTGTTATATTTGGAAGATAAGCAAATTACCACTTCAAATTTTCAATACGTTCTCTTTTGCCGAGTCACTGTCTTTAACGCAGGGACTTTACGCATACGGGCCTGGTAAAAAATGCCACTGATCCAATTGTTTTGCTCTGTATTAGAAGCATCTACTATACGCCCATTACTCAGCCCATACCAAAGCCTGGCCAAGGCTTGCCCAAGTCTCCACTCTAACAAAATGCTGGCGTAAACTATCCTCATGTATACGTTTCATTTTGCTTTTATAACTACAAAATGAAATTTTCTTAATTGCTCAATTGCCAGATTGCTTTTGGTCATTTATCTCAAAAGCATGCTTTCATGCTGGTTTTGATTTGATTTCAAATTAAGAAAGTTCTTGTCGTGTTTTAAATCAGAAGCACTCTGTCTTAAGCTGATTTTGCTTCTTCTTTGGAAATCTCATGCAAGTGTGGAGGGAAAAGAGATAAGATCATGATTATATCGTTTCTAACAGAGAAGCCAATTATTCATTTAGAGATAAAATTGCGTTTGTCATCGGTTATTATGCAAGCTATTTATCACCTCTCTCATAATATATGCTGCTTTGCAATTTTCCAGAACTACAGTTGATGTGTATTCTCCCGATAGTCGAAGACTCAAAGTAAGAGGGTTGGAAAAAATTGTAAACCTCAAATGGCGGAAACGCAGAAAACCAGTTGAAGTGAACATCAAACGAAGTGTTGAAGCGTCAAGAACGAAAAGAAGTCCTCACAGGCTGGTTACTTCTTCTGTGTTCAAGTCAGACATGCACTATGTTAAGGTGATTTTGTAGCTACCCAGCTTTGAAATAGTGAATGAGAATCATCAATCCTTTGCAGATAAGCTCTCAAAAGACAATACCTCCACTACTGGAGCAAGCTGCAAGTAGTCCAGTACATAGATTGAGCAATTTGTTTGTCACACTATTTACAAAACAATCACCGTCAGAGATACCGCGGCGGTGGTCGACGACATACAAAAAAATGTTGCAATTACAAAAGACGCTTGAAAACAACGAAAAACGACCTGGGGCACGAGTCTACAATACAAGAATTTATGACCTTGTTTTGGATAATCAAGGAAATGAAGAATATAGTACAAGCTCTTATGTAAGTTTAATCATGTTCTTACTCTCTATAGGCAACTCAGAAGACTTTCAGGATCTCCCACCCTTTTTGAAAAGTGCGATTAAACTTGTGAATTCGTTTTCTGGCGCTAACAACACTCGCATACTTAGCCCAAGACTGGCCCCAATTTTGCCTGAAAAAACAAAGTCAAGAGGATTACTTTCACCCATTTTGTTCCCACTGTATAAAGATGATACTGAGGAACAGATTTTGCCTGTGCCAAAAGTGAGTCATTTCAATTTTGCGTTTTGGTCTCAAACTATTACTGTCAGTTACTCGAATCTAGCGGACTGAATTCAAAGGACAGAGAGAAAGTCTTGGAAATGATAATGGAAGTTTCTGGCGCTCGAGAAGCTGCCAACAACGCAATGAAGGTAAAAGCCATTTGTGTGACGCTTATATTAGATTATTCCGACTTTGCCCGTTTTTCTTGCCTTGGAAAAAAGTTGTGAGGGGAGGCGAAAAATGAACTTATGGACGGGATGAAATCAATTGTTACAGCTTCTCTAACTCAAAGAAGCAGCGACAAGGGCTCGGGGACGTTTTGCTTCGCGAGGAATCCACTACGGTTCTTAGTGTCTATCTGTCGTCTGTTCTTCTCATAATGTGACCGGCCCATCGATGCTTCGCTTTCGCAACGTAATCCGCTAGGTCACGATGACGGGACATTCTTCTTAAATCCGCTGCGAAATCCGACAAGATGATGTTTGTGTGGGGTCATCTTCAGAAGACTACGCGCTGGAGCTCTGTGGGTGGTCCTTAAAGCTTTCGACGTGGCTACAGTGTCAGCCCAAGTCTCCGCTGCGTAACAGAGCGCCGGGAGAACGGTTGAGTCGAACAGATGAGCACGAAGCTCCGGGTTCGTCAGTTGGTCGGTGGCTTCCTTCAGAGGCGAAAGCGGCCCAGGCTGCTCTTCTTCTCTTGTTAAGTCCTCCTTAAGTCGTTCTCCATGTTCATCAAACGTCCGAGATACACGTAAGAAGACGTCTCCATGAAAGGGTTGCCTTCCAGTTCCACTTCTGCATCTTCGCAAAATGCGTTCTTCATGAACTGAGTCTTCTTCCGATTGATTCGCAATCCGATCTTCTTCCCTACTTCGTTCATTCCTTCAGCATCGTCTCTGCTTCAGTGATACTGCTCGAAAAGAGAACGATGTCGTCCGCAAAACGAAGGTTCGACAGGAATCTCCCTTCAACTCGTATGTCTCTCTTGTCCCAGTCCAGTGACTTGGTCACCCACTGCAAGGCCGCGGTGAACAGCTTCGGCGAAATTGTGTCGCGTTGTCGGACCCCCTTCGTGATTGGGATCGTCAGGGGGCGATGGAACAGCTGCATAGTCGTTGTACAGTCCTCGTAACAGTCGGCTAATGTCCTCACGTAAGCTGGTTCTACTCCTTGATCGACTAGCGCTGACTGCATGGCGTTGGTTTTAACGCTGTCAAAGGCTTTCTCGTAGTCGACGAAGGTTAGGACGGGAGGCAGTCGGTACTCCCGGCAGACTTCTATAACCCTCGAAACCGTCTGGATATGGTCCATGCAGCTAAAACCTTTGCGAAATCCAGCTTGTTCTTGGGGTTGAGCTTCATCCAGTGTCCTAGATATGCGAGCAAGGATAATCTTCGTGAAAAGCTTGTCCAGCACACTAAGCAGGCATATTGGACGGTAGTTCCGAAGATCTTCCCGTTCACCCTTATTGAAAAGAAGGACGGTTCTTGATGTTCTCCACTGGGCGGGAATCCTTTCCTTCTGAAGGTAAGATGTTAGGTGCGACGCTAGAATCTCGTGTAGACGTTGTCCTCCAGCTCGCAGAAATTCGACGGAAAGATGGTCTGGTCCTGGAGCCGTGGACGTCTTCATGGTCTGAATCGCTGTGCGCACTTCAGCAGGTGGAATTCGTGGTGGTACTTCTCCAGTGGGAACAAGGGCATCGGCACGGGTGTTGATGAGCGAAGAGGTTGGTAAGAGGTTTTTCGCTATTGATTCCATCTTGTATCGGGAAGAAGTCGGAGTCCCACCTTCGTTTAATAGTGCAGCCAGCGGTACGTGATATTCACAGAGGTCCCTTTGGCACTTCTTGGGGATTCGTCTTCCTTCGGCCTCAGTATGTTGGCTTGCGTACTTCCTGAGATCCTCCTGCAAAGAAGCTGTTCTTCAACTGGTGTTGGCTATCAGCCGCTCGAGATAGGTTGCATTCGGATCCTGCATCGGAAATCTTCATCTTTCGAACAATTCCTGGTCTTCGAAATACGTTCCAAGTTTTTCTCGGAAGTCACCAAGGCGCACTCTCCGCAGGCTCGCAATTCTTTCAGAAGCCTGTCGTAGTCGTACGTGGGGCCCTCCTCGATGGGCCAGTCACAGCTTAATATAAGCTCTTCCAACCTGTTACCGTCATAAACGACTTCTTTCCTTCTTGCGGCACTGTGACAGACTTTCTTTTCCAGCTTTCGAGTGAATCGTATCTTTGCTCGAAGGAGGCGGTGATCGGAGCCACTGCAGAAGGATGGAACTACTGAGACATCGCGCAAGCTTCACCTTTGGTTTGCGAGAATGTGGTCGATCTCCGCATGAGTCGTTTCGTTGGGCAATTCCCATGTCCACCGGCGATGTTCCTTCTTCAAGGAGATGGAATTTCCATGGAAGAGTTGTGCGGAGGAGAGAAGCCCAACGAGACGGCTGCCGTTTTCGTTCCGGAGCCCATATTCAAACTTCCCGATCCTATATTCCTTTCGTGGCATCCCGATTTTCGCATTGAAGTCGCCCATAACATCCTTGCAGAAGGACTTTTCGTTGCGGATGACCTCCTCCACGTCTTCGTAGAAAGCATCTAGTTCTGAGTCGTCAGCTGCTGATGGGAGAGTAGAACGTTGATGATGCTGATGGTCTTCTGGCGTGGAGGGCGTAGTCGTAGGATGGCTATCGCTGTGATAAAATCTCGTGCGAATAGACAAGATGGACGATTGATGTAGACGACAAAGCCAACGCCTCCCACGTTTCGTGATGGAACCTTCTCGAATGATGAGCTCCCATCACTTATCTGTCGCACGTCCTTCTTCCTGAATTTCGTTTTCTGCAGAACGACGATGGTACTTGATGCGCTCCGCAGCGGGAGTAAAGGTCGGGGTTTGTAGAGACTGTCCTGGCGTTGTAAGTGCAGATCATGAGGCAGTGTCCAGGCGTGTCGTCCGAGCAAACGTGTTTTTGTCCGATCCAGAAGGCTTTTTAAGGACCCTGACATCGTTCTTGCTACCACCCTGGGCGTAGGTGAAATCCGATGTACAGGATTTTTTCTATATCTTCTTGCTAACTGAGCGAGTTCCACGGGCGATCGCTGACCCCAAGCTTGGAGCGGGGAGAACCGCCTAGCGATCAAAAACCAGACGGCGGTGGATTTGGCCTGGCCGGCTCTTAGCTAGGCATCCGGCCGAAACCGGAAATGTCGAACACCTTCACAGCTTGGGAGGCCTTGCCAGAGTATACACTCGGCTGTGCATCGCAGTTCGACACCCTGTCACTCCTCACGCCACGTTGACACGGTCGACCAATGTGGGAAAATAATTCGTAATAATTCTGCCAAGTTTCAGTGCTTCCTGTTTCTCCATTTGACGCTTAGAAAAGCTATCACTGATTTTGTCCCGGCTATTAGTTTGTTTTTTGGGTTCGAAAAATGCTTCTATTTCCCGAAAGGGCTATACAGATAGGAAAGCAGATTTGGAATAGGCGTTCCAAGCTCTCAATGATGGCATGCAGCCTGTAGTGATTGGCCATTTGACTTCGTGACCTCACCCGTTAGTGCGGTAATATGTACGGTAATACAGTGCTGGACATAATTATAAAGCCACTCCAGAAATGTCGTAATTTTCGTTCTTTTCAATGAATCTGTCTGAAACTTTGCTGTATTGTGCGCATGTCAACCTACCATGACCCCTCAAAACGGCTTCCAGTCTTGTTGAATTTGAACGGAGAAAAGCGAAAAAATTCGAAAAAGCCCTGTTTGAAAGCTGGACAAAATTATAAAGCCACCTGGTTTTTCTAATCACTATCGCATTCGTTGACTCTCAAATTTTTTGTACAATTACGTACCAAATTATGAAACATTTGCAACACCTACGGCATCCTACTCAAATAGAAGCGATCACTGCATTTTTTGCTTTTAAAAGCACCAAAAGTCAATCTGGTTCAACAAACAGCTGGTTTGAAGAATTTTCAAGCTTTTGTTCATTTCAAATGATAATCATGGAATCTACTGACCCTTCTGGATAGATGAGGTGAAGAGCGCTTTTGTAAACTCTGCGTAATCGCTGATTTTGACGGACAGACTCCAACCTTACCATAAGGTTGACGCACTTTTGCACCACAAAACTCGAAAAACAGGCGACAGAAAATGCTGTAATGTAGCTATTACGAAAGCCATACAACAGTGAACTCGTGTGCATGATTGCGAAAAAAATTTCGGGATTGTGCACTCTGGTTCAGCCGCAATTGACATCCACTGAATGTTGAGTGGAGCACCCTGCACAATCAAAGCCAACTCAGATCACGAGATAAAACCGGAGACGCTTAAAACTTCAAAATCTTAGCTAATCTCATTCATCGGATGAAATATGACGTGAAACACAGAGGGAAATAAGCAGATCTAGGGTTATATTGAATCTTCTGCTCGCAGGGAATTTTCGTGGAAAGTATTTCAGGTATTTCAGATTTTCCCTAAATCGCTACCGCTTCATTAGGGAAAATCTGAAAGTATTGCGAAAGCTGCATCCCCATGTAGGCAATGTAATAAATCAAGTTCAGCACTTTGTGGACATTGCAAACTGAGTTTTGTAGTTTAAAAGCGTTTCAACCTTATGGTAAGGTTGGAGTCTGTCCGTCAAAATCAGCGATTACGCAGAGTTTACGAAAGCGCTCTTCACCTCATCTATCCAGAAGGGTTAGTAGATTCCATGATTATCATTTGAAATGAACAAAAGCTTGAAAATTCTTCAAACCAGCTGTTTGTTGAACCAGATTGACTTTTGGTGCTTTTAAAAGCAAAAAATGCAGTGATCGCTTCTATTTGAGTAGGATGCCGTAGGTGTTGCAAATGTTTCATAATTTGGTACGTAACTGTACAAAAAATTTGAGAGTCAACGAATGCGATAGTGATTAGAAAAACCAGGTGGCTTTATAATTTTGTCCAGCTTTCAAAGAGGGCTTTTTCAAATTTTTTTGGCTTCCGTTCAAATTCAACAAGACTGGAAGCCGTTTGAGGGGTCATGGTAGGTTGACATGCGCACATTACAGCAAAGTTTCAGACAGATTCATTGACAAGAACGAAAATTACGACGATTTCTAGAGTGGCTTTACAATTATGTTCAGCACTGTACTATGTCCGTGCTTCAAAATAACCAGCAGGTACGGTGCAGAGACGACAAATACTATAGGCAGTATCCGATCCAGAATTTCTTCCTCTTTTTAGCTGCCATGTTAGCAGTGTGACTGAACGAATGCTGAGGTAATCGCTGGAGACTATAAACTATAACACTTTAACACCAAGTCTAGCTTTCAATTTTCAGAACATTTTTTTGAAGTTTTCAAAAACGTTTGGTTACATAAAAAAAATAATTTTGATATTCTAAAACTTAGCTGGATATGCCAAGGATCCAAAGTGTTGTACTTTATTTGCACTATCCAGTTGTTACCAAAACTCTTCCAGAAGTTCAAAATGAAAAATTTGCAAAATTGTCAAACTTGTGCATATTAGAAACCAGGACAACATTTTTGCATATATTTTAGTAACTACGATAGCAAATAGTGTCAAAACATTGCTGCTGGAAAAAGGAAGAAAAACTGCGTCGAACGGGTTAAAGTTTTTGAGCATCTTCATCCTACGTATTTTATGATAGTTCGAATAAGCAAAAAGATTTTTTGGAGCGACCTTTAATCATGGAATTGCTTCAAAATATTAGGTCGTTTCAAAAGTAATTTCGCTTTTTTCAAACGGGCACCACATTTGATGGAACAAATGTTTCTGAGAGATCTTAGAGGCGTTCGATGCAGAATTTCATTCTCTTTCTAAAGGTTATAAAAGTGTTGCAAAACAGTCAGTGAGCTTTCAGAAAATAACCAAAGTCTGCGACCCATGCTTTTTGAGATAGTCTAGTTTCACAATTTTTCATAACTTTCACATCAACCCTCAAAAGAAGTTCAAGTAACTGTTCGATAGAGCAAACCATATAGAATGCAAAACTACTTTTTTATCCTCTCCATAGCTTGTCATACATTTTTGACAGAATTTTAACTGATGCTGCCGATTTTCATACTTGGGCAGCTAAATCCTCGTAGAACATCAAAGGAAAAGCAGCTCGGCCACTATTCGACTCAGCATTCTCTCCTCTTTCTAACAGGTGGTTTTTGTTTCCGATTCGTTCAGTTTTCGGGGATATCAAAATTCATTTTTTAAGGAGCCTCATGCTGTACCTGAAAATCACGAAATTTGATATTTCGAACCCGCAAACCCTCACTTGCTTTGTAAAGTTAGTGTTAACTCATAGTACCGTCTTGGTAGTCTCAAATTCCGAAAAATTATGAAGTTTGCTGCGATTGTGGCTGAGGTGGGCCTGCCAAAATCCGATGGTTCTGTTAAAAAATCTTTTAAAAAATTACGGCGAGATACGAGAAAGAGAAAAAAGTAGTGCTGTATTCTATGAGGTTTACTCTATCGAATCGTTACTTGAACTCCTTCTGAGGGTTGATATGAAAGTTTCGAAAAATTGTGAAATTTGACCATCTTAAAAAGCATGGGTCGCAAGTTTTGGTTATTTTCTGAAAGCTCATTGATTGTTTTGCAACAATTTCATAACCATTAGAAAGAGAATGAAATTCTGCATCGAAGGCTCAGAGATCTCTTAGAAAGCTTTGTTTCATCAAATGTGTCGCCCGTTTGAAAAAAGCGAAATTACTTTTGAAACGACCTAATATGTTCCTTTCCCATCTACTCCTATAATCGAGTAACATATACATCTTGGCATTCTTTGATAAGGAAGGAAATTAGGAAAGTTTTTGAAAATGAAAAATCAAAATAAATGATATAAGTTCTATGCGAATGCTTGTCTTTCTCAAGCACTAAATAAAGGCGCTTTCACTTACACTAAACAGAACAAAACGTTAAATTCATTAGTTGGAAAAAGTCACTGTAGAGAAAGCACACTATCGCGTCATCACAATCCCGAATAGTCCCCCACCCCTTCTCCACAAGTGAAAAACGTGTTGATATAGGAGATAACGTAATCATAGTTGAAGAATTCATTATAAAGTTACAGCCATTATTATACAGTGCTGGCCAAAATTATAGGTCCACTTTAAAAAATGCCAGAACTCACGCTGTTGTGAACGAAATTTTCCAAAATTTGGTAGAGACGTGTGTTTACCAGCCTACTATCAGTCTTCAAAACGGTTCTTGTTTTCGTTTGATTATTCAAGAAAAAATTAGAAATTTTAAAAAAAGCAGGCTTGAAGGCTGGCCAAAATTATAGGTCCACCTGGAGTTTTTACTGATTAAAGCACTTCTTAGCTCCCGAATTTTTTTAGGTAGGCACGCATCCAAAAACGTTGAACAGCTGCATTGGTCAAGCTGTGTCATACCTCCAAAAAGCACCGATTATCTGCTTTTTTGCCTTGAAGATGACTCACATGTATTTCGCTCAACAAACCTGCGTTGAGTAAGAAATTCTGCAGTTTCTCAGCTGGATCGGAAGGGACGGGGTTTCATCTATCTTCTGGATGTTTTTTGACGTGGGCATTGAGGAAAAAATCCGACTTTTTGCTGCTGAAGCAAATCTGACATCAGCTTAATCGGCAGAGTAAGCCTCAGTTTCTGCCCTAACCCCCTTATGCATTGTCATTATAACCTCAAGATATTGTAGAAGCATTTTTTACACAAGAATAAAGCTGTTCGCCATACTCGCAAGTGTCCACAAAGCTGCCTTGCTTCTTTTTCGAAACATGAGTTGTGTGTGCAACGTAATAATGGTGTTACGCGATCCAAAATAGCTTTCCAAGTGCTACCTCACTTAGATTTTTGACAGTAATTATTTACTAGAGTGGATACAGCTTGTAGTGTATGTTGGCACATGAATTTTCTGAAAAATTTGGTCGGAGCCACAAGTAGCTTTGGTGCTTGTCGTAATCAGTTCCTGCAGAGTGATTTCAGTAATTATACTCGAATGCTAGGATCTCTAGAAAGTTGTAACTATGTTATATGGACTCCCCTTCATAGGAACAATGCCTTTACTTTACTCAATGCTTCTGAGAACATTGTAAAAGAAGTTTGAAGGCAGAAATTTGAGCTCAGGATTGCAGTACTGTCAATGTCAGATTTGCTTCAGCAGCAAAAACTCGGATTTTTTCCTCAACGCTCATGTCAAAAAGATGCAGAAGATAGACGAAACCCCGTCCCTTCCGATCCAGCTGAGAAACTGCAAAATTTATTACTCAACGCAGGTTTGTTGAGCGAAATACATGTGAGTCATCTTCAAGGCAAAAAAGCAGATAATCGGTGCTTTTTGGAGGTATGACACAGCTTGACCAATGCAGCTGTTTAACGTTTTCGGATGTGTACCTACTTAAAGAAATTCGGCAGCTAAGAAGTGCTTTAATCAGTAAAAACTCCAGGTGGACCTATAATTTTGGCCAGCCTTCAAGCTTGCTCTTTTCAAAATTTCTAATTTTTTCTTGAATAATCAAACGAAAACGAGAATGGTTTTGAAGACTGATAGTAGGCTGGTAAACACACGTCTCTACCAAATTTTGGAAAATTTCATTCACAACAGAGTGAGTTACGGCATTTTTTAGAGTGGACCTACAATTTTGGACAGCACTGTATTACATAATGTACTGTGTAAAAAAAATTTAAATTTGTTTTCTGTACGGTCTACAACTTGTTTATTCTCAAAAAATGATTCAGATTCTGAGCCAACTACGATCTCTAGGATTTGGCGAAAAAATGCTCAACGCAAACGAAAAGGTTACAGTTGCCATTGTTTTCACATTTTATGCTTAACTCAGATTTTTTTCGGATTTCTGCGAGTTTTGAAAATCTGCAATCAACCCTCAACTATGATCAGAGCAAAGAGTTGAATGGTAAGGGTTTCACATTTATGGATTCAGAGCAGATGAGGAAACTACACAGAGAGCAAGGTGACAGGTTTTGAACTAAAAATATTGCTGATATTATCACTATGCTGCAGGCATGAATGAACCAGAAATCAAGAAAAATGTGGACATCTACGAGAAATTGTCAAAATCAGAAAGAATGGATGCCCTTTGGGAAACGATAGCTGATATCGCAGCTCTGAGAAAGGTCGTATTTTATTATCGCAAATATATGTCATTTTTTTTCTAGATCTGTAATTTTTCAGCGCAGAAGTAAACGGCAGATATTTCGCTGCAGAAGAAGAAATCGGAGAAATCGGAGACAAGCTCTTCCCTTTTTTTCGGTTAGCTGTTTGAGACCGATGGTTCTAAGCCCTTATCAGTTTGAACCTGTTTACGGACTGTCCATACTTGGGCCAGTTATATTGTCGCCAAACATTTTTTCACCGCTGATTTTGAACCCTGCCATTCTTGGTCCTTGGATTCTGTCCCCAGCGGTTCCGTTGCCTTTCATTTTGTCTCCCTATCTGTTGTCACCCTATATACTATCTCCATTGGTCATGGCACCTTTCATTTTGACTCCGTACGTTTTGTCTCCCAATATCATTAATCCTTACGTTCTATCCCCGTTGATCCTTAGTCCTTTGGTGCTTTCTCCTGATTTACTCTCACCTATGACATTGGGAGGCCCTGTATTATCTCCTGCAGTGCTTTCACCAAGTGTCCTATCAAAGAGCTACGTGATGGCAAGCGTACTTTCGCCGTCGTTGTTATCAAAATAATCGCCTTCGTATACATATTAGCTATATGTACAATACCACCCACATAACTTGCAAAAATTCCATGAGTGTCGCGAAATTCCGGGAATTTCGCGGAATTTTCGAAATTTCGCGACACTCACGGAAATTTTGCAAGTTATGTGGGTGTGTTCTGGCTTATAAACTGACAAAACTTTGATATTCTCACCGCTGCTAGCATATGAACGTTAAAAACGTCATGTGAATTTTTTCATCCAAACGTTAATGCTGTAGTGATCTAAAGCTTTTCTCAGTTATGACAATGCCATGTGTTCGAATGCATGTTTGAAGCAAATCTTATAATTTTCGCTTAGAAGGATTACTCGACGTGCAACATTTCTTACATTGTTTTGCTGCTGGTGGCACATTGTAGGATAAACTATCTGCCAAATTTCACGACTTTTGAATTTGAGAGACAATACATGAGAAGGTGATTTTGTAACATCATAACCTGACGAACAATGCAGATAAAGATCTGTGCCAAGCATGGTTCGTTAGAGCTTTTCACAAAGTCTCGAAATCACAAAAAATTGCAGGCAATTTCCACGATAGGTAGGCGAAAGGGCAGGGAAGTTGCGATCTTGATGGGTTCAGCTACTTCTAACTCACTTTAGCTTTACTGTAAGACTTTCCAGTGCAAAATAACTAGGATTTTTGTAAAGATCGGGATCAAACCACTATGAGCGAAGTATCCGGTCAATCCGAGAGCCTCAATATTTTGACCAAATCCTGCGCCAGAGTGAGGAGTGAGAGAAAATCAAGTGCTACTATTTCCTTTAAAAATTGGACCATATTATCCGACGTTGATAACAAAAAAACAGATCTAAGATAGCTTCGTTCTGTAAGACTACGGTGAGATTTTAGAAAAAGTGGATTTCTTCAAAATTTGCTAGCCAGTTTCGCTTTCACTGAAACGACTTTTTGCGTTTTGTTTAGCGTTTGAAAAACTTGGAAAGATGCTTTGTCGAGTGATAAAAACCAAGAATTCTATCCGCATTGAATATTGAGTTGTACCCTTACAAAAACTGTTTGCAGAACATAATTGAAAGATTTTAGATAACGCAAAATAACCTTTCATCGCACTCCTACAGTATAATCGTAAGTGAGTACCGTGGAGCGTCAGTCGTTTATCACTTTTTGTCAATGATATGATCAACTTATTGACAAATTGAAAAAATCCAATAATTTTCGGTAGGCCGCTAGCAGACTGCAGCTATAGCTTTGTAAGTTTTTTCCTTCCAAAAAAATAGAAGTGTTTCAAAAGTGAGCGGAGCTGCAGTTCACAGCCGAAAATAGTAGTTCCGCACAAATGAATTTCAAAAGTCTGCAATTCACTCACTTTGATGCTTGCAAGACCATTTGAAAGCAGTATGGTAGTATTTCAAAATTCTAATACGAAAACATTGATTGAGATTTATTACAAGTGGGCGGGGCCTACAGTTCACAGTCGAAACTGCGTAAAGTCGCTTAAATTCGTATAAATTAAAAGATGTTCAGATAAGCCAAATTTGATGTTAGAATGGTCGGAGAAATTTGTGGTAGTGTTTCTAATGTAGATTATGACAGGTAATTGGTGATTTTCTAATTAGAAGTGGGCGGGGCATAAAGTTGACTGTCAAGATTTCAAAATTGCATGAAATTGCGTAAATTCAAAAATTTGCACTAACGTATTGTGACGGTAAGAAAGCCAAATAAAGGCGATAAAATCGATATTCTGAAGGTTCCGAAACCTCCATCTTATATATAAAGTTGAATGTGTGTATGTCTGTATGTACGTATGTGCGGAATAGAAATTTTTATTTCTGGACCGATTTGGACCAAACTTAGCACACATATACTTCGGGGCAGGGAGCGTGTCACAGGCTACTTTTCGTTATCGATCGATATCGATTTTATCGATTTTTTGCAAAATTTGAGCTACGGGGCTGGGAGTTGGCACAGGGGGATATCGAGCATGCTGATTACGAATATAATAATGACAGGGCCGGGCGGAGCCGGGTTTGCCAGCTAGTAATTGATAAAATCGGTATCTCGCAGGTGAGATCAGTGACTCTAAAATCTAGATTATATCGACCACCGAGATTTTGCAACGTATCAATTTTATCAATTTTTGAGAATCCTTGACACAGAATATCGATTTTTGCTTGATGTACGAGATCATGAGACCTTACAAATGAAAAATATCGATTTCAACCGATTTGTGCTAAATTTCAACATTTCCCGAATTTCGAAACCTTCAATTTATCGATTTTACCGATTATTATCACTTTGCACATTCTGGAGCTTTCGCAATCTTCAACGACACGAATTTTGACCATTTTCGAAGTTTTCGAGCGCCGCGAACACCCCAAAACTCCCAGAGTTCCACTTTTCCCCAGCTGTGCCCATTTTACAATATCTCTATCCTCATCTCATCGAAGCTCCGCCCAGCACACTGCAACTTTTCCCCATCAATCACTTTTCTCCATACAACCACCCGATTCTATTCGAATTCTCCGCTAGCTCCGCCCACTTTTGGCCCCGCCCCACACCCAAGTCCCCGCTCACTTCTCCCGCACCTTCCCATCCATGCCTGGGCCACTAACCCGCCACTAACCACCAATGAACCACTACTGACCGATTTATATATAGAGATCAAAGATCAAATCAAGAAAAACTCCGATTTATATATAAAGATCAAAGATTAAATCAAGAAAAACTATGTCCAGATACTGTTGGGGGCAGTGCACCTTCACATTCATGCCGCTGCCCAACTTTCTTCACTGGTTGATAGCGCATCAAGAGTTGTGCCGAATTATTGCTATGCCAGTGCCTTGATCATTCTCCTGAAACTATCATTTCATTTTTATCTATTATAAAGTTTCCCCCAAGAATTTTCCTAAGAATCAAATTCCTAAGAATTCTTAGGAATTTGAATTTTGGCATTTTTTTCAAAAAATCATAACTTTTGAAGGAAAAGCTCGATCAGCACAAATCTGAATCAGTTAGTAATAAAATATAAGAAAACTTAAGATGATGGCTGTTCTGGAATTTATCGCACAGTTCCTAGATTTCTAGAATTTTTGCTCAAAAAGTCCGAATTTCGGATGATTTCGTTCTTTCATTTTTATCTCTGCAATCTGAGCTTATTGGAAGGTCTCCACGGGCCTTTTGGAAATTATAATACATGCTTTATGCTTTCTGATAAAACTTGAACTGCGCAAAATAGTCGTGAAGGAAAGAGGTTATTATTGAAAATGGTGCAAACGAACTTTTGGTTCAACCTAATATATTAGGTCATTCCGAAAGTAATTTCTCTTTTTCCGAACGGGCGCCACATTTGATGGAACAAAGGTTTCTCTTGAAAACATTCGATGCAGAATTTTATTCTCTTTCTAATTGTTATGAAATTGTTGCAAAACAGTCAATGAGCTTTCAGAAAATAACCAAAATCTGCGACCCATGCTTTTTGAGATGGTCAAGTTTCGCGATTTTTCAAAACTTTCATACAAACCTGAGAAGGAGTTCAAGTAACGGTTCGATAGAGTAAACCTTATAGAATACAGTACTACTTTTTCTCTTTCTCGTAGCTCGCCGTAATTTTTTGGAAGATATTTCAACAGTACCATCGGATTTTGGCAAGCCCACCTCAGTCAAAATCGCATCAAACATCATAATTTTTCGGAATTTGAGACTACTAAGATATTACTATGAGCTAGCATCAATTTTACAAAGCAAGTGAAGGTTTACGGGTTCGAAATCTCGGAATTCGAATTTCTCGGGTACAGCCTGGGGCTCGCTAAAAAATGAGTTATGATGATTTCTCCGCGAAAACTAAACGAATCGGAAACAAAAAACACCTGTTAGAAAGAGGAGAAAATGCTGCATCGAATAGTGCGCGAGCTGCTCTTCTTTTGATGTTCTACGAGGATTTAGCTGCCCAAGTATGGAAATCGGTAGCATCAGTTAAAATTATGTTAAAAATGTATGGCGAGCTATGGAAAGGAGGAAAAAGTAGTGCTATATTCTATAAGGTTTACTCTATCGTCTTTACTTGAACTCTTTCTGAGGATTGATATGAAAGTTTTAAAAAATCGTGAAACTTCACCATCTCAAAAAGCATGGGTCGCAAATTTTGGTTATTTTCTGAAAGCTCATTGATTGTTTTGCAACAATTTCATAACCATTAGAAAGAGAATGAGATTCTGCATCGAATGCATCCAAGATCTCTCAAAAACCTTTGTTCTATCAAATGTGGCGCCCGTTTGAAAAAAGCGAAATTATTAGGTTGTCCCAAAAGTTCGTGCGCACCATTTTCAAAAAACCATAACTTCTTTGCATCATAACGATTCTGCGCAGTTCAAATTTTATTAAAAAGCGTGAAGCATGTAGTTTCCAATAGTTCCCTGGTAGCTTTCCAGCATGTTCAGATTGCAGAGATAAAAATGAAAGAACGAAAACATCCGAAATTCGGAATTTTTGAGCAAAAATTCTAAAAATCTAGAAACCGCACGATAAAATCCAGAACAGCTGTCATCCTAAGTTTTCTTGTATTTTATTACTCACTGAGGCAAGTTTGTGCTGATCGAGCTCTTCTTTCAAAAGTTATGATTTTTTGAAAAAAATGCCGAAAAATCAATTTCTTAAGAATTCTTAGCAAAGTGATTTTTGAGATTTTTTTTTCAAAAAATCATAACTTTTGAAAGAAGAGCTCGATCAGCACAAACTTGCCTCAGTGAGTAATAAAATACAAGAAAACTTAGGATGACAGCTGTTCTGGATTTTATCGTGCGGTTTCTAGATTTTTAGAATTTTTGCTCAAAAATTCCGAATTTCGGATGTTTTCGTTCTTTCATTTTTATCTCTGCAATCTGAACATGCTGGAAAGCTACCAGGGAACTATTGGAAACTACATGCTTTACGCTTTCTAATAAAATTTAAATTGCGCAAAATCGTTACGATGCAAAGAAGTTATGGTTTTTTGAATATGGTGCGAACGAACTTTCGGGACAACCTAATACTTTCAGAATGACCTAATATCTCAATACAGGGTGTCCCAAAAAGATGTGCACACTGTTTGATTGTAAGTAACTTTTTTGTGGTGAAGTGTTTCGAGAAGCTTTAGATACTATTTTGTAGAGCGAGGTTCAACTTAGATTTACAGTGCAGAGCGGATCGCCGATCTCTCATTCTTACTGTAGGATTACGGTAGAAACTTTCAAGAGGGTTTCGAGCCATGAAAGGCCATATTTTGTTCCAAAAAGAAACCAAAACAACCTGAAAACTTTCACACTGGGCTAACTAGAGTTGCTGATTCTAAATGTGAAGTTCGCAACTCTTTCTAATGCTTCATTAAAAAATTCTACGAGGTAAGCAGTAGCAAACGTTTTATAAGTGTTCCTAAAAACTGCGGTTACACCGTTTAGAAAGCTTCTCAACCTTGTAAAGAGTTGAGTATTGAACTCAGGGTCCATGAAAACCCTATTGCACAAATTTCCACATTTTTTTGAAAATTTTTGAAACGGTCCCTTTTTTACAGTGACACCATATGTTTGAAGTTTCTACCGTACTCCTACAGTAAGAATGAACGACCGGCGATTCGCTCTACACTGTAAATCTAAGTTGAACCTCGCTCTACAAAATTGTACCTAAAGCTTTTCGAAACACTTCACTACAAGAGAGTTATTTACACTCAAACAGTGTGCACATCTTTTTGGGACACCCTGTACATATCTATTCTTTTGGTTTCTATTTTTGGAACATTTTCTTGCATCATAAATAAATAAGTAAATATCAATGGGCTTATGGGCTCAAATACTATCTAGGCTCCAGTATCAGCTGAGCTATTAGACACCTTCCGGATACGTATCACTGATCAATATAGTCAGCCAAAGAGTATTTATAAATTTCCAACAAGGCCAACATCCACTAACATGGTAAATTTTCTGCATGTGGCGATACTGCAGGGAGGTACAACTGTGGAAAAGTATCACATTATAGGTGTCTTAAGTTGGTTTAAGGTAAAATTTGCTACACTACAGCTTCAGGACTTGCAGGGAACACCCGTCGAATAGCTTTAGCCCCAATGCCAAAAGTTTTGTGCACAGTAAGCCATCAAAAGATTATGGATTCCAGTTTGTTTCAACATTAAGATGATACACTTTTACGCTAATGTTCAGAGTAGCGTCTTAATAAATTGCTTGACATAAATGTGATAGCAATCTGTTTACCTACATAAAAGTCATATATACATGTTCTACATGTTTAGATTACGTCAAAACATTGGCGTAAGACCGGAGTTTGAAACCCATTGCTCTTTTTTATGTTACTTAAACTTTTCTTTATTGTTGCTTGGAGACGATCCTAATCTGCACCGCCAAAATGAAATCTTTATTTGTTAAGTCTTGCAAAGAAAAAGAAAGAGAGAAGATCCTTGAGTTATAGGATAATAAGAAATCTGCTGAAACTTACGAAATCTGTAATCAAAGTTAGTTTTCCAGATGAAGTCTGCACTTTTTTAGAGTTGCATTAAAAAATGATTTTTTTTTCGTTATCTGCTACGCTCCTTCGAACGCTGAGTTAAATAAACGAGCGATTGACATAGATCATACTCAAAAGACTAAATGGACAGTGTTGGAACACCAAGGCACTTAATCCATTGTATTCTTTGTTTGAAGAAGTCTTTCTCAACAGTGCATCATTTGCCGGTCGGAGAGGACCTGAATAATTTTATCCAGTTCTAGTATTAACTTCTATTTTCAAAAATGCTTGTAATTCGCCGTCCAAAGGAACGCAGACAGAGATGACACATTCGGAACCAGCTTTTGATACTCTAAAAATGGTTTGTTTTCATCAGGAGAGATCAGTTCGCTCTCCCTTTGTAAGTAAAAACCGAGGTATCTGACCTGTTGAACACTTCTGTCATCATTAATTGAAGTGAAGCCTCACTGCGTGGTCAAGGCAAGATTCTACGCCTTAACTCACCAAGTTTCCACAAGAATTACCTTGCAATATGAAATGAATAACACTTCCTGTAAATGGCGCTTGGATTAATTCTTCTTGTCCACAAGCACTAATGTGATGAAGTGGCAAATCAAACAGCATTTGAGTTTGTATAGTCTACACAAGGCCAAAGAATGATGGGCCCTAAGGAAAATGAGAAATTAATACATACTTGGAATACTTTTTTCTCACTCTACATAATAAACTCGATTTAAGGACAGTGCGACAAATTTCCTCAATTGTCCAATAAGATACTATGGAGCTAAAAAGGGTTTTCTGATTATGCTCAAAAAATTTTAAAGATTTCATCTTAGTATTGCGCTTAACAATTAACTCAAAGTGAGCGAGGCGGATACTACTGCAAGTTTCGATACTGCCACTGTGCAACTTTATTCGAAGCTTTTTCTCGTACGAGTTGTGGTACACAAACCATGAAGATAGCCGAACACCGCTGTTAAAAGCATGGAAATGAGTGGCAATGGCAAACTACAAGTATTTATAATTGAAAAGATTGTGAATCAAACTTTTTACGGTCGCTTGTCATCAACATAATGTCAAATAAGAGCCAGCAGTTTGTCTAAGTTGAAGTTACGGCGCGAATGAATAAATAAACAAGTGCTCACTCCATGAATTCGTCAAAAAATGCAAACTCCGCAAAAAAAGAGAAAAATCTGTCTTTAGCTCACTTACGGAACTTCTTGTTTTTCTGGCTACAATTAGCTGTTCATCGACCCTTTTCCGTAAGCCCTCGAGATTGTGGAGTTTCGCGCGTTTTTGTACCGCAACGTTACGTCAAACGGGTGTTGTGTTGCTCGCAACTTACGGGATTCTTCTCTGGATTTCAACTTTTACACACTATACCCGTAAGGTCAACTCAAAACGGACATTGCACCTACAGAAGTGAGGTGAGATTATTGCGGCACCTGAACAAACGCTATCTGTCAGATCACGGTGCATTCTTATAGCATGGGGAGTGGGCGGTCATTAGCTCACCTTACGAAACTCATTTAGGACCATCAGTTTAGATCACCCACTTGAGCTGGCGGAGCTTTACCCCTACTTATAGAAAGGTCATAAAAAGTAGAATTATGAGGATTTCTCGCCTAAGTAATTCTAAGGTACAGTATAGCTACAACCCTTTTCATTCGTTTTGACCAGTAATGGGGCAGACGATGTTCCGAAACTCATCCAAGTAGTGAGGAGATGAATGAAAAATTTCAGTGAGGGCATCATAATAAAGGGGATGTGGGATGCCAAAAAATTATATTTGCGATAAACAAAATAGAATTAGATGAAAGGGAAACTTCATCAGAACAGTGCTTTTCTTTACTAGGTTCAAAGGCCTTGAATCTCAGAATTTTAAAAAACTCTTTGCCTTCCGATTTCAGTCTGATTATGTTGGGTGGTTACCTTTGACGCGATCTCTTCTAGGTTCACCATAAATTCACTTCCATGCTCCTAGTACTGGTTAAAAGGTTCTGTTCAGGAACAATGCGCGTCCATTTTAAGACGTCAGCGGCGATTTTCACCGATGTGGTCGCTGGTCACAACGTAAGGTAAACAAAACATGGACACAGCGCTTAAAAGTGTTCGCAGCAGGCTCAAGAGTCTGCTAGTTCACTCTCGATTTCCATTAGTGATTTGAAAGGACTGGATTTTGCTGAGCTTTATTGAGCTGCTGAGCTGTTGAGCGTTGTGGCCAGATTATGCTCTTTTTAGCAGTTTTGGCTGGATTAACTATTCTACATGGAGGTGAATTTTCACAATATTCAGTTTTCAATAGTCTTAATTGATTACTTTTCGGAGCTTACTATCTTCAAAACCAAATTGCTCTATGAGTTCTTCCTAGAAACTCTCTATTTTCTTGAAAAAAAAATTTGTGATCTTTGCATACTGGCATACCGTTCAGTCAACGAACATTTTATAGGAAAAGCTGGAAATGAAATGCCATGCGCCAGACGTGTCGTTGGTTATATAACATCATGGGGTACTGTACCCTTCACAGATGAACAGGTATCCATTCTCTACGCCTAGCATCTTGAGCAGCAATTTATTCACCTGTTATTTTAGCTAGTTCTTGTAAAGCAAACAATCTCTCACATTTTTCTACTATATAAATGAATGGCTTGGTTAATGGTAATACTTTCAGCTTTACAGAATCAGAAATTTTTTTATTTTCCAAGTAGCCTTCGTAAGGTTTTTCCATCCCTCATGCTAAAAAAAATCTGCCATATAACCGCGGTCCGGAATTTTGCATTTTTTCAGGCTAAGCATCTCACTCATTTGGTGTTCGCTTTCTTCACAATGGAATCTGATGGCAGAATATATCTGGATGGTGAAGCAGCAGAGAGACGTCTTGAGAGCGTTATGGCTGTAAGTTTTCTGTCAGCAATTAGAGGTTGTCCTTTCTTGGCTATAGTTAGAATTAAAATTGTTAATGATATTGCAAAGTACCACTTATTATATTGATACTATTTAAAAGCAAAAAAGAACCTCGAAGTTCCGCCTTCTCCGTATCAGAGCATTCCCATAAAAGTTGTTTGGGGCCGAAAACATACCTCACGCGATTTCAGTCGCGACGCGGTTTGGCAATACTCCAATTGGTCATAATTCATCGTAATGGGTTTCTGAATGTACGAAAGTAGGGCATTTTATCAACCTACGAAAATTGCACGTGCTGTGTCTTTGGGGTCCAGTCTTGATTTTGAAGACATCTGGCAAATTGCCAAATCGTGTGGCGACTGAAATCGCGTGAGGTATGCTTTGGGTCTAAGATCATGAATCTGACTTTGACTCTATAAAAGATTTCTTTGAACAACTTCGTAGACAAAGTATTACTTTTTGCGAATGTCAAACGAATCTCATGGATTCTCAGAAATAGAATAGCTTGTTATAGGTGGCAAAAAGACATCCGCACCTCAAAGTACTATTTGCCATTGGCGGATGGGAGAACTCGCAATATTTCACATTATTGGCAGCTGACTACCCACGAAGGTTAACAAACTCTTTGATGTACTCGTCGAGGATATGCAAAACAAGATCATTATAGAAGTCTTCTCATCGAAAATATTATTGATACCGTCAAAAAATACGATTTTGACGGTGTCGATCTAGATTGGGAATATCCAGTGACAGGAGGATCCGTCGAGGGAACACCGGTAAGTTGGATTACAGGTTATGAGTGACTGTGAAGTGTTTGCATACGTAATGATGGGTCAATTCAATATTCAAAAACTGGCCCTTTTGCCCTAATACTGAGCTACCGTCGAAGGGACTTTCAAATAGGGACGGGATGCTGAACTGTAGCTTGAGTGATTTTATAGTTCCTAAAAAAGAACCATTATTGCACAGGTGACGTCCTTTTAGAGTTCTCCAGGAATACGAAAAGATATGGTAGTGCGAAAAAACTTACCGAACACCATTCTAATTTTAAAAAATCAATATTTAGGAAAGCACATTAACTCTAGCAAATTTTTTTGAAATTTATTTTATTTTTTCTAGGCCGATCGAAGAAACTACGTCCATCTGATGAGAGAATTACGAAATAAACTAAGAGAAGTCGAAGAACAAACTAATAGACCGACAAGCTACTTGATTTCTTTTGCTGGAGCAGCTGGCCACTGGGTGCTCAAGCCAGGTAGTCCCATGTGGATCCTACGTGTTCCCTGCAAGACCGGTTTCTTTTATCAAGGATACGATCTCGTACAACTGGTAAAGTACGTCGACTTTGTAAATGTGATGTCGTATGACTACTTCGGAGCATGGCAGTCTAAATGGGGCGCATTTACTGGACCACCGGCGCCGTTGCAGTTTGCCACTCCTAAAGGGTACGATTTCTTTCTGTGCCTGCCCACTATGGTTGTAAAAACCTCAAAAAAATTTGGATATGCTTTTATAGTAAAAATCAATCAAAAGAATCCAACATTTGAAACTTACAGGTTTTCCGGACGAATGAATGTGCATGCTACCATGAAATACTACAGTTGTCAAATCAAAGCTACGAATAAGGTAATTCGATTTCTTTCACCGATAATCGTGCTCTCCGATTTAAAAATATATCAAAGTTCTAAAAAATCTTCTAAATAAGCTATAAAATACAATTATACAGATGTTTTTTCCATACGAGCTTGAACAAACAGAAATTTGTGGCGAGCTAGCTTTACTTTCCTGGAAGAAAATTGCGAGGGTGGTTAGATGGATTTTTCTTTCAAAATTTTTAAACCGTCTTTGAGAAATTTCCCAAAGAATATCTGGAAGGGAAGCTGTTTCTTTTACCACAAAAGTTGTTTTCTTGACTTCTTCCGTCATACAAGGGTGCCTTTGCTGTGCATCAAGTTCTCTATAAATTGCTTCAGCTTTTTTATTCCACGACAGCTTCAGGATTGATGAATATTTTACAGATTTTTAGACAGTGATATAGATCAAAAAATGTAATATATCTAAATATTTCTGCATCAAAACATTTCCAGCTTAACATGGGTGTTCCATTTTATGGACGTTATTGGTATAATGTTGGTGACGCTGTGGATGCCAGCGATGAAATGTGGCGAAGAGCCAAAGCTAGTGATGGTCTCACCAAATACGAGGTGAGTTTAGTTGGTCTCTGAAAAAATTAACTATTAGGTTGATGCAAAAGTTCTTTCCCCCCATTTTCAAAAATTCATAACTTCTGATTTTTTCAACTAATTTGGCTGCATCTATTTTTGCATGAAAGAGTAACTCATGCTCTTCATAATGACATCTTAACTGCTTGCTAATGATCATTTGTTACATAGATAGGAGCGATAGAAGAAAATTAGTCAAAATTTGGGTCAAAAAAATCGGAACCTTGCAAGAAAAATCGGAGCAGTCAGTATTGTAGGTATTTTACCAGCTCTTTCTAATCGTCTCTATCAAAAGTTACAATTTTCCTGAAAAATGCCAAAATAAATCAAAATCGCCATTTTGTATTGCTTGCTCGAAAATCATAACTTTTGATAGAAATGCTCAATCGCTGCAAACTTTGCACCATTAGAAAGAGCTGGTAAAAGAACCTACAATACTGACTGCTCCGATTTTTCTTGCAAGTTTCCGATTTTTTATGTCCCTACACAGAAAATTCAAATTTTGACTAATTTTCTTCTATGGCTCCTATCTATGCAACAAATGATCATTAGCAAGCAGTTAAGATGTCATTATGAAGAGCATGAGTTACTCTTTCATACAAAAATAGATGCAGCCAAATTGGTTGAAAAAATCAGAAGTTATGAATCTTTGAAAATAAAGAGAAAGAACTTTTGCATCAACCTAATATAAAGAATAAAATTCTGGAATTTTAGGGCGGTGACGTGCAATGGCGCCAGCTTCATCAGAAGTTCGACGTGAATCGCGCGAAGTTCCACCAGGGAGCAAAGAGTCCATACATATGGTTGTCGGAAAATAAGACATTTGTGGGATTTGAGAATCCAGAAAGCTTGCAATTCAAGGTAGCATTTTCTTAAATGCAGTGGTCCAAGGAAGTCCAAAGGCATTTAGGTGGCACACTTCGTTTAGGTGTGGCACACGCCAAATTTGACCCATTTCATCCTCTTGATTTACTCGTTAATGGTGAATCAACGCACTGACCAGTAGCGAAGTGGATCAAGTGGATCAAGTATTGCGCGAGCATATAGGTTGTTAAGGGGTAGAGGAACGAGGGCCGCCTGCGCGGACTTCTGATTTTGGAACGATATGCAACGACATTGCAAAAGGACCAGTTGACCGGGAAAGGCGGCTAAAATTAGCAGTCTTCGTTCCCCTACCCACTGTTAAGTGGTAAATATGTTAATGCCCCATTGGCAGTTCATATGATTCGACTACGACCGAATCATTTCAACCACCTACTCTAAACTCTTGCCCAGTATCGTATCCTCTTCTAGAGGACCTATCCTCGTTGTCGAAGGCTACACAGGGCAAGAGATTAGTTTAGAATTTCTTTGCTACGAATAAATCACATGCTAAATTCGCTCGTCTGACCTTACAAATTGCAAAATTGCCAATTTGACGAGGCGTAAAAAAGAATTTTCAGACAGATTACATTATCGAAAATGACCTCGGAGGCGTTATGGTATGGGCCATAGATTTTGACGATGACGATCTAACCATGCTCAAAACTGTAACGGAGGTGGGCTGACAATCTCACCCTAATCTAAATATTATCACCCAATTATTCTTTACCCAGAAAGGTGAGCTTTGCATCCGTAATGGACATCCAAGGGGTTTAGCGTATAAGTGTTCACCAATAGGCGAACAACGATGGTGGACGTATGACGATGGTGAGGTGGGGTAAAAGTTTTTGGTAAACTGAAAATCTTCTTTTTTTCACAAACTGTATTTCCAGGAACTAGCCGGAATGTGTGGTAAGTCAGCGCCTTTGTACGACGGTTACTATCCAGTTTGTGATCCAGACGATCCAGGACATGCTTGTTGTGGAAAGGTAGATATGTCGTCCTCTAAATTTGACAGATATCATCCTTCGAAGTTTTAGTTCGGCTATTGCGGCTCCGGTCCCGAATTCTGTTCTTGTCCAGAATGTGTGGACTATGGAGCAGACCCTATGCTGATTTTGAAGGAACCGATCAAGCCTACACAAGCAAAAATCACCTGGTTTGGCAGATTTTCATCTTTACGTACAACTTTTTGAATCTCGGTATACCCAGGTATACCTCGGATGCAGCTGATGGCAAAAGGGGACGATGTGGGCGACAGGCTCCCCCAATTGACGGCGTGATTCCCACATGTAATCCCGACGACGAGAATGCACACTGTTGTAGTAACGGAGGTTATTGTGGAAATACAAAGGTTTGATAACATTCAAAGTGTCCCTGGGGTACAGAGGCGTACTCAGGCTTTCCGTTCGGGGGGAGGGGCGACGAAACAATTGTTTGATGAAAATGCTCAGAAAATTTTTTTGGTATGCTTCCTAAAATTTTCGTGGGCCCCTAACCCCACAATTCCAAAGGGGTGGCGTAAGCGCCCGAAAAAAATTTTTAGAAGGTAAATTGAATTTTTGAAAAAATTTCAAAAATTTTGATTATTTGCAAGTATTAGCAAGTCACTTGCACATTTTTATAACTCATTCAAGTAACTTTCAATTTTCGCGACCCATTCTCGGAGAGGTCCCCCCTCGCCCGCCCCCCTCTCGATACGCCTCTGATAAAGTAGTAACTTTCTGCGCTTTTATGATGTTTCTGAGATGCTCTTTTGCAGTAACCCTACCATATGCCATATTGACTTGTAAGCCTAGCAGAAGCGATGCGCGCTATCGCACCGATCCCACATTGTATAGCAAGGGTTTCTGAAGTCTGTGCAATTACTATAAGACATTGCGGTACAAAAAGGCCAGCTTCCCCAAAAATCTCGTTTTACTTTTAAAACAATGCACTTATTCGATATTCCACACTTTTAGCAACACTGCGAATGTGTCGGATGCGTGGACTTCTCAAAAACAAGAGATTTTGTCTACAAACCAACCGAATGGTGGACCTATGTTGAGAATCCTGTAAATGTTGGTATGTTCCAAAGCGACATCAGCTATTTAGAGCAGTGTCCAGGCAAATTTGATATTTGTGTTCTTTAAGCAAAAAAGGATAGAAGCATCAAATCTTAGTTTGTCTCTGTGCCCAAATCACTAGATGCGCACCCTACTTCATTCCTGTGTCCTTAGGCTCTCAGAGGTAGTGAAGATTACTATGGATAGAGGAACGAGCACCTCAGTTAAGCACCGCCTCAGCGGACAACTGCTCCTAACGCGGTGCACAAAAGTAGGAAGAAAGGACCAGCAGCATTAGGCGGTGCCTAATTGAGATGTTTGTTCCTCTACCAGTGGCAACGTTCCCTTTCCTATCCCATCGCGCTGGGACCTTCTTAGGTTCCAAGGGATGGACTTTTATTTCAAACGCAAAATTTCAGATTCAAAACTTCAAAGAGTTCAATGATTCAGAATATGCCTGGACATTGCTCTAATGTAAGCTCTAAACATTATCACAATTATCTTCCAAATATTGAAGGTCGATGCGGTCCCGACGCACCTCGTTTACCTTCTGGCAAGATTCCAAAATGCGATCCAACGAGTGAGGCGCACTGCTGCAGTCGTGCTGGTTACTGCGGCAATGGTATGGATTATTGCGAATGTCTCGGATGCGCTGACTTCAAGAAAAATCCTGACTTTGAGTATAACAGCCCTTAAACTTAATTCATTCCGCTTAACTCGTATTTATTGCCATTTTCTTTATTTAAGCTTCTGTAATAAGATTTCGATGCCTTCGAAGACATAATAAGATTCCAATTTTATGCTTCAGCTTGCAAAAGATTTCCTTGCGTGAATGACAGCCTGAAAATCTCATCTTACTTAATAAAACCTTCTTATGGAATATGTTCAACAACAATGATTCAATCATATACGAATCGTCCTTGCTGAGTGATGTTGTGGTACACTTAGTAATTTCGGAGGTTTTGTGTTCCCATCCATTTTGATTTCTGGGGCGGTATGCATCAATCTCCCGTTTTGAAAGCGGGCGATTGGGCGGCCGCGTTGGGCGCCCGAACCGTGATGTATGATTTCTATTGAAAATGATCGCCCGCTTTCAAAACGGGAAATTGATGCATGCCGCCCCTTCATGCACTCATTCTGCTGGGAACTTAGAAAGGAGAAGGGAATCTTTATAGAAGTCAACTTTGTTCCCTTCGTTAATCCTATTTCTTCAAAGTCTGAGCTGGCAGAGAATAGCTATTTTTGTCACAGTGTATTTGCAGAACTGGATGGAGCCGTTTATGCCAGCTACTTCGATATAAGCAGCAAAAAGTCAATAAATCTTGTAAAAGCAAGCAATCCAGTAACGAAAGGATCGGGATATCTGCGAAATCCTATAGGAAGGCCTCATAGAAACTCTTGAAAGGCTGCTAAAACCGCTTTCATAGTAACGGTTTTAGCAACCTTCTGATTTTTGAATTTTCCCGGAGCGAGTGATTTCAACATTCAAAAAAATGGTAATCATTTGGGAAAGAATTAAATAAATTGGATGAGGGAGGAATGATACCTTACTCATCCAACTTATGCGGTCGCTTACTGAATTTTTGAGCGGGTCTGGATTAGAGAAAGTGCCCAATTTTGTATTTAAGTGCATTATAACCGAATCATTTTGCAAATAGTTGAGGAATTTGAAAAGCTTGCCACATCTTTTAACCATATAATTTCTCTACACTTTGATTTTTTGTTATTTCTAGGTCTTGTCCTTTTATATAACAAGTTCGGTATCGTATTCTTATCTGTGCAGTGCAAACGAGTAGTAGTTATTATTTTATGCAAAGAAAACTAGTTGAAGGCAGGCCTTGAGCAAAATCGTGTTTGTACACGTCAGTCATGAAAAGCTTGTTCGTCATTTGGAGATGAGCGGTTTGACGGGTACGGGACTCGTTCCCATGAGAACTTCTTTGCTGTTACCTCCAGGACGCTATCCACCCTGACATTTGCCGCCCTCTTGGCAAGCCTTGTCCTCAACAATGGCATTATTAAGCGTCAAAGAGGCATTCCTATGAAGCTGAGTTCTGCCTGTCTAAGTGTCTGCATGTACAGTCGAGTAGATTTAGCGGTGAATATAGTGTGCTTGCACAGAAGGTGAAATGCGGTAAAATTGGCGCGTGAAGAAATAGTTTCGACTGTGACGCCGGCCAATTGCGCGCGCAAAATACCCGCGGTACTGACGTGGCTACTTGTTCGCGCGCAAATTTCACCGCATTTCACCTCTGTGCAAGCACACTATATTTACCGCTAAATCTACTCGACTGTACGTATGTTCCAAACGAAAATTTTAATTCCTGAACCGATCGCGATCAAACATTGCACGCATACACTTTGGGTAGCGGGTGTCATGGGCCACGTTCGTCATCAATCGGTATTGATTTTATAAATTTTTTCAAAGTGTCGACTACGGGGTTAAGAATTGGCACAAGGTTGTAAGTGAGCACTGCTGATTAAAAATATATTAGGAAGGGCCGGGAAGGGCCGAATTTGTCAGCCAGTCGTCATTATAATTCAGTAGACAACAACAGCTTTAGAATGAATTTATTTGGATTCCTTTGATTCTGCACTTCAATGCCAGAGAAATGACACAAATTCTCGAATATATCCTTGTGGAATGTTTTTGTTCTTACAGTGAAAAAGCCACGATATGCACTGTTTGCTGGACCTGGCCGAGAATGACTGAACTTCGTTGTTCTGCATTAGGCCCACGAAACAGCGCGCCATCCTTGTACCCTGAAAGACCAATGCATAAAAAGTTTTCGCGGAGCACTTTTATCCGACTTGAAAAGGACGATTTTTTGGTCAATCATGAATCAAGGAAAATGTAGAAAAGACTGTACTTATTTATCCATAACGTCAATCCCCATTACAACATAACAACAAACCCTTGCCGGGACCGTAGAGTTGCTATTTTTCGCTGCTGCATATCTTTATATATAATCAAAAATTGTCTGTTTGGAGGGTATGTGCTTTATAGAAACGCCCACGGCTGAACCGATTGAGCTGAGACTTTGCAAACAGATATTTTTCACCCTAGAGACGGTCTTAGGATACTTTTCACAAAAATTGTCGGGTCCTTTCATCGATTTATTGATTTGTTTACTGACTCCTAGAAAAGAAAGCTTGCAGTCACTATCAACTCATTTCACCACAGTCATGTGGACGAGGACGTCAGATCTCATTTTTATTCCGTGGTCAGGCAGCATGCGGCGACTCTACATGAGTCACTTAGTGGACTCATCTATTCCTATAGATGTTCTCGCACGTTGTATTCTGTGCAAGAGAGGAGGGCAAAGTGAGGTGGTCGGAAGGAGATGAAACGCAAGACAGCGAAGAGGTAAGTCCTGCCATTTCGCTCAGGAGTGTATACCGCTTGACGGTTTGGCTACCCAGCGTGTGAAACCGGGTATGCCAGCTATAACATATATGTGGGGGGAGGGGGGAGGGTGCTCGCAGTGCAGGTGAACAGTGGCCTGGGGTGGACCGAGAAAGTTAACTAGTAGGGCATAATAGCGAGGCTGTACAAAAAACAAAGCAGCATACAGGTCAAACTGATGTCTTGATCGTGTCGGTTTCGTGCAATTTGGGACATTTCGTAACTATTAATGATGAAATAATAGCATAGAATTGCTTACCTTTGGTCTTGCAGCAACCATCAAAGATGTTTTGCCATTGCTATGTTTTTCCAAGGTCATCACAGCTGCTGTCTTGCTATCATCCTGAAGTGTCATATACTACTGCAATTTCAATACCTTAGCATTTTCGCATTCCCAAAGTTTGCGTTTTTAGCCAGACAGACTTGACGCTTATCTCAACAGAATGGTGTATACATCAGTGTATCGCATGATTTTGGAAAGAAGTTGCCTAACGTTGGGATTGGAGCACAGACTGATCTTCGCCCGTGATATATCGAATTAGCGGCCTCACGGAAACTAAACCGGTGGCACGCGATGCGGAAGACCATACTAGACCATCTCTGCTCCACTACACTAAGGCTAACGACTAATCTAAACGATAAAGAGTGGCTTGTAATTCAAAATTTTAGAGGAATTGCTCGCTATCCAACAAACCAGCAGGCTTAGTCTTACAGCGTGAGTCCAAGAAATTTGCAAATCGGCTCACAAACCGATTTTGAGCATTCCGGCTTTGAATCATTCCGAGGTCTTCCTCATATTCCTATTACCATTCAAAGGAGATCTACAAAGTAAGATTGGTTATTCCACCTTCGAAGTTCCCTCTCCAGCCCTGAAGCGTGCAAGCGACCACTTTACAACCAAAAGGAAGCCCGCCATTACGATGGGGCGGGCTCAGCGTCCATTCGAGCTCAGCGTCCATTTTTTAAACGAGTTCAGCGCTCATTCGTCCATGCTCAAATAAGGTCCGAGCTCAATTTTCTCTATTCTCCGTAATGCTCGGCTGAAGTAGCTAAGAGTTCTGGGTGAAAAAGAGAATTCAAATCAGTGTTCAATCCCCTTGCAAAGAAGGATGAAGTCTGTCATTCACGTATAGTTGAGCAGCTACAGTTCAATCATCATTCCAAACTAGAACTTTCTCATATCCCTATCACCATTCAAAGAAGATCTACAAAGAAAGATAAGACATTCTACTTTCAATCAAATGCAAGATATGACTTTAAACTCTCTTTGAAACCGTCCGGAGGTGTTACTCAAACCATCTTTGTAAGTCAAACGCATCAGTAAGGCAAGCCAGCATAGGAATCAATAAAAGCATTCGGCTTGTATTGTAGCTTTTGGTGTTATCGTATCATCTAAGGTGGCTTGTTTTTTTATTTTTGAGTGTCAATGCGACTGATCTAATCATGATATTATCCGAGCAGGGAAAAACCCAAGGTTACCGATGCTTCTACATATGAGACGTATTAGAAATACCCTTCCAGGGACGCCGATCTCAGATCTGTGCTGACTATATGCAAACCAATCTAGAGGAAGTTATGAATGTTTTTTCCAACGAAATTTGTATGGTAGCTGATACTCAAAATCATCAGTGCTGACCGAGTTACCCGCTTAGCTGCGAACAACATCAGTGACTACACACCACTCCACCCAGACTAAATTTCTTGTTTACGATGGGACAAACCAAAAAATCTCGTAATGCTCATTCTAACCCTCTGCTACAGTGCAACTTTTCGTCGAAAACATCATATTTTCATTAAAAATCGCCTTGCAGATAGCGAAGCAGTTTGGAGCCAGCAATTGCAGACGAGCATTTCCACATACATCTCGAGTGAAAAGACCACGATGACCATGTAAAATGTTTTCTGTAATATTGTTTGTGTAAAGTTTCTCCACAGCCATAGTATTAAGAAAAACTCTTCTTCTCTACACTCTCACATATCTTTTTGAATAATGCAAAAAATTGAAGTAGTATATTCGGAAGTAATTCAATCTACAGTATACTTAGAAAAAATCATATTGTCAGCTGGAGATAGTGGCTAACAAGTAGGCAATTGGTAGAGAAAAGCGCCGCGATAAAGGCTACTGTCGGACGAAGGCGCAAAAGCAATATAGTTTAGCGCTCGCGAAAGCGGCGCATGCGTATCGTATCACTATAAACACTGCACACTGCAACTTATAAGATCGTCCGCAATTTTAAATTTCGCGTTTTCACCCGTAGGATACGCGGGCATTGGAGAATCCGCGTTTCTGATTCTTCACACTCCGTTCGCAGATTGCTGTGAAATCGTCGGGGAGTTTTTTGGAGACCGCTTTTCAGATCTTTTTTGCGCTGTTTCTTTTGCGCACATCAACAGGCGGCAGTCGAAAACTTGAATGCTTTTGTAGATCCTGCGAGCGAAGTGCAAAAAATCAGTCATCTATTTATCCGGTGCTCGCCTGTCCCCGGCGATTACCTGAGTGAAAAATGGCTGGAATGTATGAATCGATAAGCCTGGCGCTTGCCTTATGTATCCACAAGGTATCCACTACGCCTTTTAGGAAGAGATATTATACTTGCGATAATCTTATTAGTGCTTTCATCGTTTTTGAAAGGAAAGACACAAACCAGGCCTTACTTACAATTTTGCGATGTATGGAATCTCCAATTTTTCTTATCATCTCTTTGTCGGCTTCACTTCCTATTCCACTCCAAAATTTGCCTTCAAACCAACAATCTTCTCTGGCAAACGCAGCACATGCCAGTAGCAGCAAAGGAAGGAACATCCCAAGCTCTGTTGAGAACGGTTATAAACAATGTAGGATATATAGAATGATTTAAGTCCATATTATTGGTTGTATGTGAATATTGCACCTCTCAAATCGCACCTTCGAAAATCTTTACGTAGAGTGATCGTATTGAATTTTGAATTTTAAGACTCAATTTTATTTTCAAAAAGTAGAGGCGCTAGGGATAACTTCTTCCACATAAGAATCTATTAGAAAACAAATATGTTCTCATAGCAAGAAGTGCCAACAGCAACCTTTGAAATATGCATGATACGGCAACAAAAAGAGCCAGCAATCGAAGTTGAATGAGCAAAATCAGACGAACATGGTTTTATGCATACTAGGAGCTCGTTTGCGATTCTGTACCGTGACATTAATTTCACACTAACAACCGCATTCCGTTTCTTGGTAGATATTCGCAATGCACAGCTATATGAATTCTATGCATAGCTCGCGCAAAATGTTGATTACAATGCTCCAAGAAAAATGAGCACAAGAATTTGGATTTATTGTTTCACGAAATTGCTGAACCTGCTAATCGTGGGGGAATTCTCTTGGATGATGCATACCTCTGAACTGTCTACGCATAGCTCTGTCAAGCGCGCGTGGAAAGCTCCACTTCAAGTACGAAATTTTTCACAATTGCTAACTTTTACAGGTAGTCTAACTGCTTAGTGTTGCATATGATCACTGTCTCTCTCTTCCTTGACAAGACCCGGCACGAGGTGGCCAAATGTCAGGCTGGAATTCGTTTTGGATGGAAAGCAAAGGGGATATCGTAAATACGTTTACGTACACCTACACTCTCTCGACAGTTGCTACACGACTGTGCAAAATACTGTCTTGCTCGCTCGTCATCTTCAAAGAAGCAATTTTTTTAGTTGTAATCAAATGTCTTAAACACAATGCACACATAACGATATAATAAGAATGGACTAGAAGGAGCGTAGTGCACAGTATTGTGGAAAAACTATGTGACTGAAGGTTGTGGCATTTTTTCTAAAAATTTCACACCTCCACAAAATGATAAGATGGCTCGTTTGCAACTCACAGATGACGGCATACCTTCGATACATAGAGCCATGTACTCTGGTAACCTTCACTTTGAGCGTCATGATAGAACACAACCTTCACCTGGGGAGAAGTACAGAAGTCATCCGGAGCGAAGCCCCGGAAATTATGACATAACCAATGACAAAACCGTATAGGGATGAATTTGCATGAGGCAAATATAGCAATGACATTCAAAAGAAGCTCAAAGAAACCGAAGGATTGCGATTTTATGGCCTTTTTTGTTGAGAAGAAGGTTTTTATTTAAAAATTCAATCAAAAACTAGAGCAAAATGTCTTAGTTAACTTTTCTCTGAACTACGGTTGAATGTTGGAAGTTCATTAAAGCCGCTAGAGTTCAATAAAAACGAAAAACTGCGCTCAAATCTTGCGCAAAGAGTCGCCATATGAATGCTGGTCTATTTCGTTATGGAGTGATTTTCAAGACCCGCGACGTTGTCAGTGCTCCTGGCCGTCTTATGAGGATCACAACGATAATAATGTTGCAGGGTTTCGTTGAGACCCTGCGAAGATCTACGACCAGAGCCAAATGCCCCGTCGGCTCTGGTCTGTCTCCGCTGCTCGTCTGCGTCTCGGCGCGCTGCGCGCTACCTCGCCACCTCAAATGCGGGGCGCGGGGCATTTGGCTCTGGTACCCTTTTCTTCGTTGTTCGGAGCCCAATTTCGATAATCTATATATCATATTAAAGCTCTTGATCTCTATTTTCACGCTGACAACGTCGCGAAACTTCTTTTTGGGATTAAACGAGAAATCCTCGAAAAACGGCGTTTTCGAAAACCTCTTGTTTTTTCCTCAGTTTAATTTTTTTTCACTCGGTTTTTTTGTGTATTCGATAGGTCTTGTTTCTGTCTATGATGTAGACAACGTCGCCGAGCTTACTTCTTTGCTTATGCCGGTTTTTTTGTGAAAAATACAAAAAAGTGCGTTTTTCTTTACCTTGTTCTCTTTCTGTGCTTTTGCAGCGAATTTTTTCCAGCTTGGACGATACTTGCTCAGAATGATGAGCGGAAGAATCCAGACAACGTCGCAGCGTACGAAACGACTATGCGGGGGTGAAAATTCAAAGGACGCATCAAAAATCAGATTGGCGTCGATGTGCAACACAACTTTACAGACATGTTTAACATGTTCAATTCAGTTGTTGACAAGTTCTTCTTCTTTCGGTCTCTCAACTAACGCCACAGCTAAACAGCGCTTTTTTTTTTGACCGGAAAAGAACTTTGTTGTTGTTGCCAACCAATTTTTACCGGCAAACCTGGAGACGAAACTTTGTGTAGGAAACCACCAAGTTAAGGTTTCAGATTTGGCGATGTGCTAACCTCTGCTTTATATGAATTTTCTAAGTTTTCTAGATTAATTTATATCTCTAAATTTTCGTCTATTTTTCTGGAACAACCTTCACTTTTTATAGGGGGCAAGAACTCAAACAACTATCACTTTCTAGCCTCTGTCTCTTGACTATCGAAGGTATGGATGACGGTATGGCACGAAATTTGGTGTGTGCACGCGCAGCTGGACTAAGAAGCAAAATATGGAAGATTATGAAAAATTTATGCAAGTAGAGAGCATGCTTAACTTTTTTCCGCCACCTGAGATAGGCAAAACTTCCATTTCAATTACAAAATTTTTACATAAATTTGTTCTGTACCTAATGTTTAGTATATAGTAACACTTTAGTTCCAGAACTGCTCCTCTCTTCGCTGTTAGGATTCAGAATAGCAACGACGTGTCCTCCTGAGGAAGAAAGCGCCCTCCAATCGAACAAAATACGCAACTGGCGGGATCAAGTGGGAAATCGTAAGAATCGTTAGCGGCAGAGGCGAAATCGTTCCAGCGATGTCCATCTGCCACCACTCGTACTAGGCCGTGTTCCTTGATGATTAATCTTTCTTTTGATTTTTAGCTCTTGAGTGAGAGTTCAACGCCATTAGCATCATTTTTTCTGCTGTACCCTTTCCATTCAAACAAACAAATGTTTATAAGGGATAAAAGCAGGAACACTTTTTATACAACACCTACTAACCAAGTTTAGCAGGTTAAGTCAGTTTTTTCAAGTGAACGCTAAATTTCGTAGAAGCAAGGTTTCTAGGAGATCTTGGTAGCATTGAATGCACCGTTTCATTTTCTTTCCAAGGAGTTTTATAGGCATCGCATAATAATCGATAAGCTCCGGAATTACCAAAATTTGCGACCCATGCTTTTTGAGAAGGTCAAGTTTTACAACTTTTCTAAATTTCTCAACATCCTCCGAAGGAGTCCAAGTAATAGTGGATTGAGCAAACCCTACACAAAACAACAACTTTTTTCTGCTTTCATAGCTCGTAATAATTTTTGTAGAAATTTCAATGAAAGCACCGAATTTTAGCAGGCTTGTCTCAGACATAAATTCTCAGGCACCAATAAATCCTTGGATTTTGAATCTTACAAAGGTGGATTATGGTTTGACACTAATTTTACAAAGCAAATGAGCGTTTACCGCTTCAGATTAGCAACTTTCGGAAATTTCGGGTACAGCTTGGGGCGCCCTGGAAAACCTGAATTACGATGATTTTATTCCAAAAAACTTTATGAATCGGGAACTAAAAACAACTGATAAAAAGAGGAGAAAAAGCTGCGTCGAATGACGCTCGAGTTGCTTGCCGATGTTTGTTCTGTGAGGTTTGAGTTGACCAAAAATGGAATTTGATAGCACTGTGTTTTGTGTCCTGTAGGGTTAGCTCTATTTATCTGTTACTTATATGTTTTCGAGGAATCAGTAGAAAATATAGGAAAATAGCCGAACTTGAACATGACAAAAATATGAGTCGCATGTTTTGAAAATTTTTTGAGAGCTCATTGAATATTATGCAATGAAATTACAGCCATTAGAAAGAGGACGGTGTGTTGCATCGACTGATCCCAAGAGCTCTTGAAAATCTTGGTGCCACGAAACGTGATGTTCATTTGAAAAAAGCGACTTACTTTCGGAACAACCTGATAAACCGAATATTATTAAAACCTAATACTATCAAAATTTGATTGAATTATAATTGCAATATGTTTTTCTTGCTTCAAAAGTAAAAATGAGGATGCAACTCAGACGCTTTCTTCCTATAATTCTAACAATTCTCTTGTTAGAAGCTATAAGTTCCGTGAGCATTTTTTTCTGTTTTGGTAGCAAAAAGAAGCACAAGTTCCTTAAATAAACCACAATTAATAAAACCTAATTCGGACGAGTGCAAGACGAATGTGCATCAATCCCCTTACCTGGTAACATGCGCCACCACTTTGTAGTACATCAACAATGGCTGTATATTAAAGACAACATAGTCTCAGATATAATCGTACTACTTGATCCTAAATCACATAGTGATATGAAGGCATGAAGTCATTCAAACCTGCCCAGCATTCACTTTTGATGTTTATCTGTGAATGCTCCCACAGCATTTTGCTGGAATTACCGTAAACCAACATAAAACATTTGCCGGTTTTGTTCATTTCGTTTGCTTGAGGTATATTTCAATAGAAGATTTCATATGACCATGGACCATGTTTATATTTCCCAAGCGGTAAATTCGACTGCCCATCTTATTTTTGTGCATTTGATGCATCATGGCAATCTCCGTCAGCGCCGTCATTCCGACCCTGTTTCCTGCATTCCATCTGTGCAGAAGTGATGCAGAATTGAAAACACGTAAAATTACAGCATATTGACGTGAATTCCTGGCGTAGACCTTAGGTCATTCCAGGAATACAGACGAAAGAAAAACGAGTTCAAAGAATATTTTCAAATGTTCTCTCCAAAAGTGTTTTTTTATGACACAGTGATTCCGCCTCAAGAGCGTTGGCAGATATGATCGTTAATCATCGAATAATTGAACTTCTGGAGGAGTGCTGGCCAAGGCAGCTTGTGTGTTCTTGCAAGTCGCTTTTTTCACTGTCTACTGCAAAGGCTCTATGTCTTGAAATGTTCAAACTGCGTCACTTGCAGCAAATAAAAAAGCGCTTGAAGGTGAATGATCCTATTTTCTTACTGAGAGCATTCTTAAGCGAGTTAAAACCGATCTTGGCCCTAACATTGAGTGGCCTTTCAGGGCAAACAGCTGCTGGAGCTGGCGCTAATGCCTCAGTTGAGTTATAGTCGGTAAGTGTGTCATCGTATGCGAAATAAATTTGAAAGGTGCGTGGCGTGAGCCATGCACTCCAAAATTTTTTTTTGGAGTGTTCCTCAAAATTTTTGCAAGCCCATAACACTTAAAATCCATAAAAAAGAGGCGTGGCGTATTTGTACCCCTTGCAGGTGCTCGGTTCTTGAAAACAGTAAAAAATTACCGGATATCCCAATTGTCCCACTATATTAGGTTGAACAAAAGTTCTGTCGCAGCAATCTCAAAAACTCTTGATTCCCCGACAGGTTCGCATTCCTTAAATTTTAATTGAAAGAAATCATGTTTTTTGTAACAGCAGATTGCCCGCTTTCCATTATGCACACATTGCCTAGATAGCAACAATACAGTAAAACACTCGCGTTTTGATTTTCCTTTATTTGGTCATAAAAGATCTGAAACTTGCATCAAAAAATGGTGCAGTTACAGTTATAGATTTTTTGTCCTGCTTTTTCTTACTAAGCAAAATCTGTGCTGATCAGATGCCTCTGTGAAAAGATTACATTTTTTCGGAAAAAAATGCCAGAAAATCAATTTTGCATGTTTATACTGCTTGCTCAAACATGATAACTTTTCGCAGAGCACAAACTTTGCTCAGACGAAAGTAGCAAGTTGAGAAGCCGATACGACTACTGCACAGTTTTTTATTGCAAGTTCCAGATTCTTTATGAAAAAAAATAAGAAATCAGATTTTGAGTGATATTCTTTTATCGCTTCTAGCTATGCGACATGTGCATTTTGCAAAACGGCTATTTTCTGACAAAGCGCTCAAATGCTTCATTCAAATAAAATTAAATGCATGCAAACCGGTTGAGTAATTAGGTTTTGAAAATGGTGCAACAAAACTTTCTGTTCCACTTAATATCGTCTGACTTACTCAAACGAATCGTACCATTAGCCACTCTACATCCAAAAATATCTCAAGCATCCTACTTCGTCACTGTGTATTGTTTAAAAGCTATTTTTACGAATTAATTCACACTTGAATTCATTGTAAAACTGCATATTTTGCTGTTACTTTTGCACTTGAGAAAATTCAAAGCCCCATTTTTTTGTCTCCCTGCTTTCTTTTTGATTTTTATCGAATCACAGACTTACTTCGAGAATAAAACTGTTTTGGAATCCCCCTCCCCCCCCCCCCCGGGCTGTTTGCATTGTTGACACTTGTAGTTGACTTGATTAAGCGTAAATCCCTAAGTTGATGGCACTTTCAGCATTTCGGCGTTGGCGCCTTCGTCAGAGTCCAAAAGCGCAAATCATATGAATCTCGCTCAGACGTCAACAAAAGACTCAGAATGTCATTCAGAAACAGATACCATTGAATGCAGTAGCTCGCAAAATCGCAACTTCCACAATTGCATGGCCTTCTGGACCAGTTGAATCAGGTACTGCGCTTGAAATGTCAAAAAATTGTTGTTTTTCTTTTGAATCTACTGGTCGTGCAGATTGCTGGAGAGGCGGGGCGAGAATTCCCTCCACAAACAACTTCACCTATTTTAGCGGTGTTTTGCTGATTAGCCTAGGCAACCAATCTTAACACAGTTGACGGAAATCCCTCGCCCTGCCTCTTCAGCTCCAAGGCCAGAAGAGGCCAAAAAGCACTTCTTGTAAGTTTTCATGCAGAGTACTTGACTCAGCTAGTCTGGAAGGCCATGTAATCGTGGAAGGCCCCAATTTGCGGTTTTCCCAAGCCACTGCCCTTAAACTCACTTCGAAACACTCATTTTTCCTGTGAAGAAGGTTATGAATTATTTTTCAAGTTTGGCCGCTCAAAAGGAACAAGATCGAAGCGCTGATACTTGCGGTACCTGTGGTATAGTGGTTAATGCGATGATAGCTCGAGAATATGATGCAGGTGTAGGACCTCAGCCTCGCGCGTTTTTTAGTTTTGCATTGTCTCAGCTAAGTTTTTTTTCGAAAAGTTGGGCATCTCTGAATTAAATACATGCCCTTTGAGTATATTAGGGTGAACGGTAAAAAATGGGACAGTTTGATTTTTATTACATTTTGAGGTTTTTTGTTCTCACCAGCAACAAGCAGGCTGCAACTCAAACGTCGTTTATATAACCGACCTTCGCCTATTATTCTGGCAACACGTTACCGCTCCTCTCTCATAACCGTACGCGTCGCGCCGTGAAAAGCTTAGACAGGGTTTTTGGAATTCTCAATCTTGCGCTGCTATATCGTAAAGTCGTAAAACATACGACATACCATTCGAAAGAGCTCTTCATGCTCTTTCAAACGATATGTTAAATGCATAAGATTTCTTTTCAAGTTTAGAAAAAAGCGAAAAACCTGAAAAATAGCTATTGCAATAAAAAACCAAAAAATCATGTTTTGCCCTATATTTTCCAAAGATAGATAAAATCTGAGATATGCTGCATATGGATGGATTGGTACTTAGAAAACATGCGTTCACCTGCAAAGAATTGGATAACGCGTATCTTCTTTCTCGAAGCTGCTAATGGCCATATATCCTGACTTTGAAAGTTGAGGCCACGAAGCCGTCGTGGGTCTGGTGACTGTCCCCCACCCACTCCAGTGGTATGGGTGGTCTCACATGTTTCATTGCGCAGACACTGCTCAAAGTTCACAATTTATCGAAGTGACTAGCTTTGCATTACAGCAAGTATAAAAATTATTAATTATGTAAATGACCTTATATAGGTATTGTCTGAAAGAGAATAACACATTCTAACATTCATCGAAATTGGAAAGTCTAATCACTTCTACTTTTTGAGAAACCTCCAGTTATTTCGTAAGTGTCCCATTTTTTACCGTTGATCCTAATACAACGAGAAGTCATTCTTACATGAGTATTTCCAATATTTATGCTGAAAGATGCTTACAAAAGTGTGAATGGAGTCATCGAAATCTACGACAAGGTGATTGAAACATAAAGGTTGCTCACAGTGAGCGCAACGGATTGAACAAGTCAAGACGATTATCTCATACTGCCCCAGTAGTTCATTGAAAAAGCAAATTATACTCGGGTTTGTTGACAGGGGTGCCCGTCAAGGTCACTTATTAAGGCTTACTTGTTTTGTTCAAGTAAATTTACTCGAACTGTAATCAATAGCTACATTTCAGCGCAAATAGTAAACATTTTCCCCATTCTCCATATTACTGAAGAGTGAGGGCATGCATTTACCTCAAGGATGCCTATTTGGAAAGAGGCTTAAATGACGTAATGCAAAACTAAAGCAGGATTTGGTCGTACACTTGCATTATCTTGTGGGCCTACCGCACTAACCACTGTATCACTGCGTACCGGTATCCTTGCATTCCGATCACATTCCCTTGGGTGGCCAAACTTAGCGCGCAAATACCTCAATTCCTTCAAGAAATTAGCGTTCCAAGACGAGTGTAATGTTATACATTCAAAAGGCCTCGGATACCGAGTATCCTTCCCTTGTTAGACAATGCCACATATATAGTACAATACCGTACATCCGCTTTTTATACCTTCCTTGATGACCCTGCCTCCTATTATCATGGGGCGTGTAAAGCGCGCGGTTCATTTTTGGATTTTTGACGCTAATATAAACGGCTAACGTCTTGCGCGTGATAATTTCGGCTCTAACGACAAGATCTTTACAGTATATCCTCACAGTACTAAATTACTTTTAGGAGTTCATGACGCGTTAGAACGCACTAACTCAGACAACTGCATCGGAAAGTTTGGGGGGAGGGGGGACGCGGAATGCGACAAAATCGGCGCAAAATGGGGGCAGTGTATCATACTTTCAACGATTTTCACGGTTTTCTTTTTGTGGCATCGAGAAATATATCTGCTCCCACCCTCCACCATTGTCCCCCGTCGTGTCACTTTGACACCGGAGAGTTTCTGATAGGCACAAAATTGGGAATTGTCACCTTCCGCACCACACCTGAAAGTCCGCGGACTCAAAGCGTGTTACATGAAGCGCCGCGGCCAACAAAATCTTCGACTGACGAGCTGCGGCCCTAAAATATACCTGGGCCTCGCACGACGCGACTCAGGTATATTTTACCGGGGACGCCGCGGCCAAAGTTGAATTTGGGAAGAGACTATTGGGAGAATCGAGGTTCGACCACATCACTCGGTGGGCCGCGGACCTAATCAAAGGCCGCACTTCTTACACGCTGCAGGTTGAGAAGCGACCCGTGAGGTACGCAGCAACGGTGGGGCTATCCTAAGTGCTTATGGGGCTGGGTGCCGTTTCTCGGATCTGATCCTATCTGACATTGAGTTCCTGTGCTCACCACGCGAACAACAGCGGCCGAATGTTATCGAGGACATTAGATGATGTGGATAGATGAGCAAACAAATTGCTCGATTTGAGCTCACGTCGTCATTGATTCACTCTTCCTAGGCCTTTCACTTATCGGTCCAATATGGTTTTCTGGGCAGTTCGCAGCATGGATGATTGGTGCATCGGGGAGTTCGCGGGGCAAGCACCCGCGAACTTCCCGATGCAATTGTCTGGGGGATAGCTGGATAGCTTGCAGGATAGCTTAGCCGCCTTCCCCACCCCCTCTTCCGCCGAACTTGCCTTCAGGAAGTTAAATTGATTGGAGGGGGGACACAGATGGATTACAGATGAGAGGCTGTACATTTACTATAAATGAAAGAAATGAATAATAATTGACACAACAACCTCACATTTCACTATTTACAATGTATGCTCACAGAAACGGGATACCCGTAGGCATTCTGTACAAGGTACCCGAGGAAATCAAACAATACTCTCTTTGCTTCCGAATTCTTGTTTTCCAACATCCTTCTTCCGTTCGCGCACAGGACTATCATCACGAATTTTGTCATTATATTGCATTGTTAGGCTCTCTGGTATGGTCAATTCATTCCATCCGAAAGCCCAAAGGTCTAATACCTAAATAAAATTCCTAGTGATTTATAAGAGTTGGTGGAAAATGACTTACGTGGAGGAAGATTCGTCTAATATACCCATTCATTTGATCATCGTCTGAGCATATTTTTTCTCTCATTTTTACGATCAATCGATCAATCAGATAGGGATTCAAATTATTCATTGTCATCCCATGCTCTGTTAACAATACTCCCATGGTCTGAAATCTAAAGAAATTTGTATTGGAAAAATAGATATTTACCTACCACAAGGTCTTCGGATTCTGGGTGATTATCGATTAAGAAATCCAAACACTTAAACATCGGTTTCTCAAGACATTTTGCAATGCAAGAGTCAATCTCCAGAAAGACAACATATATTCTAAAAAAAGTTTACTTACAAAGGTAAGAATGGTTTTTCAGAGTCAAACATACTCAAACAAGGCTTTGACGCTGTTTCTAAACATAAGTTTTGAGCGATTTCTCACTTCCAGACGATTGCGGTAATCATTCAACAGCAGTGCCAGGATGCAAGACGATAGAGCAAGTCCTGATGAGTTAGTCTAAAAAATTAACGATGATGACGTCACTTTCGTATAGTAATGTGAACTTACTTTTCTTACATGAAGCACAATATTGGCAGCAATGTTTGCGAAACGGCCATCAGCCAACCATCGCTGATGTAATTGTTCGGCTAACACTTCTGGTGAATGATTGTGCACCAAAACGCTGTAGGCTTGCACTGAAATGGACATTTTATTATACTAAAGTAGCACATGCAAATTTTAATGAATTAGTGTTATTTAAGCTCTAGTAATTCTTCATTGCCAGCACCTTATCGCGTTTACGAAATTGTGGAAAGTTGGTTCTTCCAGATACGAATAAAAAACTTTACGAAGCCAGCATACTGGTATTTGCAGGAATTTTGGGAGGGCTTGCAAAGCGAGGCAAATTCATTCAAAATGAGGAGGATTGCGACCTCAAAAAGTATTCTAACCTCGAAAAATACATGGATTAAGCTATCACAATGAAGCAAAAAATAGAGCGTTATGCGACAGCTGCAGTGTGAATATAAAAATTCATTACTATTCAAGAAAGCAAACTCTACAAGAGCGATCGTAGTTTTCAGAATTCGCGATTTACCCCAATGGAAGTGATAAGAAAATTATGCTACCCCAAATTCAGTCTTCCACAAGGTAAACTCGCAAGCCTTCAAGCTGGTTTTCATGAAGTACAAATACCAAAGTAAATGCAGTTACTTGAGTTTTTTTTGAGGCCAAAAAACAAGGAACAAAAGTAAGTTGAAAAAGCGACTGTTGCCTTTTTCGTTGTTTTTTTTTTGGCTTAACACTATTCTTTCAATAGCTAGGCGACATAAATAAGATTTCATACAATAAGATTTTTCTACTTCCTGAGGTATTTAGAACACAATCAAATATGTGAAAATTGCCTCAAATGTGTTCGTTATTGGCCTCTATTTTCTCTTAATTTATAGCCGTGAAAAAATACAGCGAATGCATATAATGAATGCTTGTGGGCATACATTTGTGCTTAGCAAGTAAGAAGTTCGCAAGGTTTTTCTGGGCAGAGATCTATTTTTTGAGGTACCCAATGTTTTTAGGTTTTGGCTCAAGTTTCCTACTAGCTCCTGTTAACCTATTAGCTCCTACTCCTAGCTCTACTCCATCGAAAAGCACCTTTATCTCTTTTAATCACATTGCGGCACTTTTGCATGAGCCTAATGTCGTACGAATTGCTTAACTCCCACTGTAGTGGACAAATTTATTATAAAAACATTATGTGGCTCCATAATGTTATACTATACAATGTTGCTTTTCATGTAAGGGACATTACGGATATTAGAGTTAAAAGTGCAATGTGGTTCCTGGTTTGTCAGAGCAAAAAGAATGAGGAGGAAATAGGAAAGGAGTCACAAATATAACGCGCACGCTGTAATAATCGTCATGAAACATAAACCATCAGTCTTCTCAATTCGACTAGCACTTCCGCTTTACTACGGAAAAATCAAGACCTCGAATGTTCCGTCCAAAAGTTAAAATGGTCCAAGGTTTTTGAGAAATATGCTTTTTCAACATAAAGATCATTCTGGCCAGACAAACAAACGTAGGTTCATTTCCATGCTAAAATATTTTCAATATAGTGGACGAAATCAATGTCATCCTTGCTCTGCGTCAATGTAGAGAATTTTTTTTCAAAGCTGAGTTAGTAATAATAGAAGGCATTCACTATACATACCATCAAGATTTTGTTCACTTTTATAGAATTTTCTTACTGTATATTTACCTGGAATTGGTCCTTGTTGGGCCAACACGGCCAAGGAGGAAAATAATTCACGCAACTGCTCGTCATCCATGCTCCAAGAATTTCGATATTCCAATCATTAGTACATAAACTAAAACTCAAACATCTCGAATCCAGAATTTTGACACATTCACGACATTGACATAAAGAATAGGGCATTGTCCAGAAAAAGCTAGACAAGTCCAAAGCATTTCAGTTGGATGAGGATTCATTAGGTTGTAGCTTGTTTCAAAGGAAATTCATGGAATCTTTCTTTTTCAATTTTACTTTTTTTCTATCTGCAGAAAATGGTGAGGGTAAGTTGTTTACCAGGTTTGAGCTCCTCTTCCAGCTGCCACTACCTGGCTCTTGTTTTTGCTGTCTCTCTGGTTTTCCATCACAGTCACAAAATGATTAATCTAAAAAAGCTAAAGCCCGCTTTTTTGCTTACAACTCCAAAAAAACCTCATGCATTACATAAATTCAAAAATTATTCTACAAAAAAATCTCCAAGTTTGACCTACTCTTTCTATTGGCACCAATATCTTTTGTTTTTGTATCTCTCTCTTCTTTCACCATTTCCTTGCTAGCAAGATTGATTCTTCTCAAAAAGACTAAAGCTCATTATTTTTGTCCAAAGTCCACTAAGCTCTTTTGCATCACATAAGTTTAAAAAAGAGATACTTTTTGTTGCCAGAAAAAACTAAAGTTTTTTGTTGCTTAAAAATCCCTCGCTAAGTACATGAGTTTGAAAAAAAATTTCTATGGAAAAGAAAATGGTAAGGTAATCCACGTAATAAAATCCTTCCTACTCAGGTAATTAACACATTACTAAGGTAATCGATTATTTACTTGATAATAATGTTAGATATATTAAAGGATTTTTACAGGTGAGAAATTCCGCTGTGTTTCTACATATAATGGATACGTGCATATAGAAATATCTGAATGAGGAAAAAATCTGGAGCAAAAAAATCAATGAAAAAATGGAATCAATGAAAAAAAGGCACTCTTTCGGGACGATCTTCTATTCAGATGGAACTCATATGAAATTTTAGCAGTGACTGGAACCAAAATTCTATAAAAAGCATCGTACAATCATAGATACAATTAAGATAAATAAATTTGGTCGTGATTAAATAGGAGAGATTTTGATAAATTAATGCGCGGAAACGCTAAAAGGGAACTTGATTTATTCTTACGTCTTAGACTAAAGATAAGAGCGAGAGAAATCATAAAGAGATTGAGAAAACAGATTCGAAAGCGCCGAATGGGCCATGAAGATGCGTCTAAACATATGGCGTGAACATTGAAGACAAACAGCTGCAAGTCTCGGAACATAACAACTGCCTCACCGCTCTACCACTCTCCGCATTTTCTCGCATATTCCGCCAAAAATCTGTTTCTCGAAGCTATCACACATTTAGAAAATCACCAATATATCAGCTGTTATGACGAAAGCACTTAGTCGAATGCGAAAACTCTAAGAGCTAAGAGACGATTGACAATTTGAATTAACTCTGGAAGGTTTAGCTTGGGTATTCAAAGGCTTCAAAGGTGTAAAATCGTCTCCCATTCACTAAAAAATATGATGGGATATAAAATATCACAAGTAGTGCTCACGTAGTAGTAATGAATCTGGATAAGCGGGGGGGGGGGAAGAGAGAGAGAAGAACGAACGAAAGCTGTGAAATATAATTTTAGGAAACTCTAACTCATGGTCCCCTCACTAAGATTAATAAAATCGAAAAATCTCTCGCACATTTTGTAAAAAAATACAGAAGTCCTTTATCACTACTACGCTCTTTTCATGGTCGGATAAGAGGGAAGAAGAGGGGGGGGGGGGCATTATCAAGATTTTTGCCACTAAAACCTTTCAGCGTGTCTTTACCGTACTGGAAAACTCAAGCAGTGTTCAGAGTGAGTCAACGCCGATCCACAGATGTTCCAGCGCCACGCTATCGCCGTGCAGGAGCATCGATCAGTTATAGGAAAGGTCATTTTGGGTCCCAACACGGTACTATCACAGCGCTGGCACGACGCTGGCACACGGGAATTTGATGCTGCCTCAGTTCCTATACGGGTAAATTCTCGCTGGGAAGATAGGAGAGCTGTGAGGGGCGTCTTATGTCTCTGTGTTCTAAGTATTCTCCCTTTCCATTCCCAGAAAGATTTTGCGGACTGGACTTGAACTGATTTAGTGGGGAGTTTGCCTTTTTGTTTTATTTTTTTGTTGTTGGTTGTTTGGTGTGATGCTTCGTTCTTCTGTTGTATGGGCGCGCCTTGTGTGTATTAAATGAATAAATAAATAAATAAATATCTGTATCTATACGAACCTTCCGTGTTCGTATTATATTTTTGCCCGCATGACTAACACGGCTGGCACACGAAGATTCTCACAACTTTTTCTTTATCGTTTTGTTAGCTGTCAGCTTATCAGTAGATTTCTCAGACTCAGTGGAATCTGTTTATATTCGCTTACATATATAAGGGGCTGACACAGTTTAGCAAGCACTGATTATGATTCTATGTCTTATATCTCATCGTTCAATTGTTTCTTTATTGATTCTTGGCTACTTATGGTGTATCAATTATCCTTCCCATAGTTGCCTTACTACCACACAGAGTTCACAGTTCAGTCGTCCTTTCACGGATCCCTCCAGCACTCACAGGATATCAAATCACTTATGCTTGTATGTTATGCATTGTTATGTACCGCAGTGTAGTTGCTAGTTACATTAGTAATAAAAGTTTAATTACCCAAGTTTGAGGTGCTCCTGTGCACGCAAAGTCCCGCGTTGCAACCAAACAATCAGGGCTCGGCACGAGCTGGCACCAGGGAAATTTCGAAACGAAGTCCCGTTTGATCTTGTAAATTTCGTACGAAGTCCCCTTTGACCAGTTTTGAAGAAAAGTCATTAATTTTGCATTCTGTAAAAGTATGTAGTAGGGTTTTCATGCATGCTGATTTCATGGAACCACTTTTCACAAATTTCTGAGCTTTTTATGTGGTTGAATCACCTTGAGAAGCAGAAAAAGCCGATTTTTTGATTGCGGAGCAGACTGAGTAATTTTAAAATTGCTATAAAACGCTGAAAAGAAAACATTATGAAAATGTTTCTTCTCTGTATGTAAACTTTTACACTATAGATACGTTTTATGTAGAAAAGTATGAAAACTTATGTGAGCAAAGTGTCGGTGCCAGCTCAGCCTGGCACCCAGCTGGCACGGGGCCAGCTAATTCAGAAAAAACTTCGGCACACCTTTCATTCGCATAAGTTTTCATAAATTTTTGGGGTATAGTTCCGGTCCATTAACGCGCATGCTCACACCAAATTTGGTGTCATACTATTGCATTTTGGCTGAGAACGAGGCCTTTGTTTGTTGATGGACAGCATGCCGGTGGCATGCCGGCGGCATTCTTGCGGCACTTCTCCGCCGCGGACCCCGAAAAAAACGATATCCCCTTTGCTTCCCGCCCTAAAAACGATATCCAGCTTGACCCGGTGCCAGCTGTGCCGAGCTCTGCAAACAATCGATACACAGCCCACACACTGATCGTACAGTATCCTGATCGTACAGTATACTATCCATCTTTCGAAAGCTCTACTGCCCCTATACCTTACAAGGGAATGGTCAGAAGTCGAAGTGGCCAATCCATACAAGCTGCATACCGATCGATGCAGCATAGAATGCTGATTTCAAATGTGTCTTCCGTATCTGCAGAGCGCTTTTGTGGGCGAAGTTATGAGCAGCTTTACTGCGGAGATGTCGTCCACAAAAACTGTGAAATTAGGCAGATCACTGCTCTTTTAGCTCACCTTTAGGTACGAGCCATATGGACTGACCTAGTTACACGTTTTGGTCCAACACTGAGCCGAGAATGGCCTTGTAAGGCCAATTTTGACCTTTACACGCACAATTTCTTAGCAAAATAATGACATTTAACGGCTTATAACTTTGTCTACAGAAGCGCTCTGCAGATAAGGAAGACAGATCTGAAATTAGCACTCTATTCTGCATCGAATGGTATGCAGCTTGCTTGAATTGGCCGCTTCGATTTCTGACCATTCCCTTGTTAGCTTAGTAGGCAACACCGCAATGCCACATAAGTTGAGCTTTTTAGTATTTCGTAAGGTGAGATGCCCATGGGAATCACTGCTTTTCTCAAATCTATTTAACTTTTAAACTCAACGAAAAGATAGGAAAGTTGCGTTAAGGATCGATGTGACAGTGCTACTCATGCTCTGTTGGAAATAACTGAAATTCAAAATGACAAGACCATCAGCGAACCAGTGCTCGCGATTCGGTTTTAGGCGGAAAACATGACATCTATGTGCCATTCATCCAACCGAAAACATGCTCGGGACAGATATAATAAATCCTCAACGCAGCTTTACGACCTTTTCATAGAGATAAATGACTTTGAAAAGAGCGGCAATTTCTCCAGCTGATAATACTAAATAATGAACTCACTTTGTATAAGACTGCAATCTTCTATGCTAGGGCATTAAAAGCGGAGAATGGGTAGAAAACGAGGACAGACCTAAAACACCGAGTTGTAAGGACTAAGGCATACCTCGCGCGATTTCGTCAAATCGGTACATCCACGCGACTTGAAAAACGCTTAAAGGTTTGATACCTCCTTCCTATGCTGCAGAAAATTCATATCCGGTATCAACACAGACCGCTTGTGAGCATAGAAGCAAGAAAAATGGCAATCCGCTACTACAAAAAAGGGAACTCGCGAGTTGATGATAGGAACAAGGCCCGCGATGTTGTGAGCCACATCGTTCCTGCACGCTGCGCGTACGGTAACGCTTGCGCGTAGATGTGTGACTGCACTACACGGTGCGGTAGGGGGAATCGGGCTCTCCCCAGGTGAAGGGGGTCTCGGCTGTTTCCGACATTCCAGGTGAAGGGGGTATGTGAGCCTGAGGGGAGGGGGGGGGGGGGAGGGAGAGAGAAAAGGTGAAAAAGCGTGGTGTGAAGAGCTCTAATTTGTACCTTATTTAGGTCATACTTGCGATGGGGCAGCATAAAAAGGACGCGTTTCATTAAATGGGCTCCATTAATGCATTGCGCATATATAAAACTCGGAGTGGGTAAGTTTTTCGGTATATGTTTTTTATACAAACTTTTCTGTTTGAACGGATTGGCTTGAAACTCCGCACATGTATTTTCGATCCCTCAAAACGTCATAAGCTTTTTGCGGCAATTTGGAGGGTCCTTCTATCGATTTATTGACTTGTTTACTCACATCAAGCAATAGAGGCTTATCAAACATTTGTCCGAGTCAAGATGAACAGTAATGGTAATTCTCATTCTGAGCTCCTGCAAGCAAAGCGCAGGGAACTAAAAGTGTACCTCATTGTCAGATTAGTCCCCATATCAATATTCGCAGCCGTTTCGCAAACTTCACAAGTCACATCAAATAAGAAAACTAGATGTTTTTGGAATATTCTCCGCATTGGACAAGGTCTCTGTTGTGTAACACAGTTTATTCAATAAATATTCATTGAGGGGCAGGAGGGACTGGCCCAATGTTTTATTCTGAAATTCGCAGCCGTTTCGCAAACTTTCCAAGTCGCTTTGAATAAGTAAATTTGATGTTTTTGGAAGAGTCTAGGCATTGACAAAGACCTCTGTTGTACAACACAGCTCATTTTAAAGAACATTTATTGAGTGGCAAGAAGAAACGATCAAAAATGCTTTTGTCCTGTAATCCTGTAGTCGCATCAAATAAGAGAATTAGATGTTTTTCGAACAGTTTCCGCATTGGATAAGGTTTCTGTCGTATGCAAATAAAAATACTTAGCTGAATTTTCTTGTGTCTTTGCCCTCTGGTGGCGTATTTTAGAGAATTGGCTGGGCAGAAAGGGTCTCGAAAAGAAAAGAAGTCGGATTCTTTTTGATTCGAAGAAAATATAAACTTTGTTCAATCTGGAATTAACCTCTAGTACAATGTTCAAAGTCACAGATTTTTGCTGGATTACCACATGCGTTCGGCACTTTCTTTCAGCAACTATAGCGTGTAAGAGGAATAAAATTATTATTTGAGTTTCGGATTTGTTCTGCGAATGAGGCACTACTTCCGTAAAAACATCAATGTATTCACCAATATCGAGATGTTTCTGAGGGGCTTTCACTCCACAGACTTTTTTGTAGTCAAACGTCTTTCTGGCCCAGAACGAAACAATGTTCACAATAGCAAGGTCGGACTATGATTTAGAATTACTTTCTCGAAACGGAATAAGCTCGGAAGATCAGGAGGATTTGCAGAGATTTGCCAAGCCAGTGCGTCATGAGAATTCTGTGTAAGAAGCATCTTTGCGCTACTTGATTACGAATATATGGAGTTGTCAGGATTCTTGGTACAAAATTTTTGAAAAGCCTAAAATTTTTCGTTACAACGGCTTTCTTTGATTCAATATAATCTAGAATGAGTATTTCAAGCAAGTGCTTAGTGCTCAGCCAAAGTTGCACATTGAAGCAAGCTGATAAAAGTAAAACCTAAGTCTATTTTTGGTTATGCTCTTATGACCTATTCTAACTGAGAAAGGTTCGCGCAAACTGGATGTGTATAAAACAGGATGATCTTTGATAACAATTTCAAAACTATTTTTTTCATGTGCAAGTCTTACGGACATCTAAGTGATCTAGATACGGTTTTTATTGCAACGCGGCACGCCATACAACTTTGTAAAGAAGCAGTATCCGATTTTAAAATTGAAAATGCTTCAGCAGGAAACCCTTTTTTTCTGAGATGATTGATCCATTTGAATTTTTGGTGATCTATAAAATATTGCGAATCATTATTTCACTGGAAAACAGCAAGTTCACATCTGTACAAACATAACTGTGTTGAGTACATTGCATTACACAAACGTGTTAGTGAAGGCATCCTCATTGACTTTTGAAATGATTAATCTATTGACTCCTACGTCCCGCAAAAGATTGCGTGACTACTAGATTTTTCGAAATAAGAGTTTTGGCTAATAATCAGAAAAAGACCGAAGCTACAAGTTTTTAAGTTCAAAAGATCTAGCGCATCGCAACCGCAAACTTTCGAAACATTTTCAGAAAACATTCTGGTTGATTCTTTTAGCAGCGCCCAAGATTGATACAGATATTTATTCCACAATTTACAGACTCACGTTTCAAAGATGAACCTTACATTTCTCATAATGAATTCGAGAACGTCCTGTACAAGATTCTAGTTCACATTGTTGTTCGTTACCATCCTCATGTATCTGCCAGTGTCCGACCCTATTATATCTAACTTCTCTCATAGGTCTCAATCTGGGCTTCATGCGTTTTGTTGGAACGATAGTAGGTGCACTCATAATATTCGAAGAATTGGACCTGTCTTCCTTGTTTTGGTTCGTTCGCGATACCAGAGAACATTCCTTTTCTCATCTACGTGCTTTTTTCTGTCGCTCCAATGTCTCTGAACTCCTCGTCAACATCATCTTTGCCAATGATGCGGCCGCAGCTTCCCTCAAGGTGATTTGTTGAGATATGCCAGCTAGATTCTTGTCGAAGCTCGTTGGCGGTCCGTCTTCTGAATGAAAAACCGTCCATTAAAGTTCCACCAAAGCCCACTAGTGGCAATTGCGTACAGCAATTCTGAAGGTGATGGCAAAGAGTCAACACATGTAAACTCACAGACAACAGCCAATTGTTCTTTGTACAACTTCATACTCAACGGTTACAATGGAAATGTGAATAAAACACAATCTTCTAGAAAAAAATTAGCATTAACCTATCAGAGTTCAAAGTCGAACGCGATCCTGTTGCTTCGCAGGCAATGCTCCTAATACTAAGCGCAGAACGAAGAAAAATGCGAGTGGACGAGCAAATAGAAAACAATAGGCCAACCCAAGTACTGTAACTAGGAGTGCTAGAAACATACTGTTGCGGTGATGCTACAGTCCTTCAACCTTGGTGGTGGCAATTGCCGCCGCCAGGTTTCAAAGGGTTAATAGATAATAGACTTAAAAATGGGTGCAGACCACTTTTGTCAAAAACTGTACTGCATTACTTTTATATTTATTTAGTGACCGGATAAAGATAAAATCTTATATATAAAGCTGTCTGTTTGTCTGTATGTATGTCTGTCTGTATGTCTGTCTGTACGTATGTTCCGAATAGAAAATCCCATTTCTAAACCGACCCGGACCAAACTTCGCATATATACACTTCGAGGCCGGGCAGGTGTCATAGACTACTTTTCGTCATCGATCCATATCGATTTTATCGATTCTTATCGATTTTTTATAGAGTTCACCTACGGGGCTGGGAGTTGGCACAGGGGGGTAATCGAGATGCTGATTACGAAGACGATATTAGTTTCTAGAATTATCCATTACTTTTATCGATTTTATCGATTTTTTGCAAAGTTTGAGCTACGGGGCTGGGAGTTGGCATAGGGAGGGGGGTAATCGAGCATGCTGATAACTAACACAACGGGAATAGGGAGTTGGAGTTGGTGTGTAGAAGTGGGCACAGGGAAAGTTTGGACAGGAATACGGATGGAACTTTTATTATAGTGTTTTGACAGGGCCGGGCGGAGCCGGCTAGTAATAGATACTAAGCCTACTAAGCCAGCTAGTAATAGATAAATTTAAACGTAATGCAGTACACTTTTTGGCATGAGTGGCCTGCACCCACCAGAATCTATTATCTGTTAAGGTGAGCACTGGCTTAAAGGCAGCGTTCCGGCAAAAGATGGGTGCTAGGTACCAGAGAAGACTCTCTACCTAAGCAATGACTGAAGTTTGGAACGGAAAAGAGGGTCTACCAAGCCTGAAATTTTCTCCGAAAATAGCCCGGATCTTACGGTAGGCTCGGATGAGTACGAGATGCATGCAAGGTAGAGACGCAGAGTCGTTGCAGGACCCTGCGCTCTTGAGTGCGCTATGCGTGCTCTGGCCTTGCAGTTCAAAATCGATTTGTGGGCGGCGTTCGGGCCTACCGTAATAATCAGGCCGGGGGGGGGGGGGGGGGCGATTTGTAGGCTTCGTAAACACCCTTTCGCATTCTTTCAAAACATTGCCTTTAAGACGGAGAAATCGGCATGGTCACTGAAGCCGCGTGCGGACCGCCTACTCCTCTGTTTCGCTAGAGTTGGCTGCTGGGGGGCAGGGCTTCGGTCGATTAGAGAGCAAGTACGCGAGGGACATGCAGAGCCTGTTATCTCACGCTTACGTGCTCTCTAATTGATCCAAGCCCCGCCCCTCAGCAGCCAACTCTAGCGAAACAGAGGGTACCCAGGTGTGCCGCCCGCCTCCTTAAAGGCAGTGTCTCACCAAAGTTGAGGTCGCCCGGATCTTCACATATTCTATTACAGGGACCTCTAAATAGGCCACTGCAACAGTCCCACTCACTTTAACCCCCTCCACGCTGAGAAAAATTCGCTTAAAGTGGTACGCGGAGAGCGATTTGGTACGCGAGGAAGACTCCTTCGGCTTCCCCCCTTACGCATTTGAACATGTCCCTCCACTTGGCATCCACCTCCCCTCTGTTGCTGTCACTGTGGGAAGCTGGAAGGTACAACTCGTCCACGTTGCTTCCGCGGGGCATCCAGAAAACGGGGTTTTTGGGAACTTCGTGCGATTTTAAGCCCATACAGTGCTAGACAGGTCCGACAAGCATGCAAAATGCAAAAATCTCTGCAACTAAATTTTGGTGAGACATTGCCTCCAAAAGGGCTATTAACTGCGGTGTCGAGTGCCACCAACATCTCCACTCCCGAGCGGAACTGCCCATCTTCCACGAACATGCTCTATAATCATTTCTAATCGATTGAGGCTCCGCCTTTCCCAAGCTCGTGGTGGAAAAGTGATCAGAGAGCATGTTCGCGAAAGGGGTGCAGAGTCCAGGCGAAGCGGCCTCGCGGGAGCGGAGCTAGTGCTCCCGACACTGCAGTTGATAAGCCCTGTGAAATCTCTCTACACTTTGACACGTTTTCACATGTCAAAGACAAAATTGCAGATGTTAACATGTCCATGCTTTGTTTCGACAGAACTAGACGGGGCACTTGTCCACGGTCTTGAAAAATAGCATCAAACTGGGTTCTTTTCGACAAGCACTTTTGGAGTTATACTTGAAATCAGTGACCTTGGAACGCCTAGATGAGACAATATAGATGGAAATCGAGAATTCTTCCAAACGCTAGCTTCAGTGTGGAAGAGAAAATGCCAAAATTCTCCGATCTTGTGGTAAAAGTGCTATGTTGTCTGAAGACTCAACGTTGTCAACCTTTTTTTATTCTTTTTAATCTCTTCAAGAAATTATGGAACGAAGAAAAGATTGCTATGTGCCAGATTCTAGTGTAAATGCATGAGGACACTAAAAACTGTTTTTGAAAACGTCCATGTGCCCCTAAAGCCCTATTTATTAGCATTTTTAAGATTTAATCGTGGCTGTCACCTACGACACAACATGCGACGCTAAATGGCAGGCGCATTCTCGATGTTACGTGACACAAATTGATAAACTTTGTGTATTTTTGCTGAACGCATGCATCTGCGTCATTGTTCAGAAGTTCTTCTTAGTCATTTCACTTACGTGCATTGTTTATTGACGTCTCCCAGTTTCTATTACTCATCTCATGTTAGATTTCAGTTCGGTTGACTAGATTATTTCTGGCTGTATTCCGATATCAAACAGTTTGGAAAACATTGTTATCTCTTTTTTGTGGTTCAGTCAATACTTCTTAGGATTTGGTTAATCGATTTGAATGAGCACTGCGGATCCTGCTCTGCGTGAGTTTTTACTCTCCATGCTTTCATTTTACATCTTTTTCATTTTGTTGGGCAGAGATAGTAATTTCAAAAGTTCATTTCTGTTGGTCTTGTTCGTGATTTCATGTCATGATTTTTTCTATCCTAGCTGGAAGTGCTGATTCTTCTCCTGGAGATGTTGCTGAAGACTGGGAAAATGATGAGGCAAGCGAGAGCATGGAAAAGCAGCTTTCTGAGCGCTTCAAACAGGTAAATCACAAATACCATGACAACAAATAAGTTCTTCATAACATAATTACTATTAGAAAGGCTACTAGCATTGTTTGCTGCAGTTGTTTCCTAAGTTGGCGTTTCTGCACTTATCGGTTGGCATACATATCTATTAGAAGAAAAAGTTAATTGGGGTTATTAATGCAATATGCAAACTATTCGACTCATAACAAGCTTTTCATATCTTTTTTATTCCTCATTGTTGTTAGTCATTTTTTGCAAAGGAGGCAGGTTGTCTGCCTGGAGAAGGCAAGTATAGGGCGGAGTAAGAATACCTTTCTAAATGATCCATTTTTGCGTTTGCCAATCAGTTAGATTGCTTGTTATTTTCCTATCCATAGTTCTGATCGATAACATCTGCCACTCAAAATGTCGTATTCGTTTGAAAGCTCATGCGCTGATAATGCTAATAATCAAACGCCTTGCCATTTTCTTTTATGAAATGCAACTAGAGCGTTTATCATTTCGATTGTTCCAGCTCGCATGCACATCTGTCATGCTTCCCATGTGAACGTATTGATTAGATTTTCAATACAATCATAACGCAAATGATGCCATTGCATATCATGCTTTGTTCATAAAAGCAATGTTTGCTTGGCTTGCCATTGAGACATTCGTAGAGTTTTGGCAACAGAAAGTCACTACTCTTGAAGTACTAGTGAAGAATTGTAACGTCATTCACAAATCTTGACCAGACGGCAGTGTGCGTGCCTCTTTTCAGAGATGATTTGAGAGGTTAAACTGAAGCCGTTTTTCTAAGAAGACGGTTTTTCATAACTTTTGCGCGTTAGCTTGCCATCTCATAATCTAAAACTGATTGACATTTGCTTTTTGACAGCTTTAAATTCGCTTTTTGCTTGTTTTTGATTTATTTGATGGGGGAACTCAGCTGACATCAAACTTCAGAATTAATATCACGATTAGCACATAATTTTTTTCTCAGAGGATTATAATCTGAAAATTTTGTTTGGGAATGAATCCCGGCATAAAGTATCCGTGAGAATTACTTTTTCGTTATCTTTCTCATTAAAAGAATTCACGCGAGAAGTGTACAGAAAGTTGATGCATCACTTATTCTGTAATTTTGCTAATGTTATATTGTCAAGATGGTGTTCAGGTCCGGATTCTGCAGAGAGCACAGGCTGATAAAGAAGCGCGTAAAGAAAAGGCAGCCAAAACTCAAGAAGAGGCTCGGTTGAAGTTCGTTTTTTTCCTTTTTTTTCTTTAGTGGTTTAAACAACGTGCTTTCAGTCCATCTTTGATACCGACTCCATCAGTGGTGGCTGCAGGTCCTGGAGGCGTACCGCCCGCTCCCGTACGGATATTGAGACGTCCCGAGAGTAGCGAGAAAATAAGGGAAGAAAAATATCAAGCCCAACGAGCTAAGGCGGAAGAAGCAGCAAGAAATCAGCTTACACCCGAGGTCGAGTCTCCTCCTCACTCCCCATCTCTGCGTCATAGTTTGCGTTCAATCTTGATTGATTTCAGCAGAAAGAAGCTCTTTATGTGAAAGCTAGGGATCGCATCTTAGGTCCAGAGTACAAGCCGGATAACTCGCAATGTGCGCAGAACGTTGCTGTCGTGAACAGGTAAGCTTAGATAAACACTGCTGTCAAAGGTCCTTTTGTAGTCGTCGTGCTTCTTTCATTAGTTTCTAGAATTGATAAGCAAGTAGTCTGTGTGTACATTCCTCCTCATTTCATGTAAGTGGTGTATCCCCTGTTATGTTGTATCCCCTGTAATGTTGTTTTTGAGAAGAACTGGGAGCCAAATCCAGTATATGCAGTGTGCAGGCATATTAGGTTCAGGTTAGTAGAGCTGACGGTGAATATAGTGCTTTGGCGCGGAGACTGTACGACAAAATTCGGTGCTAGAATTTTGTTCAGCGAAAATTTTGTTACCCCTCTTGGCATCGCAAGAACCCTAAGGGACCCGTCATACTTCGCCGAAAAAAGCCCAAAAGCGCCCAAAAAGCCCGAAAAAAAACCCCAAAAAGCCGAAAAAAAGCCCGAAAAAGCCCAAAAGCGCCAGAAAGAGCCGGAACGTCCCCTTCCGCTTTGACGCTAAAGCATGGTTTTGATTTTGCAACCGAGTTTTTTCGCTTCATTTTCTGTCGTTTGTACATCAAAAAAAGGTTAGAATTCTACAATAATTTCGTTTCTGCGTTCCGGCTTCTCGGACTTTTTTGGGCTTTATTGGGCTTTTTTGAGCGTTTTTGGGCTTTTTTCGGCGAAGTATGACGGGTCCCTAAATCTAGCGTCAGATCTACTAGTCCATACCCGATTTTTTTGGGTAGACAACGATCGGAAATGTTCAGTGTGTTCCAAGCGGCGGCTCATATGACTCGATAGTAATTGAGAGTTCTGGCTTTGGGCTTTCCTCTTTACCCACCTGGGGATGCTGATGAGTGCTCTTGGGAGTACGGGGCAAGGGTTTAGAGTTGGATCACGTGTCATACGAATTGCCGCTTGGGGAACTTAGGACTCCTAAACAGTTCCCAAGAAGAAGTCTATGTATGATTTGCCTTTGCGCCCTTGAATGCATTAGACAAATATGGAGATTTGATGGAAGGGGCCTAACTAGGCACTGATCGAACGACAGCCGTCATTATCTACAATCTTTCGAAATTATCTCAACAATAGGCACACCCATCTCGGAGAGCACTTTACTGAGCACTATCTTTAATGCATCTCCGTGCGGTATTTTTGCCAAAATCTAAGCCATTTCAACGTAACATTCATCAGCGTTTTGGATCTAGAGAATTCAATGAAAGTAATAAACAACGATCAACGTTTAGCTATCCAGGAAACATTGACAAAAATGGGAAAATTCCGACCCGAGGAATAAGAATATATACTCTATGCAATTTAGAAGCAGATCGCCCGAGCAGATCCGTGTACCGCGTTTTTCCGACTTGCCTCTAGCAGCATCACCGCTCGATCCTTCATTGGGTGGTCCAATCATGATTACTTCTATACCTCCGTCCACCATGGCTCCACCTATACAGACGAAGCAGTCACAACAAAAACCTGTGTCACTGCTGGCAATGTCTAGCCCTCCAGTAGGGCTACCCATGCAACAACCGAGTGCCATTGGTCAAGACGTAATTGGGCAACAGCAACCGTGTATGGTAACTTCACCTCCTCCATCGCAGCAAGCAATGAACGCTTATCCACAATACGTCATCGCTCAATCTCAACAACATATACCTTATGCCATGACACTGGGAGGGAAACAGGTTAGTTGAGTTTCTCCTGGGCTGGTATGCTCGTACATCTCTGCAGTGGAGTAGGTGGTCAAGACGAACCACAAGGATTGAAATACGTTGCCTTTTCTGCAATAGAACTCAATTTTTTGAGCGTGAGATGTACCTGCAAACGAGCAGCAGATCTTTGTCTATCAGTATTATTGGATATTTTTCCTATTGTAGTCTCTCTTCAGACGATGGTGCCACCATATATTGACACAACCCGCCCTCCTCCAGGAATGTCGTTGCCTTCCATGGCCGTGAACCCTCAAATAGCAATGTCAGGGGCGGGAATGTCAGTAGCTCCCCCTCCTGGGATGCGACAAGGCTACTATAATCCTCAGAACGTAGTGCCTAATCCTCAGTATCAATTACGTCACTGCTTATCTCAACAGCAACAGCAGTCTGGTCTAACATACGGGTGCGTTTTGCTTTTAATATTGAGTCGGTCTGAATATTCTGTCGTCTCGTTTTCAAATAATCGTAGCTTCTCGCTATCTGAAAGGATTTGCTTTGCTGTAATTTTATTAGAAAGAATAAGCCTTCTACTTTATTGCTGTCTTAGCGACATTCTCCCGAGCACTGGCTGCAGTAGACTTGGATGAAGAAGATCATTCAAGCTTTGATGATTTCAAATTAAGCTGCCAGAATCTTGAAACGTCGCACAAAGATTCGCAATCGTTAGTGCTAAGTTTTACGACCTGCTACTATTTTCAGCTGTGGAAGTTTTTGCTGATCGGGCGTCTGGACGAAAATTTATGGTTTTTGAGAATTAAAAAATCAACTTTGTCATTTTTGATTAAAGAAATCATGGCTTCTCATAGAGATGTCCGATCAGCACAGGCTCTTCACCGTTGAAAAGAGTAGGTCATAGAGGCTATGTGCTGACGATCACGGGTTTTTCTGCAACGTTTCAGATTTTCGGTCATCTGACTTGAAATGACCGGAAATTGAGTGATCTTTTTCATTCAGTCTTATCTTTGCAACCAGTAATTGCGAGGAAGTCGTTAAGACATTACTACAAAGTAGAAGGCTTCTTCCTAATAAAATTGCAGCAAATCAAATCGACCCAAATAGCGGGAAATTACGATTTTTTGAAAATATAACGACAGAACTTTCGGACCTCTATAATTTTTTACTTTTTTTTTGAGATGATTTGTACCATCATATTCAACTTAGGCCTAATGTCATGTCAATATATCCTCCCGGAACTCTGACAGCGGCTATGCGAGGTACAGCAGAATCAGGTTGTAGTGCATCTATAGCGACTAGCAATGCTCCACACCCTCGAAAAGGGAAAAGAAACCGAAATAAGCGAGAAAATCAATGAGTCATTTTGGATGTCAGTTCTACAAGGTGATCACTCCAGAATCTCTACGCTTTTTGCTTAGATGTGTTAGTTTTATCTACATAGTATCTTGATAAGTCAAGTAGAATTTCTCGAAGTTCATTCTTTTCTTTCTTTTATTCGGTGTATGTATCCTCTGGCAACCAAATACGATGCGGGTGTGACCATCTTTCATTGATGTCATAAAAGTTTATTTATATGTAGTGTGTTGAGGTTGATAGCAGCTCAGAATGTGGAAGAAGTTGATGGCTCAACACCCTGATTTCTTCTTCCTTTTCCACAGCAGCTGTCATCATCTAACACTTATAAATCGTGCCGTTTTCTCCGCGAGAAGCACTTGTTTTAATTATTCTGTGAGCGTTTGATCAGTCAACTTGTTCCGTTCATTTCTTTTATATTTCGACACTCCGGTTCTGGAAGCTGTGATATGCGATCAAACGTCGAAGTATTCCTCTTCTTCCTCCTCCTATTTGCCTTTTACAGATGGAATATATTATTTCCTTCGACAAGTTTACCTCCTGATTACTGTCTGTGTTGTGCAAATATCTACAGTCGCATTGTTTGCATACAAGATGCTTGCTAGTGTAAATCCACAGATTTAATTGATACATACGACGTTAATTAAATGATTTTGTCATTGCAATCGATAAAGAATTAACAACATTTTATTACATCGTAATGGAATCTTTGAGTCTCTCTTGGGTTTTCTTTCTCAGAGGTTGCGAGACTCTGTGGCATAGATGGATATGCCGCGCATTCCGAGCAAATGCAAAAATTCTTGCTTTATAAGAGGCCTGATCGCTTGTATGGGTGTGCCCAAGCCATTTGTATTGGTGCTAGACCAAGTACAGTCTTATTGCTCTAGACCAGGTACAGTCGTGTCAGTACGTATTTTTCCTACCGTATGCATTCCAGTTTTAACATGACATGGTTTGGTGAGGCGCCGCATCGCTTCGGTCTTGCGCCACGTTGCTTTTCTCGCCACACCACGCCAAACGATGGGTACGTAAAATGGCGCAGACCCGAAGCGATGCGGCGCGGTGTATGTCAAGAGGCGCGATTTTTATTGCCGGATGGACACCAAATAGCACATAATAAGTGTTTTATAACATTCTAAAATATCTAAATTTTTGAAGAAGGTATATTAGATAGCTCCATGGGTTCCTCACTCTTGCTAACTTTGGAATCAACTCAAAAAAAGCAATTTTGAAGGTCAAAAACCCATGAAAATGCAGTTAAAAACAAGTTTGAATATTTCGATCCGTTTACCAGCAAAAGCCACCAAACTCAGCAGTTGTTATCTTAGACAGATAGTAACACCATGCACTTCATGTGGTACTTTTTGAAGACTCGCTATCACTAAACTGGAGTTTTGAGTTGCTGACAGCCAAAGAAATCGCGCCTCTTGACCGTCTCCCCAGATGCGGCGCCTCACCAATCCACGTCATGTTGAGGCTGGAGTCATGCGGTACAAAACAACCAATACACGTTAACAACGACTGTACGCAGTTTCCGTTCGGCCCCGGGCATATCTCGAGCGATTTCAGGCCGCGCGGTCTGGCAATTTGCCAGATTCTTGCGTACATCTAGAAATCCCTTAGGCACGCGCCACACTTGATCCACTTAATCCGCTTGATCCGCTTCTTCACTGGTCAATTTGAACTGATCAGTAGTGAAGTGGATCAAGCGGACAACCGCCTCTGTTGCTCGAGCAACAGAGGCGGTAGGGCGCGTGCCTGATGAGTTATGAAAGATTGGAGTTGCTAAATCTCGTCGCGACTGAAAGCGCATAAGGTATGCCCAGAGCCTTCCACCGCTGGAGGCGCTTGTCGCAATGTTGTAACCATAACATGAGGTTTCCGCAAAGGCTTTGCTTTTCTTATCTTGGAGAATTGTTCCACTCGTCCAAATCGAAAAGCGGCTTTATTCGTTTTCACCAATTTTGTCTCTGAGGTGGATTTTGGAATCAGACAGGGGCGGTCAGCATTTCCGTCCGCGGGGGGAGGGGGCAAAAATTTTTTTCAGATGAAGGTGCGTGGCTCAGCCACGCACTCTAGAAAATGTTAAGGTGCTTCTCAAGATTTTTGCGGGTCCCCAACCCCTAAATCTGGAAAAAGGGGGCGTGGCGTCAGCTAGTCAATTAGCCTTATAAAGAAGGGGGCGTCAGCCATGCCCCCTTTTTCATAAGGCTAATTTGAATTTTTAAAAAGTTCCAAAAATTATTGTGATTGTTTACAAGAATAAACAAGTCACTTGCACTTTTTATTACCCACTCATTTGATTTCAAAAATTTCGCGACATTCTCGGTAACGGGGATCGTCTCCTCCTTAGGGGAGACGGCCCTTCTGAACCGCTAGCATTAGCAGCCTAATTACTGCGCGCCTCTGATTGGTCGGCGCTGCCGCGGCACTTGGGTAGTCGAGAGCTATGTTGTAAAGACGTCCAAATTGGACTGCAAAGGCATTCTCATGATAAAAAAAATAAGATTTCGAGTTTGCCATGAAAGTCGAAGTTTTTATACGTGAGCGGCTTAGGTGAATTATTCAGCTTATACGTGCAGACTTCATGATGTCTGAAAAGCGGGAAGGGCGAAGAAATCACGAAAGGCCAGTAAAAATAACACGCAACTTTTCCAACTTTTTGTCTTCATAACTCAAACGTCGCCACTATCATTACTTGTGTGCTTCGCGTGCTTTGAAATGCCCAGAAATATTTGAAAACTTTGGTAGATTATAAGAAAGGCGGAGTATATAGCGCCGCCCGGGCAGAGTAATTAGCGCTAGGACGAAGCGGTTCAGAAGGGCATACACCCCCCCCCCCCCCTTAGTTCGCCACTGGAATCAGAGTGGATAATTTTAATGAAGCATTGCATTTTATGGTCGAAAATTTGCCGAGTCACTGTGCTCGGTCACATTCGCGCTCATATGCACTCTGAGGGTTGAGCCAGACTGCGTGGCGTTCCATATCTTTGTGCACGTGTGCGTAAGCTACTTAGGCTGCGCAATAGGGCTTAACTCTGATGACCAAGTGATCTACGCTACGGTACCTGTATTCAATTTGGGCATCGAGCACATCCACATCCGCGCACAACTTCAGCTTCTTTAGTTACAGACATCTGTTAGTCGACGCCATAGTTTTTCAATCGGTTGTATCTGTTAGTGTCTATTTGTTGCTTATGTCCTTACACTCTTTATCAGCATACGGTTTGTTCGATCAACTAATATTATTGCTCAAACCATAATGAACCTCAACATTTGGTCATTTGCACTCGAAGTTGTTCATCAGTTGTTTCCACGTTTGTTTTGTTGACTTCTTGTCTCAATGAAAGGTTCAATTCAACCCAAGCTTGAGGAGTTGGTGTGTTCGCCATTTCCATCGTGCATATCTTCCATGTTTCCCGCGTCTACCATTCTGAGCAATTTTGGACGTTGCATTGAAGTGATTCTTGTAATATCCGTTCCTACTTGTATTTGTACTGCATGGTGCTCCTGACACCTGTGAATAGTATAGATTCATCAGTTGCTGGTTACGAGTAAGGAACTGAAAAGGTTAAGAGAATCCCATCATCAACCTGCATTCACTGTAAACGAAGCAATCATCGATCATGATAGTGCAAAACGCTCGGAGGTGACAGTGTTCTTGGCGAGGAATTAGCTGTGCATAGACTGTGGAAAACCAAATCACTTAGCACAGGATGTTGTAGTGGAGGATGCTTCAAATGTGGGCTCGTGCACTGCTCATCTACATTTAGAAACTTACTAACGCCGCCGAAAAACGAGTAATCTGTAGAGAGACAACGAATACCAGCAAAGCAACAAGCCAGCTCGAAAAGCTCTCGTATAGAAAGTTGGAGTGGAAAGTGGAAATTGAGTAAGAGGTGTGTGGAGGCAAGGTGGTAAGTGCTAAACCGGTAGCTTTCAGGCTCTGACCGTAGAGCGAAACGCGTTCGGCGCATGATGCAGGAAGGGGTGTGGCGTTAGGTACTAGCCGAGATGCGAAGACTCTGCATCTGCCGTTGTAGTATACGCCAAGCCACGGCTCTTACTTACTTTAGCAGGGTACTTAACGATACACTTAAGAAGGGTACCTAACGATACAGTTACCCTTAGCTGCTAAAGCAGCTCACTCTCGCTTGTTCAAGCGCTGATACATGGCCCTACAAATTTTGAAGTGAGCAGAACACAAGAAAAAATAGCGAGAACCTTGGGTACTCCAGATTTTTAAAAAGTTAGCCGTTGTCCGTGCGCTAGCAACTATCAGCTAGACACCAATTCAATGTTTTATTTATGCCGATCCGATCCAGTTTCCATTCTAATTTTCCGCAGTATTATCTTGATGACCAATTCTTTATTCCTTGTGTTGGGAAATATATATATTTTTGAAGAGCTTCATTCATTCAAGCTCTATCTGGTCTCTCGGCTCTTTTCCGCTTCTCTTCAACGGGAATAGTCGTTCGAGGAATTCGAGGTCAAATGAACCTTTGGCCTTAGGGTCCTCGGCTATTTCCCCTCCTCTCAGCGGAAATAGTCGTTTGAGGAATTCGAAGTCTGGTGAACCTTTGGTCATAGGGTCCTCCTGGCTCGTTCGCCCAGGGTCCTTGACGGATCGTCCGCTTCGGATTAAGTTGATTATTCAAGCCCTGGCATGCTATTATTTCTTAGGTGTCCGGGCTGAGATCGTGATTTCGGTCAAGGATTTCACCTCCAAACTAAACGACCTGGCCACCCAGAGGAGGGACTTTAATTACCTAATGAGCAGTTATGCCTATATCAAGTTTTATATCTGTTTTGCTTTTGTACTACCTCTTCTTTCTTGTGTTTGGATTTGTTTTTGTTTTTTGATGAAATAAATAAAGAAAAGAAGGGAGTTTCACCTTTATATCTATTCTGTGATGTTCGAGAGCATGAGCAAAAAAAAACAAGTGCGAAGTAGGGAGGGGGTTCGAAAAAGGTCAAAGTGGCTTCGTGAAAATTTTTTCAATTAAAGGGGCTTCGTTCTAAAAGCTCTCTGTTTCCAGCTGGTGCCGAGCCCTGGGACTCGTGGAGTTGTACAAGCTCACATCTTTTTAATGTATAACACTTTATTGTTGGAATCAAGTCATCACAGAATATTTTTATATCAAACTATATTTCATATTTATTACATTTTGCATTTTTCAAAAGACTAACTGAACAAGTAAAAATCTATGACAATGTTTGCACATATTTAGGAAATGAGTCAAACTGGAGCATTTTGTGAGACAAAGATATACATTTGGCACATTCTAAGAGTAATTGTGAACTACACGCAGAAAGACATTTACCGTAAGTGAGGTAGATTGGTGGGCATTTTCTTTTCAAATCACAGATTCCGGCCTAAATTTGCTACTGGGTCGAATTGTTTGACCAGAAATAAGAACGGATATGTAGGACGTAATAAGGTCATCCATTTTGTAACCCTGCAATAATGTGGATTAGAACATTTATTGAAGAAAGTTGTTTGAAACTTGTAAAAAATTACCATAGTAGTGTCAAGAAGCAGCTTCTTTCCCTCACTGCCTCTCAATCCACTTCCAACTGTCATATTGAAGTAGGTATTTCCACTTGTCCAATTGCAAATGACGTTGAATGGATACTGTAATATTTAACACACCCAATCGGACCATCTGTAGAAAATAGGGCACTCTTCCAAAATTTTTGCAAACCTGAGTGATCAACTTCTTTGTCTCGACATCGTAAAGATTGATTCCTTTTTGATTGATAGCGATCAATAATTTATCAGGCAAGCTCAGATCAGAGTACTGTGAGACCTGAAAATCGTCGATAATGTGGTATAAAACGTCTGCTTTTCAAATGCTGTTTAGCCACCGATGATAATAGGACAGTCTGTAAATAAAGAAGAAAAAAATCAATACCAAATTTCATTTTTTTAAACAGCCCCTACAACTCGAGGACAGTTTGATCCCGTACTTATGGCGTCAAGTAGCAGTGCGAATGAATGAAGCAATAAATCACGGAAGCACATTTATTACGGTAGTGATACGGTATGTTCGGCAAGGACCTGCCACTGCCGATAGACTGGTTGGTTGTTTCGGAAAAAGACTAACCGGGAAGAAGGCAGAACCGAATGTCTCTTTTTTAGCTATGACGTTGAGGAACTCGAGCTTAGCTTGATCCGAAGTAAGATGCTCCACTTTCACATATGCTGAGGTGATTGCCTGCAATTATATAATTATAGCATAGTTCCACAATGCTACCTGGATGTAAGCTTTGAACATCCCACTGTCCAAGCGGCAGCTGATATTGTATATTCTTGTTTGAAAAATTCAGCTCTAAGCTCTCGCCCGACCGTATCTCGAGTACGGTAGATACGGTATGGGCGAGAGTTTGGAGTTGAACTTTTCACCCATGAATAGATCGTGTGAGCTGCTGCTTGGACAATGGCTTAGTCAAGACCTTCCAATCTCAGTATATGCAGTAAATAACCAGCCTTCTTCCATTCAGTCGATGACATTGACTTCATTATATCCTTTGGCACCAATTCGCTCAAAAGCTGAGGTATCTGTGCTAGTGGAGCATTCTGGAAAAATCACTTCACTCTTTCATACTTATTCCAGGAATAAGACACCAACCTTTACATCCTTCGTTATTGCTCTCAAAATGACGGCAGCAATGTCGATTGCTTCTTGCTTTCCAACTTTATGGTAGCCCAACAGATATTTGGGACACTCCTTAACCCACTCATCCTTTGATTGAAACCCATCGCATAAAAAATCAACGAACTTGATGATAATGGAATATCAAATCGGCATTTTTATCAGCACCCGGTCTCACATTCATCCACAACTTTCTCATAAAGAATACTTGGTAGTTTATCGGGAGAATGGGGTTCTCCTAAAACGGCAAAATCTAGAGGCTCCTTTGGAGGGGGCTGGCATACCTTCAAAGCATGGTTATTCTGCACCCAATCAGACAGCTGACGTACAAAGTCGAAGAAGAACTCGTTTTCTGGTACCGCCAGAACTGAAATATCAGAAAATTATGAGTGGATCCCCAGATTTAGAATTCTGTTTCTGATGTGCTATTGAGCAAGAAAAAGTTGATATTCGTTGAAGAAGCAATGCCCAATAGCTGGATATATTTTTATAATGTTGAAATGAGTAATCTAGAGCGTTTCGCTTTTCAAAAAAGCTATTATTGTCCAATGAACAGAATATTTATAACAGAAAAGATCCATCAAGCAGCTAGCACTATCTTGTCGCTAGAGGTGGAAGATGGATTTTGAGAGATTAGCGAAATTTTCAAGACATATTGGGTCAAAGGGCAAAAAGTTCCAATTTTCACAAGTCTAACAATCGAGGAAATTCGTTTGAAGCATGTTAAAGTTTCCGAAACATCCATATAGTAAAAGAAATCATATAGATTCTCTCAAATGTCAAAAAAGAACTTCGATTTATCACTTTTCTAAATTTATCCATATTGAGATGCACTGTGCGAGCTTTTATGTATTAGTATTATAGAATTTGTACTTTATAAGTTCAGCTTGCAAGGCTGACAACTGGCTGGCTAATTTCCGCAGTATATTCAAAGAGCTTGAAATGCTTGCGTCTCCCCGTTTTTAGAGGGATTTGCCCTCCGCACGACAGGAGGAGCATTGAATTGATAATTTTTCTATGTTTTCCGTTTCCAAAGCCTAGCACTTTCACTGTCGTGAAGGAGACAGTGGGAACAATAAAACAAAACGAAAGAACAAATTTTGAGAATGAATACAGAAAGTTTGGGATGTCCTAGTTCCAGAACGCTTTTGTTGAAGCCCGTGAAGGCTCGCAAATTTTATACGAGAAGAGGGTACAAAAATGTCTTCCAATTTGGAGACAGTGGGGGGGGGAGGCGTGGACCAGATCTACCGAAATTTTTTTGGCATGCATTCAAAATTTTTTGCCTTTATCCTGAAATCCCGGATCCTCCGAACCGTGCATCTTCAGATTTTTCTGATGAACTCGGAGGAAACTCGAAGTCGAAACAATTTTGTGGGTAAAAGTGGAATTCACAAGTGTGTCATCTTGTTCCAAAATAACAATGAAGTGCGTCAACGGCACTCCTCCTATTTTCACACTCTTCCAGTTTCTGCACCAAATTTCAACTCCGAACCAGAACAACTTACAATAAGCCATTCTTTACCAACGCTTACCTTTTTCCTTGATTTTTACGAAAAGCGAAAAACCATCAAGCTTCTTCAACGCTAATCTGTGTGCTATACGATGACAGAAGTCTCGAGCTCTTGTCGATGATTCTACTTCTACGGCTGCATCCGATTGATCCGGGAAGAAGACCTAAACGTAGAATTTGAGATATGAGAAAAAAAGGAAGAAAAGCCTAGAAAATAGTGTATGTGACCTATAGTTAGGCCCACCTTGTGATATATCTGCGTTGTTTTTTGCTGAATCGCTTCAACTTCAACCAGATGTGGTGGATATTTTCGCGATAGTCCCCTACAAAAATTTTTATAGTTAAATTTTCCGTGGTGGTATTTATCAAGCTTACTTATTCATCTTCATAATTCGATTCAAGCAATCGTGTGCCACAGGGTGCGGTCGCGATTTGAAGAACTGGATCACCTAGAAGAAAATGGGAAATACTGGATAAACTCTCTGGAACTTGTAAAAATAACTTCAGATTTTTACCTCCTTCATTAGGCTGGTACTCGGCGTAAATAGACCTGTGGCCAACCAAATCAATTCCCAACCACGCTCCTCTGACAGCATTGATGGATTGAGAGTGACTTGCCGCAAAAGTTGACAATATAGTTCGTCCCGTAGAATTTCCTAGAGAAGTAAGCGTTCAAATCTGCTAATGAAACCGAAATCTTAGCACGCGTCATTTTTGCATTAGACAGTATGAAATGAGGGTATACAGCGGCTACCGTATACCTTTCGCCTCGGGAACACTGCAAAGAAGACGTACAAGTTATCCGTTGTTTTGAACGTTACAAAATTATCTCCTCTTCCCTCCCCTTCTCCTGCGTGCTAGAGATATTCTTTAAAAAGGCACCTTCGAAGCAATGTTATATATTTCTGCATTCATCTCAAATAATCAGCACTCTGCCAGAGGTAAACAGTTTGCTAAAAAAAAGCTCGCTACGTTCAAGTAACAGGTTGAGTGATATTGCACTGCGAAAGAACTGAGGGCTTCTACCACAAATTGCAAATTGAAGCGCAGTATGTGTATCAGATGTCCGTGGTGGATCTATTAGGGTTGTATCAATCTCTGCTAAACCCTCCATGCTGCAGATCTGAGAGCATGCCGCACAAACTTACATGAGCAATAGCTGGCTTGAATATATTATCCGTCAAATCAGTCCCTAGCCGACTCCTCCTCGACGGTTGATCACCCATATATTTCATTACAAAGACAAACATAGACATAGCTTCTCGCCACTGCTCATCGCTGAAAAACGCCTATTTCTATGAGGGGGTCACAATACAGCCAAATGAGCAACGCTTACCGTCCTTCTAGCTTTTTCAACAATGGGACATCCGTTGGTTCACGGCTAAACCTCCAGCGTGGCATGGGACCAACGTCACGACGTCGAAGTGTCAATATCGACCGTTGCGTCATTGTTGGCTTTTGGGCCGGTCTAAATATAAGATTTTAGATAATTTTGAATCTATTTACCTAGATCATATGAGTAGAGAGACTCTGACTATATTACAATCAAAGTGGCAGCTCATATGCTTTATTCGTAGCTAAGCAGCTTAACTTCAAACTCTCACCCAATACCGTACTTTCTGTAACCGCATGCCTTCTCAAGTGCGGTAGTGGGTGGAAGTTTAAAGTTGATTTCTACATAAACGAATGCTTTATATGAGCTGCAGCTTGATGGTTTTCGTTAGGGGCCGCATCAGCACCCATGTAAGATGTCCAGGCATCCAATCCCCAGATATTCCGGCTTGAAGTATTACCTGAAGTTCGCTATTGCAAACTGTTCCAGAGTGTGTGGTTTGCCGTTAGCTTGGAAAACGACTACTTGATTATTGTTTAGGATATCCAAGGCCATCTGCTCTCCTTTGGCGAAGAGTTTCTGAAATATTTGGGAGATAAAAGAAATGCTATAGAGACCCACGGTGACCTAAAGACGTCTAAAAATTCTCTTTTGAGGCATGGTTTCCAAATTTCCAAATTTGCCTATTGCTCCGGGTTTCTAAAAAAAAGGGCGTGGCTCTAGCTGGTCTCCAGTATTATTGTGCGAAACTAATTTGTATTTTGACGAAATTTATAGGATTATTCTGATTATTTACTTAGGAAGTGAATCATTTGCACAACTTTATGACTCATGTAGCCTTTTTTGAAAATTTCGCGACTCATTCTGAAATCTCCCTCCCCTTTTGTTCACCAGCCTCCCCCCCCCCCCTCAACCCCCACCCCATTCGTTGCGGATACTGATTGGAATGCGTAACTGAGCTATAGCTTAAACGGCAGCTCATGAACTCTACTCGTAACCAAAAAGTCCAACTAAGTTTTCTTGCCTAGACAGTATTCACCAAGCAACCAATCAGAGTTCTCGATTACTGTAATGGTCAAGAACTGTGAAAATTTTCTCGCCCATAGATTCGTATGAGCTGACTTGTGCAACGTCTTAATGAGTACCTTCGAATCAGTTTCCGTATAAGGAAGTCAGGTATTCAAATTTGATGCTAGTGAGAAGTATGCTTACCAAAGTGTTAATATTAGGTTTGACCAACGTTGGTAAAACGTAAACGTTTTCCGTCTGGATCAAACCTTGCAAGCATGTTCTGGCACATTCTCCCTGAAAAAATGACATCTTGCAGAAATCTTAAGCTTTGAAGAAAAAAAGCTTATACACCAACCTTGACATGTTTTTCCTTCAGAAGATCTTTACCAGTCGTCTTATCCAACAACATCAGAAGATCACCACATTCGAATTCCAGAAGATTTGATTGGTCTAAAAAATGACTAGTTTGCAATCAAAATTTCTCAAAACTTAAATTTTTACCATCTCCTTTTTGCGCTTTCGTAGCAACCACATATTTACTTCGCTCCTTCAATCCACCAATAAAAGAAGACACCAGATCTTTGACATCTTCAGCATTTGGAGATTGGAACGAGTACTCATCACCAGTCACTGTTCTTATCGTGCAGATGTCAGAACCTGGTTTCGGGCCCCTAAATTTTGCCATTTTTTGTGATCAAAGCTGATTGCGATTCATCATCGATTAGGAGTAATATTTTTTTGTCGCTTACTTCACGCTCTATTCTCATTGTAATTATGTGCCATGGCAGTCCGAGTTTTTTAAGGAAAGGAGGGGGGGGGGGAGGGGGAAGACGACGGAAGTTAAAAAAATCGTTCTCCCAAAAAATGCCGCCCTCCGCATTCTTTGGGACACCATATTTTCAAAAATCTACAATCATCAATTTTTTTACAGAAATAATTTCAACTTTTTCACATTCGAAAAATATTTTGGTCACTCTTGAATGAAAAAAGTCATTCGCAGAATTTCATAAGCCTTGCAAGCTTCTCAAGGATTCTAATCCTATCCCCCCCCCCTCCTCTCTCCGCCCTCTTATGTCAGTCGCACACCTACAGTATCTTGGTTAACACCTACAGTATCTTGGTTTTTTTGAGTATCAAAATGTGATCACAGATCTTGTGCAACGACAAAAAATTTTCTTACAGAAAAAACAGGTCTAAGAGTTTTGATTCCCTGTTCAAAAATTTAAATTACCCTACAACACTACGGTAAGCCGTCATGTGGAAAGCCGTACCTCAGTAACAAAAATGGAAGAAAGCTCTCCCAGATTCCGAAAATGATGCTACAAAATGCGAAACTCACTTAGTATGAGATACTCGCGTTATCTCGGGGAAGCTGAACTCAAGCAGTACGTGCTCTTGATCGTCCACTATGTAAACACCTGTCCAGTTCACAGCAACTATAACTTCCTTGCGCGGAAGTGATGTTCCAGAGAATTTCGTGGCTTCGTAGAATCTGTAAATATAGGCTAGCGAATCGGAGAAAAAACTCAGAAACAGTAGTAGCTGATGATTTTTGGTGGATTTAGATGACCAAAAAATACATGATGGTCTTTTCGCACCACTACCTACCGTAGTTTGGCCACTGAAGCGACGACTGCCTTCTCGAGTATAGTGGTGGCAAGAACTACTCGCAAGGAAACAAAATCGGAATTTTTCGAGGGTATGATGATAACAGAAGAGGAAAGGCCTTTATGCACCACTACCGTATGCTACCGTAATTTGAACGAATGTGATGTGAAATCCAGCTCTACTTTTATAGAGTGACCTCTGCTTTTAATAAAATGATAGCCAATGATGTGTCGACTAACGCACTGCGCCGTCATATCTTTTACTAATTTTCGTGCAAAATTACGGTAGCATACGGTATACGAGTGTAAAAAGGTCCACGCTCAACCACTTACAACACTTCTTATTCTGTTCATGAAGACGACGACAAATGTTGCCCCACAACGCTGCTGATGTTTATTAGAGAAAAAGTGCCCGGGATGACAGTAGCATACAGGTCAATGGTGCAAAAAGGTGCACATGGGCAAATTATGATTTTTTTCAATAATAGCAGCATAAAAATCAGTATTTTGAGAGTATTTTGCCAAAATTATATACCTGGAGAACAACAAAGGCCACTTGAGCATGGAAAACGAAACCACATCTTCCTTGACATGATGAGGTGATGGAGGATTGACACCGAATCTCTGAAATTATTTAATTACACTATCCAGTCAATTCTTGTCACTACCGTACCTTTCGGTAATGATACATAATCGACTGGATCCACTTCTCTCGAGCCATTTCTTTTCCATTCAGCTCGGCATCCGGCAAGTAGTTGTGAAGCTGACTTTCGAGACGATTTACGTCTAGTGGGCCCTCTTCGATGAAGTACTGCTGGGCAGCCAAGACAGCCAGATCGTCCTCCTAAGCTAATTGCTTGAAGGGAATTCGAAAATTTAAGAAAACTATGTGGTTTACCTTATCGCAGCGATACTCGCCATACTTGATGCCTCTGACAATTTGCTGGTAGATCAGGTTTGTGCTTACTGCGTCTTGCCTATAATATGTTGATCAAGTCTATAGGTACCGGGGTCTAGATCTGGGTAACGAGGTATCCCATGTGGAAACTGTTTGGAAGGCTTAACTTAGCCATGCACTTCATATGCCTCATTCATGGCCTAGAAATTCATTTTTGAAGTCTTGCCCAATAGCATACCCTGGGTGGTAATTTAGAAAGGATACGGTACTGGGCGAAAGTTTAGAGTTGGTCTTCAGCGCATATTAGCTGAGTAGCAGATAAATCATCTGATCTCTCGCCCAACACCATACTTTTGAGCGGATCAGTGCTTTGTCAAATACGGTAGCGGGCGAGAGTTTTGTGTCAAATTTTCCGTTGCATACATTCTATGGGCTGAAGCCTGAGACATGACTTATTGGTAGCCTTCCATGTATCTACATTTTCCTTGGTACTGCCTTCAAAAAAAAATACCTGGCATCATGCCAAGGAGTGAAAATCTCCTTTCGGAAGAACAATCTCCAAGGAGCATTGCGCTCCGGCCGACCCTGTTCCTTTGCATATTGCTCACACTGAGAAATCGCGTCCATCACATGATCACCGCCAGAACCAAGTGAAGAGACCTGTGAAAGTTACGGTAGTTCCATTTCTACCGTATGAGGAAGATTGCTACCTTGTCAAATAGCGCTATATACAGGCTGAAGCCGAATTTCTCTTTGAGACCGACTTTTTCCGCCAATTGTACGCAAAGTTCCCCTGCAGTTGTAGCACTATCGGCTGCTAGCGTTTTAACGGAGCCATCCATGAATGTCACAGCCAGAATTATGGGCTTCTTGGACTTGTTGGCCTAAAAAATTGATCCAAGAATTTTTACAAAAAGCAATTTCTTTCTTTGTTGAGAACACAAATTTGCTTTGAAACAATGGCTGTTTCGAAAAAAAAGAAAGTGAATAAAATGAAGCTAGATGGTAAATTGAGGCATTCAAAGCCGTCTCAAAAAATAGCAATCTTCTTCCCCCCCCCCCCCTCCCCCCCTATCGGGGCCAGCTGTGATAAAGTGGGCCATGCTGATTTTTTACAGTCGTACACGCAATTAAGTAGGAGGGCGTTATGCCCTAAACAAGCCACCCCGCAGACATTTACCACAAACTGTGCATGTCTGTACTAGGTTTTGTACCAGTTGTGTTTGTGGAGGAACCTATAGCAGTTGCAAGAGTCACTATTCAGAGTACTAAAACATCAGCTTGTGATTAATTTTACGACTTCAGGGGTAAAGAGGACGCAAAACAAAATTTTAAATTTCATGGCCACCAGCAAATTTTGAATTGAAGAGGTGACATTACATATACTGAGAACGTCATCTTCTATGATGTTTTGCACACGGGTTTGTTATGAGCTTTATTGTTCAGCCTGATGTCTCGGCAATAATTGTTTACTTGATTATTTCTTAATTTTCATGAAGTTCTAACCACGTAAATTCTTTAACCTGCAACTCTATGTAACTCGGCGGTTGATGTCTGCATCCATTCTGTTCGGTTCGTTTCAAGCGCTCCTCCATATAAGCCGCATATCCGGCACCAGTTGGGCCTCGTTCCCGAATAAAGCAGTACAGGTATTTAATAAATCTAAATTATTTCGATACATCAGATTCACACTTTTTAACTAAAATTAGGCACTCACGTTGGACTAGGGGCAAAACATCCGACGCATAAGGAAAGCAGGATCCATCCGCGAGCTGCAGATAACCGGGAAGGATTCGATGATAGCTGCTTGCAAAGTTGACAGTAGATCTCGTCCCTAAATCGATTAAATTAAATATTATCCAGACCCTCAAAATTTTTGAATTTACCTCAGTTCCTCGCGCAAAATACCCATTCCGATAATATAATGAAGTTTATCCAAAGAGCTCATAGGTCTATTTTCCATCAAGGCATTTCCAGAGATTGAGGAATCGCTAGAGTGTTCCGATGACGATGAGCTCACAGCTAAAGTAGGCCAATATACTCTTTTTGCTTGTAGGGATACGGTAGGGGTAACTACATTTCAATGTAGAATGTACCTGTTACCTTTGACTTTCTAAGGAGGCGAGGGGGGGAGTAATGCAAACGGTAAAACCTCAAAATTCCGCTCAAAACGGAAGCTCCGCCCTCTATTATTTTCGGTGGCAAAAAAGTTTTGGATCGTGGCCAGTACATGTCTTGACACGAAATCCAGACTTATACAGATCGACAAGAACTGGCGACCGATACAGGTCTCGACACGAAATTGCTGCCGGTACAGGTCTGAACACAATTTTGGGATCTTGAATACGTGTTCGACAAGAAATGGAGATCGATGCAGGTCTGACACGAAAATGTGACGTGGCGCAGGAGTGGGCGATGCTCAAGTTACTTTTGCATTTTGCCGTCTTCCGCGTGCCGCCGTGCTCTTACCACTTGCGAGTATACGGTAGGATTACGGTAAGTCTTGGGTTTGAAACATACCCGTTAATTTCGACTTCTTTTTCAGTGTCATCGATATCAGTTTCTTGCCCATGTTCTTCCTCAACGTCCTCCCAGCAGAATCGAAATCTTCTGCATGTGCAGCTTCTTCGACATCTTTCCGGGTATATTTTCTTCCCAAAGTCTCGTACAATCGATTCATTACGGGAGTTTTGTCCTATCAAGTATAGAATGTCAAGATTATCTTACCAATTTCTAACATCGTAACCTACCGGAACATCTCCGTTGGTTGAACTTAGTTTTACATCGGGTAAATCTCCCATAAATCGAAGTATTGTTACCCAAACCGCCATGGCAGCCTAGAGTTAGATTTATTGGATACGCAACTATTTTTTCGGTCTGCCTACCAATTGGGTTCCTGGATCCTGATGCGAAAGCAGTGGTGACTTCAAGGGTTTCTTAGAATGTGTAGCAGAAATTTGCGATTGGAAATATGTAGCCGCAAATTTGCCAAATTGGAATTTTTCCAAGTCGCCTATGTCGATAGCACGGACATTATTCTAGAAGGATACTTTCGGGTAATTTATTCTAGATTGGATTTTTGGTCTTACCTGGACATGTGTAGGTATGCTGTCACTGCTGGTAGACTCTTCCGCGGAAGTTTCCGGACGTGCATCATTTGGAAGGAAGTCGAAAAGCTGTCCGACCTTGAACACAAAGAATGTAATCCCTTAGTTATCCTCGAGTCATCTGTAGCTTTATATGTGAGTCTGCACCCTATGCGCTGCAACCGACGTCATCATCAGTGGTAAAGGGCCGGGCATACTTTACGCGATTTCAGTCGCGACGTGATTTGGCAATGTTCCAACTGTCCATAACTCATTGTAAGTACTTTTTAAATGTACAGAAGATAGGACATTTTCTCCATCCACGTAAGTTATATACACTATCATGTGCAGTTTGCTAGTTTCGGATCTGAAGACTCCTGGCGAATTGCCAAATCGCGTGAAGTATGTCCGGCCCTTAACTCCTCAGTAGGACCTTTTCTAGCATATGGAACTGAAATATGTACTAATAACAGACACATATTCAATTATCTAACATATCAGTTCAAAACAGACAAGAAATCAGGTGTACTACTAGAAATGAGCAGGTTCTATCCCAGGAGACGTCGAGTAGCGCGCTTGGCGTGCAGCGTACTAAGTTACAAATGATTCGACGGAATGCTACGAAAGAAAGCTAGTAGAAGTATGAAAAGCTCATTAATTTAATGACTTGCATGGTAATATGCGCACATTATTTTTTGAATTCGAAATTTGAAGTATTTTTGGGTTGCAGTCGTAAATAGTTCAAAAAAAAAACGCAAGCAGTGGCTCGGAGCATTCTTTAGCATCTGCACTTGTTTTGCACCAAAATTTTGATTGTTTTTAAGATCATGCTGAACACACTGCAAATCATGCTTTACCTTCGAATTCTTTCCAGTTAAGATTAGCATCTGCAAAGCTTTACAATTATATACTGCTTTACATAAAAACCATAAAAATAATGATTCGAATGCCCACCAGCTCTTCCTCCTTGAACTCATCTCTCTCCTCCTCCTTCGGCTCTTCCAGAGCAATTATTTTCTTCTGACCTTTTTTCTTCAACTCTTTTATCTTTGCGCGAACAATAGCTCCACGACAGGCAGCCTAATAAAAGCACATCGTTTTTGTGCTTGAAGAAATCTGTAAAAGTGCTTGTTACCTGGAAATTGATGATGCTACGCCGAAGGGTTTGGTAGTGTAGGACGAGTTGTCGTGAACGAAGAACAGCTTGCAGTCGACAGAAGCCAGCCACAATCTATAAACTCTCATTTATAAGATTCCAAGAAAGCGATCAGGAGTAAAACCAGAACATACCTGATTGTAACGCTTCTGCTGTTCATAACGTTTCCAATGTTTCTGGATTACGGTAGCTGCTTCCTTCTTTTTGATGAATGAACGTCTTGCTAGCCAGCCTCGTACATTTTTCTGGATCATGATAGCACGATAATCGAGCATACGGTGGTATTCCTGGAAAGAATTGGGTTACTGTAGATAGTAAAGTTAAAGGGTAGGGAAGCAATAGTGTGCAGCTTAATCTCGTCTCACTTACAATGCAGTATCTATGCTTTGGTGAAACTAATAAGAAAAAATGATTTTTATAGCTAAAACATAGAAAACCATTTATTAGGTGCATGTGTTATGGTTACTATATCTTTACTGATGATTACCATTTGATTGAATTGGCTTCGCTTCGGAAAGGCGAGGCTTCGTGACCTAAGGCTAGATAATGATCGAAGAGCACTTGCGCGAGAGAGACGCAGTTGCGTCGCGGGCGCGAGCGCGAGCGGCCTTAATTAGGTCACAAAGTCCCGCCTTCTCGAAGCCAAGCCAGTTGAATCAAAGGTTAGCTTTTAGCCATTATAAAGTGTTCTAACGCTCTACAGTTTTTTGAAATTTTTGAAAGCCTTGATATGAGTCTATTTTTTATCTATATTTTTGGACCACTGTTATGGAATTATTGATGCTATTTACAAATATATTCACCACTCTTTGCAATTTATTGATCTCGACTTGCATTTTTGTGACTATTGTGGTATTCTGTTTTTGACTGTGTTAGTTTCAAGGAGAAAACCCAGATATTACAAAATTGGAAAAAGTAAACACTCCGAGAATCCCCGAGTTCTTGCAGTCTTCGAATGTATTGAAAATTAATATAAATGAAATACCTGTTCCAGGAAGAGATCATGCCTTTCTTTGAGGAAAACTTTGGTTTTTCCTAGCTGGTATTGCGAGTTTGGACCCAGCACTTTTTGACAAATTTGTTCAGCAGCATCACGAGCATTGGCTTTAGTTGGGGCTCCTAGGATTTTTTTTTCAAGTTATTCTCCTTAAGGAAGGTATATTATCTGTAAACCTACCAATTCCATTCACAAGCACACGATATCGCCTAACAAATGGCTCAAAATCATGACGAATCGGATAGCCATTGCGTCGAATTTTGATCGTTTCCATCATTCCAGAATACTGTAGCTGACGAAGTACGAGATCGCGATCCATCATCTGAATGTACGGTGAAGCGATGCTATGGATCATAACCAACTCGACTCTTACGGACTTTGGGAGGACGTTATAACGGGTATGGTTTTTAGGACTCATTTGGCTGGTTTCTCTGATTGCTACATAAAATTTATGGATGTGAAACGTTGCGGTCATTCGAAATCAAAACTGGACGACGCAGGTTTGATTTATTCTGTATGCCTGATTCGGAGGAATCGTAAGGACGTAATTACGGAACTTCTGCGTTATGAATCGTCAATTGACATAACCTTTGATTCAACTGGCTTGGCGGTTAGAAGGCGGAACTTTGTCACCTAATCAAGGCCGCTCGCGCCCGCTATGCAGTCTGCGTCTCTCTCGCGTGCGTATTCTCCAATCATTGTCAAGCCTTAATTAGGTCACAAAGCCTCGCCTTTCAACCGCCGATCCAGTTGAATCACAGGATATACCACCCGTATATTACTTAATATTGTCCCGCTGACCACAAATTCGAGTTGTCGGACAATCTTTTTCACATTTTCCACTTGAGTTTCTTCAAACTTCAGTTCTTTAATCTCATCAGTCCTTTCTTTTCAGCAAGTTCTCATAACTCAGTAATCAATTACGAGTCCATTTACTCATCACTGATATGGGCTCCGTGCTGCAACGTCAATCGATCAATACTGACGGGCCTACTTGGGCGCTGGCACGGAGCTGGGAGGGTGTTGGCGCAGGTAACCTGGACGGCCTCAACACCATAGAAAATTCAGTTATATTCTTTCTGCTTCGCTAGCACGGAGAACTGTAAACACAGCCTAAGATTGCTTTGAGAAAAGATCTGCAGGGTATATCTTCCGCGCGGGGTTAGTAGTAGTATACAGTACTTCTGTGCAAAATGTCCCCATGTGATAAACTGCACTTACCAAAGCTCTCTTGTAATCGTTTGGTTTTATGCAACGTATGAAGAATGGCTCAGTCTGGTTGAGCTGTTGCATCAGCTGCTCAAGAGATTTCCGGAATTGACCACTTACAGTGACTACCTTGCCTCTGAAGAAAACAAGATTAGCTTGGAAATTTTCTAAAAAAGTGGAGTACCTAATCAGTACCTGATGGTGCCATTTTCACTATAGTCTACAATATCAAATATTCGCAGCAGAAGATGCATTTTGGATGCTTGTACGAGAGCAAGGAGATCCGCCGAAAAGGCGTCACGGTTCTTTTCCAGGAAACCTCAAAGTAGAAATTTTTATGATAAGCAGTGCCCAGAAAAAACTACGTATTCAGGGTTCTCATGAAGAAAGTGGTTGAGAGGGTTAATAAGTCGTTACTCAAACAGCAGCTCATATAATTGATTTTCGACCTGGAAATTTTGCTTTGAACTCTCGCCCACTACCGTACTCTTAAGGTAGGGCTACGGTAATGGAACGCTCGGATTTTCGCAAACAATAAGTTGGGAGCAAGTCATTGTGTGGATCCGAGACTATCAAATTTGTCATAGAATGGTGAAGAAATCTCCAAAACAAGTTTTAGCTTTTGAAGAGCAAAAAATTAAAAAAGATTATTCATAAATCTTTGATTGAGGTAGCATAAATTCCTCCCTCTCATCCCCCCCCCCTGCCGCAACAATCTTGTAGGAGGTTTCACTTGAGACCAAGAATTCTGATTAACTCTTGCCTAACACCGTGCTCGAGGACGCAGCGGTCGGAATGAATACCGTCTGGGCGAGAGTTTAGAGTTGGGCATCTCAACAATGAACGATTTTTATGAGCTGTCGCCTGGGCGATGGTTTAGCCAAGACTTGCTAGTCACTGTCCACATAAGAAGCCGAAATACGCAGTTTTGCGTAAACAAAATGGAACAGACAAACACCAGCCTTTAGTTTGGTAAAAAACAGCCCCAGCAAAATGCTTGACTCCGAATGATCTTTGCAAATCAGACTTCGGCTTCAAATACATTGTGCCCTTTGAGTGATTGCTGTGGAGTTTGCTCAACATGGACTGATCAGTGCCCTGGAATAATTTTTGTTTACTGTAATTCTCAATCGATATATCGATTGATGCGCTTACCTTAGGAAAGATACTTTCTTCATCGATCAATGAAAATAAATTCATCGGTCGAATGGCGATCATTTCAAGCGTTTCCTGGTTGTCGATAAATTTAATGTGACGCCAGTTGATTTGCTCCTAAACAAAGACAGTTCTTCGCCGGACCAGCATAAAGTGAAGATGATCCGACCTTATCGTACTCAGCCTGCTCCATTTTGAAAATATGTTGGACAAAAAATTGTTGTAAGCTCTCGTTAGCGTAGTTGATACACAGCTGTTCGAAGCTGTTCATTCCAAAATTTTCGAATCCAAAGATATCCAAAATTCCAATGGAATGACGGTTTTTTGGGTCGTTTCGTGGTCTGGAAAGAAATAAAAGTCAAGGATCATCAAAGCGGCAACCATAAGCGCTCTTCAGAGTTTTTATTTCCATCGGAGGCAGAACTGGTAGCAAAAGAGAGCTAAGAGCTAAAAAAGTCAAATTCTTTAGCAACTACCCAATAGCAATAGTAAAAGACGGTGTAGCATATGTATAAAATGAAATTTTGCAAAATATTAGTAATACTGGGTCGAGATATCGCGAATTTTACCTCATATCTAGGAATAAAAACATTTTTTTTGATAATGTGGGCTACTATGCTTCTGTGAATGGAATATTTCTTTTTTGAATGTGATTATTTTAGATTATTCAGAATTTTTTGAAAATCTCTTGAATCTGTGAAGTGTAGTTTTTTCAAAGAGTGAATTTTCGGATGTTTGCAGCATGAGATTTTGTCAGAAGGAGGAATGGTAAGATCTCAAAAAATTTTACCAGGCTAAACAATTTTAGCAAACAGAAATTTTAATCGCAGAAGAAAAAAGCTGCTTGCGAATTTTCGCTCACAATCCTCATTTCCCAGCTAATTTTTTCACCATCCCCTTCTGAAGTAAGTACACAAGTGACTTGGTTTATCTACGCAGAAATATCAAAAAAATTCCGAATATTTGTGGGCCTTTGAAAAATTGTAAAGTTATTTCATATCATGGCTGACACGCTTTTTTTCCAAAATTACACGTCTACAAGACTCAAAAGGGTGAAGTTCTCCAAAGTTCTTCCTCGATGGATGTGCTGTCCAGCCATGCACTTCCTACCAAGATTTTTTTAATCCATCCTTCCAACTATGGGACCGCCATAGTATCAAAGTGATGAAAGTGGCGGTTGATACTAGAAAAAAACCATCCATTTTCCACCTTCAAGTTTTCCTTCCCACTGTTTGTTTTTTTTACATCGGTCACTTGTTTTGCTCTACTTCCCACAAAATTTAAATAATGTTATGTACAGGCATTCAAAAAATGAATTCCCTTACTTATAAATAGCATCGTTGATCCTTGTCAAAATATAGTCAAACAGCCGTCCATAGATCCCTTTAGCAAGTGCGTCACGTGCATCGACAGCAGCTCGTGACGATAACCTCACAACAACTCGTTCCTCTCTTGTCACAATAGTCCTTGTGGTCAACGTTGTGAGCAAGTTTTGTTCCGACACTTCAAGCAATCGAGCAATTCTGGCCACGTTTGCCGCGTCGCTCACTTCTACTCCTTCAATGGTGTCCACTACGGTGCCTGAATTGGTACTACTATAGTAAATCTGGTGTTGGTCCACTCCATGGTAGTCCAAATACGCAAAAACTCTGGTTTTGCTAAAACTTTGACGAATTTATGGGAGCTTAGTTGAGAAGATATGGCCTTTTTGTAGGAATACGGTAAGTGTACGGTAGGAAGTGAACATATTAGAGTTCGCCGTAGTCGCAAAGACGTTCTTTGGCAGATTTAGGTCTCTTCATGGTATTACGGTAGTACGTACTCTATATGATCATAATCTAAAAATCCTCTACAGATAATGTCTAGGTAGGCTTTGCAGTGTGGAGTCACTATGCTAAAATTTAGTGTACCTCAGAATGGAGGGTTACTGGACACTTAGGATGGGGGATATGGTAGGTGAGTACTGCATGGGTTCAAGATCTATAATTTGCTGAAAAAACCGCAGCAAAGGTTATTTGGGACGGTAGTTCCTTTTCGGCTACTGTGAGTATACTGTATGAGATCGTATAATTTTGTATAGAGAGGATTTTGAAGCGCTGTTTACAAACCATTTCTTTGGATAGCGTTACGGTGGGGTTACGATGGGGCATACGTTATGGTAACGGGTCTCCAACATGAGGTTTCACTTTGCGAGTGGATGTGATATTCATTCAGGATGTCAATTAATCTCTATGCAGTTGCAGCAAATTCGGAGATTTAACAATTTGAGGATTTTCATCATATACCGTATACCTACCGTAACTTTACAGGATATGCAACACAAAATGCGTAATAACGTTGTGATCAGCAGGTCAAATACTTCCCCTTCCTTATTCACATGACTTTACAAAACTTTGGGAAAATATGGATAATGATTTTTACAGTATACTTACCGTAACCTCACAAAAAGACCTTACGAATGGAATATCAACTACGTAAATAGCCCGTAATGACTATAACCCTCATTTGCAAAATTTTTGCTAAATTTGATATTTTGCTCTATCGTATTCTCTTAATTTGAACTAGTACATTCTCAGAAAAATGCAAATGAAGGTCCTACCGCGATATTTGACATTGCCGATGTGTAAAAGGGCCGCCAAGAGTTGGAAAATATGGCCAATTTCAGGCTCTTTGAAGAGCAGAACTTTCATTGACGAGCGAATCTCAGCTAGATCTGCTGCATCATCGCGACCGTCTGCTTCCAGAGATTTGCCCTACAACAAAAAATCAAAGAATTGATGAAATCAATAGTTCCAAAAAACCTGATCTTTCCGAAAATTTACCTGCGTTAAATAGAAATAGTCGGAGGGTTTTGTCAACTCGAGATGTTTTTTCTCTTCTGGTGACAGCCCAGCTAACAAGCAGTAGAAAATGTGATAATTTCTTTCACCTTGGGATTGCGAGACTATCCGAGACTTTTCCAACAAATACTTCTCTATTTTCGCCCCTTAAAATTTACAAGTTGAGGATACCGCAAAAAAGCGAAAATATCCAAGCTCTTACCTTCAATAGAGCCTCCAGGATTGAAATGCACATCGATATACTTTCCAAATCGGGACGAGTTATCGTTTCGTATGGTTTTGGCATTACCAAAAGCTAGAGTGAGTGGTTAAAATTGATCAAGTTGAAGGTGAGCCAGGTCTTACCTTCCAGAATCGGGTTAGCCTCAAGTACTTGTTGTTCGATCCAGCTGTGCTGACCGCTGATAGTGGCAAGAAATTGCAAGACTAGCTTGGTTGATTCAGTTTTTCCAGCGCCTGATTCGCCACTGAATTAAAGGGTGAGTAGTTAGGAAATTTTATAAAAGCTTTAGTTTTCTTAATCTATATTTCACGACATCGCCCAACTCATTATAAAACTCACATCCTCTCCCCCTCCCAAAAATAATAGCAAATTTTATGACAATGTCGCATAATAGTAAAAGTGTTGTGCAGACTTCGCTCATGCTTGAAAATGGTTGCAAAAATCTCAACAATTTATGACGATTCAAATAAGCTAGTGTATAATGAAACAAATGTGAAATTAGAATTTCGTTTCCATATTTTTTAAGGACTCTTTGTGCGAAGAATTTGAAGAAGTGGAAATCAAAATCTTTTTTACATAAGTCATTATCTGAAAAACTGGTCCATATCATTATAAAATCATGTAGCTGTTTTTGATATGAACATTTTGTAATCACTTTCAGAACAAATTTGCAAATCTTTGCAAAGTTTGGGAGACCCCCGTCAAGACCCTTCAACCCCTTTTTTTAAATCATAAATCTGCGTAACAAAAACCTCCCAAATTCTAACACTGTTTTCGTTCAAAAGGATGTTCATTTAAAAGGGTGTTTCGTTCCCTCCAAAGCTTTGCGTCATTGGTACAGTATTATTTTGGCATTCACTAATGCAGTCATAAATGTGCAAAAAAGTATTGATAACACCTATCGGCAAAAAACACCCACCTGATCACAACGCTTTGATTTTTCTGATGATTCTTCATGTTCGAGTATGCATTGTCAGCTATGGCAAAAATGTGTGGGGGTTGCTCTCCTAGAGGACAAAGTTGATAGTTGTAAAGCAATTCAGAAATTTATATCAAAAGGCTACTTACCAATTTTCTTTCTTTTATACATACGTATTTGGACAGCAGTATAGATGGGTATATCCATGTAAGGATTGACAGCTATGAGTATTGAACCAGTATAGGTCTAAATCTTGAAATTTCATTAAGGATAAAGACAAATTTTAAACCCCAATATCTGAGTCTCTAATGCGGAAACGACAGGGATGATCTTATCAAGCACATTGTCGAAGTTGGCAGCTTGTACGATTCATTCGTAGCCGAAAATCTCGACTTCAAACTCTCGCCTACTACCGTACTCCCTCCAAGCTACCCAATTAGAGTACGGTAATGGGCAAGAGTTCATCGCAGCGTTTCTCTGCCGCAAGTGGTTCCCATGAGCTGCTGCTTGGGAATCAGCTTAGCTAAGGCTTCTCAAATCACTTCCACGTAATAAACTCAGATATCAAATTTGCCTGACAATGTTTTTCTAGTCCGCATAAACTTACATAGATGAGCTTCTCGCGATATCGCACGAGAATATTCCTTAGCATAGCACTTTCATGATAATCCCCCAACTTTGTCATATCCTCAACTCCCTGGACAGATGTCGGATGCATAATCCGGACCCGCCGATCCGCAGAAAGCCATTGCTCCTAAAAAAGAGAGCCATATAACAAAGACTCTCACTTTCGCCATTGTAATGTATTTTCTTTTCCACAAAAATGAGAATTGACTCGACTCTACAACTAAGCGCCGATTATTTCATCTAGTTTAAAAACGGAGCTTGTATCTGCGCTTTTGAAAAAGACGTCAATGGGTCATGTACATTACATGCATTTTTATTTGTATTATTATGTCCGCTTATCTCGTGACGGATCTAGGGAAAGCGGAACACCAAATACGTTGCAAAAGTGCCGACGAGAAAAGTTAATTTAGTGAGCACTGACTGATTATTTTTGACGTTTTGCCTTTCTCTGATTTATAGTTGGAATTTCAGCTGAGAAAAATATTCGATTTACCATGATTTTTATAATAGTGGAAAAATATAGAAGCATTTGACACTGATAAAACTGATCAGAAAAGGGGATTGTGCTCTTAGTAATACTTCCTTCATTACAGTTGAATTGAAATAAAATATTTTAAAAATTTTTTGACATGCCCGTTTCTAGTATCTAGGGGTTATGGGCCCGTGAAAATTCCAAGAAACAACACCCCAAAAAGTAGCCACGCATATTCACTTGAAAAAAATTCTTTTCTGCCCCCCCCCCCCCCGCCTGGACGGAAATCCTGCGACTATCAGTGCTTTCTTTCTATGCTAATCATGCCCCGTTTTTGATTCATACAAACATTCATCTCTTTGTTTTTTGTGTGCAAAAGTTCAATACATTGCTCTTCAAACAACACTAAAGATCAAAAGTTTTCGCCCAATCTGCCAATGTTTTGTCTTCCCCTTATTTCCCGGAAAATGTTGGAATTAAGGTCAAACAAGCCGTTGTCTACATTATCAAATAAATAGTTGAAAAAGCTCAGCAACGCTTGACCAGAAACTTACTTCCCCCCCCCCCCTCCCCACCCCCGAAATCAATGATCGAAGGTTCATTGTTACGTGTGATAGTAGTATCTGGCGAGCATTTATCGCTGCCATTGATTAGATGGTGCGGATAAGGCGGTTACCGCAGCGCCTTTTTCAAATCAAGAATCAGATAGAAAAGATCAATTGAATTTTGTGTACTTTAGAGGGAAGAATGTTTGGAAGAATTAGAAAGCGCCAGAACTGTGAAAATGAGTTTGCTAACAATGAACGAATAATTCCTGATAACAAAGTCAAAGTCAAAGTTTTCAAAATCAAGAATAAGCAGGGAAAATAATTGATTGGGGTAAAAATTCGTGCTGATTTATTGATAAATGAAAAATATTGTTGAAAATGAATAAATTATTTGAATCAGAAGAAAGACGCTTGGACACTTAGAAGGAGATTCTGACGACACTGAGGAACAAACCATTTTCATAGTGAGACTTACTTTTCCATTATCGTCGAGAACTTTCAGTCGACCATGATCCCGATCCAAAACTCGTGCTCCTAGTGGGATACTTTCCCCATCCGTGGGCTCGATCCATATAAAGTCTCCCTGTACAGTAATCTTCGAGAATGTGCTAATCCAGTAAAAGATAAAAAAAACCATAACTTCTCTCGTAGTAGAAAAGCAATTGTTTATTTCCCATCTTAGTTATTTTGACTAGAAATATAAAAGCCAAAAATTCAAACAATGTGAAAAAAATGAATTTGGGGCGAAGGAATGCAATAGGTGTTTTTGCTGTTTGTGACACGGTAATGCAATGAGCTATAACTTTGTTATGAGCTTTGTAAGCACCTAGAACATTGTGAAACTATGTCAAGGTCATTGTGTTCCAGTGTTTATAGCGTTCAACAAGAGGAATGTAGCGACATCGCTTTGAGAATGTCACAATCATAAACATGAAAGAGAGGCAATCCAGCGAATATTAAATAGCAAAAATAAGAATAACGAGTCACACTTTTTTGAAGTTTTATAATGGAATTAGATTTAATTGGGCCAAAAATTCGCACGCAAAACAAGTGAGGATAGAAAATTGTACTAAAACCGGAACTTCAAATGAAGTGAGACTCTTGATGTTTACGAGAGCTGAATAAGCAATGCTTAGAAACTTCTCAAGGACTTTTTTGCGGAAAATTGACAAAAAAGAAACAGCGAAGTAAATCAAGATTTAGCAGCTTTCAACTGATAAACACCATTTATGACTCAAGGCCTTCAGAAAAAAAACTTCACAAAGAGTCAATAAGTCTTACAATATGGACTGGGTATCTTAGAAATTTTGAAATCGTTTGGCTATTAGGTCTGGGATCCAATTACGCGAAATTTCACCATTGATATAAAGGAATAAAAAAAAGTGAACGCATGACAAATGGGTCTAAAAATGGGATTTGCGGCGAAGCTGATATCGTTTTAGTTTGATTATTTATTTATTTATTTATTTATTTATTTGAAATACACCAAAGGTGTGCCAAAACTAAAAAAAACAATAACCATTTGAACACGTATATACAGTCTGGCTAGACAGAAAAGAGACAGGTGATATGAGTCTCCAGCCGGAGTGCAGGTCGTTCTCCTTCTGATGACGAGTAGTCCTCTCCGATTTCCTGTTCCCTTACCCGGACGCGAGGGAGGTAGAAAGTACCAGGGCTGGCTGACCACTTAACCCGGGCGGACGAATCCGCCAAGGACCCTGGGCGAGCGAGAAGGGGGAGGGATTCGCCAACTACGACTTCCTCAAACGGCGTTCCAGACGAAGAGACTGCCAACCTGTCTAGACCTATCAAAATCGACACAAGTTTGAAATCATTGTCATTGCGACATTTATCCATGGAAAAAGAATTTTGTTTTGCAAAAGAAATCCAAAACGTTCTTGACAAAAGGCGAGAAAAAAAAGTGGAAAAAATTCTTTCCTAAAATCAAACATCTGCAATCTTCAAAGTGTGCAAAACATCTATTGAAGCAAGTTTCTTTCGAAACTGAACAGAGTCTCTACAAGTAATCAGATCTCTCGGTAAGAGCCTGAACCATCTTGCACTGCGGCATACAAGTGAGTTGAAAGCTGTAGTAAAGATTTTGCTTCCCAGCTTTCGATAACACAAACCGAAACCACCCACACGATTCCCACAGGGTCTAAAAATCCAATACCGACTAGGCCTCAATCTTGTTTCCAGGCGGAGGATTCGAAAGCAAAAGATTAAATCATTGCATATCCGCCTATACTTTAGACTATGCATTTTTAACACGGTTAGTCTAGTCTTATAGGAAGGCAGAGATTGAGGGTAGTCGGGAGATGGAAAGCAGCGATAGTAGACAATTCGGGTGAATGTTTTCTGCACTTTTTCGAATTTTTCAATGTGTTTTTTCAAAAATGGGCTCCAAATGGGGGATGCGTATTCCAGGAGTGGTAATACATAAGTTTTATAGAGCTTAACTAAAAGATTCGGATCATTACTATGCGTACTTCTCAGTATGAGGAAAAGAACGGAAAGGGCTTTCCTAGTGACCGAGTTGAAATGAAGGGAAAAACTTAGTTGATTATCAACGACGACGCCTAGATCTCTGATGCTGCTGCAATTCTCCAAGCTGATCCCCTCATAAGCATAAGAGTAGCATGGAGAGTTGCCCAAGTGGAGGACCTTAGATTTGGCAGGATTGACAGGGAGACCCCAAGTTTTGGACCAGAGCATCATTCTTTCTATTGAAGAGGAGACTGCCTGATAAGCTTCTTCCTTTTCTCTCTCATCGTAGCAAAAATAGATTTTTATATCATCTGCAAACATCTGGATTTTAATGCCGGGATGGGTCTGTAAAAACAATGGCAGATCAGCAGTATAAGTAAGGAAGAGGAGTGGCGAGAGTATGCCTCCTTGGGGAACTCCACTGTCGCAAAGAAATCTTTGTGAGAAAGAACTTCCCACACGTACCGTTATCCCCCTATCATGCAGATAAGACGAGAGCCATGATTGTAATTGCCCACGAATTCCATAGCTTTCCAGTTTCGAAAGTAGCTTAGAATGATCAACTCTGTCAAATGCCTTAGATAAATCGAAAAATACGATATCAACTGATTTGCCGTGGTTTAATGCGGTGATCCAATCAAAAAGTGAATCTGCTAGCAGGGATGTTGTTGAACCACCAGGGAGGAACCCATTTTGAACAGATGGAAAAATCTTGTTCTTATCTAGCCACTCAAAAAGGCACTCTTTTAGTAATCGCTCGAGAACTTTCCCTGAGGGCGCAGTAATACTTATGGGACGGAAATTTGTAATAGCATTGTCATTTTCGCGCTTAGGAATAGGTGTTACAATAGCCTCCTTCCAAAGCCTCGGAACTTCTCCTAATGCTAGCGATGCGTTGAACAAGAAAGATAGAGGGAAAGTCAAGGCCTGAGCGCACTCTCGGAAAATAATCTGCGGAAGACCATCATAAGAGATTGTAGTAGTGGGCTTTAGTTTTCGCAATACATTATAAACTTTTGCAGGATCTATAAATACTTCAGAGCAGCTCGTTTCTAGACGATCAACGGATCCACAAACAACATTTGTGTTCACATCTGCACTGCCCTGGTTATTTTTCACGAAAAAACTAGCGAAAAACTTTCCCAGGGCTTCCGCTTTTTCTTTGTCACTGAATAACGCATTTCCGTGTTCGTCTTTCAAAACAGGAAGTTTTTGTTGACCCTTAGTTCTATACCTGAAGTATTTATAGAGTGCCTTTGCATTGTTCTTCGAAAAGTTCCTTTCGCGGTAGGCCAGATATTTTTTGATGTGACAATTAATGTCTTTGCAGACTTTTCTATAGAGCTGGTTGGTCAAAGGATTTTCTAAAAGTGAGAAAAGTTTGGTTTTTTGTTCAATCAAGTTCTGAATATGAACGGGGTATTTTGCTTGCAAAGGTTCAAAACGAAAAGGCACACACCGGGGAAGAATTTGGTACATCACATTACAGAAACGGTAGTAAAGATCATCAGCTGATGCATAATTAGCAAAAACCTCATACCAGTTGATGCGCTGTAATGCAGTTTTGAGTTTAAAAAAATCTGCTTTGTAAAAATCGGGGTAAGGAATGAAGATATCGTTACAGTGGATAAAAGACGCTTCAAAACTTATCACATTGTGGTCAGAAGAGCCAAAGGGAGGATGTGCCTTGACCCTTTGAACTACGTTGCTAGACGAAAATATCAAATCAATAAGTGATTTTGTTCTAGTGGGAAAAGTTACTTTTTGGACGAGATCGCAATCGTAAAGGAAAGAAAAGAAAGGAGGCAATTATCGGAGTGATGATCTTCAGTGAAAAAATCGATATTGAAATCACCTAGAACAATAGTCGGAGCAGGAGTAGAACAAAGATCATGGATAGCATTCACTAACATGACGTCATCGCGAGAACTGGCGGACGGAGGGCGATAAAGGATAAGAAACCGCAGAGGAGAGAGAGACAGGGTCGACAAGACATTTAGGCAGAGAAGATCACAGCAGAGAAGATCATTATGTTGTCATCTTTTCTATTTTTTTACCTGATAAAGCAGTCTTTTGAAGCAGTTTCGCCAGAGTTTAGTATAGCATGAATATCCACAAAAAAAACAAAAACATAAAAATAAAAACAAAAGAGATATAAAAATTGCCGAAACCGACAAAACTAACCTTACTGACTAGAACCATCGTGTACGATTATGTCATCACAATTCAATTTGACACCTGAAAGACTATTGCAACACTACTGCGCGAACAACTCGGCGTATTTTGATAAGAACGAGAACGGTGAAAAATGTTAGGCGGATATCGAAGTGAAAGGATAAAATGCACTTTTAAGAAAAGAATTTGGGTGTGAACGAAATCGAAACTCATGGAAGACTCGGAAAGGACGAGTTTTTAGCAGAAAAAATTCTCACATTCCTAAAAGTGATGAAGGTGATGGTGTTTATTCCCGGAAGGAGATGGGATTCAAGGAACTGGGATAGGTGCGAAGCTGGGGTATCAAGTATTTCTTTTCAAATTCCATTCAGTATATTGCTTTGTCGGATCATCAAGAAGTTTCCAAAAGAATCAGCGGGAACATAAAAAAGTAGTGCTGCACCATGTGTACACGGTGTGATTCACATGGTGCATCATGCTACGAAAATACCTGACAAAGTGCCTCCGTAATTTGAAGAATTTTAACTTTTATGGCATGTATGAAAAAATGAAAAATAAAGAAATTGATTGAATTGCTTGAAGAGCATTGAAATCAAACCACTAGATTCACAACTTTAACAAAGGGTCCCAAAGTTATTGTGTTACTGGTGTTGTTTGTTTATCTTGGCTGAGAGGTGTGTGAGCCAGTATTTGCGAATTTCAGTGGATCAAAAATGGAGCACTTGAAAAATAATCGAGTCATAGATCTATATACAGATAGCAGCAGCAAAACAATCCAGAAAAAAATTATCACGTGTTTATGAAAAAGTGACAAATCTTTCAAAAAAAAAGGCATCTAAGGCTTTGCTATTCGAGTTGAATTTGCGGTAAACAGATATGGAATGAAGTTTTGCCGCAAATTATGTACATCTGTAAACAGCTGAGAAATGGAGTCGTCGATTTCCAACTCAAAAATCTGACTAGAAAACGACTGATGTGAATTCCTGGTACTAAGCGGATTTCTCATTAGTAAGCTGACTCGTTAACATTCTTGCTTTTTTTATAATCTGAAGCACAAAGGCCATATGATTTCGTAATCAGATTATTATGAGGAAATGAGCTCACGGACTACACTCTAGGCAAGATTAGAGGGCTTCCTAATTATTATGGGCAGACGAATGAGGTTACAAAAATGAAAAGCTGAGATTGCGGGTGAGACAGAAAGGAAGAAGGCATTACAAAGAAAATGAATGAAAATGATGAAATGTATAGTTAAATGCAGTGAGAAACGAGCAAACAAGCTTATAAGGGCACATCCGGAAATAAGGAATGCGCACTGCGAAAAAAATTTGAGAGAAGGAGCGGAATCGGAATTTTTTCTCAATGAATGTAGATAATGCAAAAGCGCAAAACGGAAGTCGAAAATTTATATCAAGTAGATTTTTGAAGTATTGACTTCTAGATAATTTATGGGGACAGAGAAACAAACACAAAAAATGGGCGGGGCCTCTCATACCAAATATGTAGTGACAATATCGATTCAAGAAAATTATGGAGATCAACTCTCCAAAAAATGTCTCTGAACAATAAAATATGGATAAATTAAAATACTGTTTACTAACAAGGGAAGTCACTCAACTTAGGTCGGACTTTTGAAATGAGACACATATAATTAGAATCAGCTCGGAACGCTGATTCCAAATATGCTATCCTGAGCTGCGAAGCGTTTCTCTGAAGCGAGATATGAGCTCTTTTAATATATGTGTCATTGACATACAAATGAATATGGAAAAAAGGTCTTCGGATGAAAATCTGCCCAAAAAGTGGTGGAAAAACAAAATAACATCAAATTGTGTCATTTGGCTTTGATAGGGTATAATATGCATTTGAACCACATGCCTTAGTCGGTCAACACGCAAAATTTGCTCAGGAAAAAGCACATAACTCGCTTCAGAGGAACGCTTCGCAGCTAATGCAAGCAGATTTGAAATCAGCGTTTCAAGCTGATTCCAACCATATGTGTCTCATTTCAAAAGCCCGACCTAAGTTAAGTGACTTCCCTTGTAAGAGCGATAACTCAAGCCCGAACACTATGAATGGGTGGGGCCTTTTGTACCAAGCACACATATAATGACAGACATGATAAATATTAGGACCACATCCTTCCACGAAAAGTGTGTTTAATCACATGAAATCGTCGGAACGAATAGCGATTTTACCGAAAAAAAAAGTATCAGAATGGGCGTGGCCTTTTGCACCCGATTTTATAAAAAACGATCAATGCAGTGCGTAATGAGGTAAAGAACGAGGTGTTCAGAGGTCAGAGAGTTGGCTGGGCGGCTGGCGCATAGCCTCGGCTTTGTTTGTATGCGATGAGGCTACACGATGTTCGAGCGCGCACAGCTTCACCAAACATAGAAACTGTTGCGCGAACAAATGCGCACCTCGGAGATCTCGAGGGATGAAGGGGCGGAGGGGGAGGGGGGGGGGGGGGGGGGGAAGGGAGGGGGAGAATGTGACGAGAACATGGAAAATGGGCTAGAGGATGCACAGATTGAGAAAGTTCCGTGATGTGGAACAGTTCTGCACTTCGTCCAAATTACCGCCTTTCACCTCCACCGCCACCGCCACCACCACCCCCTCCACCTCCTCCACGTCCCCTTCCACAAAAATTTGTAAGAATTTAGGTCCGCAGATAAAGAGTACAACAGTTGTGTCCGAGCGCCGAATCTCGAAGATTGCCGATTTTGTCTCGCTCTAATCTGTCCTCCAAAGCAGGTCACTACCACCGCCGCCGTCGCCGACCACGAGGTCGAGTCAGTTCACCGCCGTGAGAGGGTGCAGCCGATCCCACTGCGTTACATCTCCTCCATGACATCTAATCACCCCCCCCCCCCCCGCGTCCCCCCGTTCAATTGTAGGTGATAAATCGATCTTATAGCACGGCTGCATGCTGAATCTGAATCGATGAAGAGCCGTTCAAGTGGCTTTTAGATTGAGCCACTAATACAAAGCTGGAATGTTTTGTCTATTGGAATGCCCGATTAGCCATTCTCGCGCGGGTCCGGGAACGGCAGCGTGGCCCGCGTTCCAAGAGAACTGGTTCCAAAACGGGAAAATGCGCAATCGACGTCAATCATAATGATCTTCAATTACCATGCGATTAGCATAGAATACACATTCACATTTAGAGAATAAATCACGTGAATAGTTATGTCCAACCGCTAATCAGGGCGCGTTTCTTAGCTAGAGAGCTTTTCTATAACATTTTTACGTTATTTATAATTCTGTAAGTTTGCAAAACTGGGAACTAGGTTAGAAATTGAGGAAGTACTGCTGAATACTTTTTAAAAAACGTCATAATGGCATAAATCCGCGAGAGTCCAAGTCGTCGTTGTAGTTATGATTTTTGCACGAATAAAAAATTAAAAAATTAAAAAAAACTTTTTGTTGGATATCATAAGCGAATAGCTTACTTCAGAAAAATCGAAATACTGTTGATTTAACAAAGAAAGAGGAACTTGTGTTCTAGCAGTCATGACCAAAGGGCGATTTGCATAAATCAAGTAGAAATGAATTTTTTACAATATTTGGATGCTTTTTAAACAAAATGGTTACATATTTGAAGTGTTGGCTGAGTAGTAATAATATTTTTCAACGAAATTGACCCGTCGGAATTTTTTAAAAAGGAGTTGTTTTTAGCCTAGGAGACTCAAATTGCATTGAAAAATAAACATAAATTGAATTTTGATTCTCGAAGATTTTTCGACGTAATTCATTTGTTTTTCTCATCTGCAACAGTCAGCAAGTGTGATAATCTCCTTCCCCAAAATTCCTTTATTTTTTCTTCTTTATTTGTTTCTTTTTCGACAGATGTTGCTCCCATTTTCACTAGGTCACCTTGAATAAAAACTCGACTTTCAATAAGAAAATGCTGTTGTAGACACATTCAATTGACTCGGCCTAATGGGATTAGGAACACAGTAACAAAAAAAGCTGGTTGGGATTTCCCTTGCAAGAATGTTCCGTAAAGCTTCTTATTTAGGTTTAAGAATTGATAAAATTGTTGTCATGTGAATTCCTATGGATTCTACCTATCAATGGATTTTTGTATAATCCTTATTTGTCTTCTCCTTTTTTTGACCAACCAAATGAAACAGTTGGACTAAGGAACATGCTATCAAGAAACGTTTAAAATTACAGGAAAATTCCATTTTCAAACGTTTGGTCCATACCTTAGTTTAGAACTAAGATTTTTAGGTGCCAACCTTCTGAGTAAAACCACAAGCGAGGACCAGATTGGAGGACGATTTTTTGATTCTAGTAAAGAAGATGCTTTTTCAAGTCACCATGGGAGGCGTTTATGCCTCTTTATCTTTTTCGAGCTCCTTGAGCCATAAAGCGCATAAATTTTCCGGACCACTCTCAAATAACCAACCTTCAAACCGTTTTTGAACAGGCCGAAAGAATTCATACCAAACCCCTAAAGGAGCAACCATGCATGACTTCATCATCGGTCAGACAGTGCGATTCTCATGCATGTGTTCTCATTTCCACTTCGTTGGCATGGTATCCTTGACATCCTTATAAATGTGACTGTAGTTTGTACTAGCACAAACGTTTAGCGTTTTCAAGGATGAATGCTTTGGTCTAGGATGAGGGTAAGAGATGGTAAGAGGGTTAGAAATTAAAGCAAAAAATTGAAGCTACCCAATTTTTTTCAGCATTTTGGAAAGTCAAAAAACTGCTTTTTTGGTTTTCTAAAATTTTTCTCCTCTAAAAGACGAGGAAATGCTGCCGTTTTCCTACCATTAGTTGCATTATGTCCACATTAGGCGCACAGAGCGAAAATTGTACGCTTTTTGCTTAAGATTTTTTTGCAGCACAGATGGGCCTTAGCGACCAGCTAAGTTTTGAGCTAAAACTCCCGTGCTCAGGTAAAAATCCAATATTGATAAGCTTTTTGTAGCACAATATTTCGCAATCGTTACGCTTATTTTTTGAAGAAAATTTGATCATTTTTCATGGATTTAGAGCAAGGATGGGAAAGAAATTATCTTTATCACTTGCTTTTGAAGGTATG